GGCCATTGCTATTAGGTTGGAGGCCATTGCTATTAGGTTGGAGGCCATTGCTATTAGGTTGGAGGCCATTGCTATTGGGTTGGAGGCCATTGCTATTTGGTTGGAGGCCATCGCTTCTAGGTTGGAGGCCATTGCTTCTAGGTTGGAGGCCATTGCTACTGTAGTAGGATTCAACCAAATGCACCCAATGCAGACTGTCGAGGAGAGTCGATGGTGATGCAGACCTCATCTGTGTGAGGCGCCTTGATGGTGACGGCATGGGAGGCTAAAAAAGCTGCGCAAAAACCCGCAGGGTCCGCTCAATTGCGCCCGTTTCTGTTCCAAGAGAAACCTCAGGCATTCCATTCATCACCGGCATCGTTGCAGGTCGCCGTGTTGTTCTTTTTTTCCGGTTTGAGTCTTCAGTGCTGCATTCAACGGGCTTGGAAGTTGAAGTTCTTCATGCTTGACATGTTTCATAGATGATCATCGATGTTCATCGTTGTTTTCATGCTCTTCCTCATATTTTCACTGTAGTCAGATAGGGAGATCCCAATAGACCAAAACCCGGGCAAAAGGTCTCCCTATTGAATTACACACCCATACCCTAGACTTCCAAGACCATCAAGAAAATGGTTGATTTGGGATGACCCGCCTATGAAATTCATGGTGCTTGGAAGCCTAGGGCCCTGGGGCCCGGCCGGATCCTTGTCCGATGGCTGGGCCGCACCTTCGGGAGAGACCTGAGGATCTTGGGGGCGAAGGGAGCGAAGGTGGCCGAGGGCTGAATCCGGGCTTTTGCAGGATGTGGTTCTTTTTGTTCAAGATGTTCCATTGATGTTTATTTGCTTCTTTGCTTGTTTGGAGAGGGCTTGAAAACGGGGGGAATGGATGGGAATGAATGAATCAAAGAGTCTACATGAAGTCTCTATGAATACATCGACCCCCGAATCAGCGGGTCAGATCTGGAAAGGGCAGATCTTTTGCAAGTTGAAGAGTTCAGCCGATGAAGGAGGTGATGGAGAAATGGGGTGTGTGCTCACACCAGGTCTCACGAAGATCGTTTTTGTTTCTTCTTCTTCTTCTTCTTCTTCTTCTTCTTCTTCATTTTTTGAGGAGGGCCTGGGGGCTTGGCGGGGCTTTCAGACTTCAGCCAGAACCTGCAGAATGCAGAAAACACTCCATGAGGGGTGATGGTGGAATGGAAGGCACGGCAAGTTTGGAAGATGAACCGTATGACATCAGGAATCTTGCCATTTCGTCCCATTTCAATGCGATCTGTCATTGCCTACTGTCATGTGGTAAATTCATATAATGTCAGTGATTCATCACCTTAAACTCTGATGAGCAGACGGAAGTCTGTCGTGCTGTTCACCACCTGTGGCATAGGATCAGCTTCGCATCTCCAAAATTGGCCGAGTAATGACAAATGTTGCTTTGCAATGTTTTGCAGCATCTTCTGTTGTGCGACCAAATCATCCAATGCATATATGGGGATGGGTCAAAACGTGGCGCTGGAGCCCGACCAGTCGGTGAACGACCAGTTCACCATGACCCACATCCCATCGTGTTGTTCTGGCAAAACTCTGCTGGCTTTTTCCTGCCTTGGCTCGGTTCCAATGATTGGTTTATCCATTGCGTCCTGGTTGGTTGATGAAGGAAAAGTTTTTGCAGCAGCTGGCAGGCCCTTGGTTTTGAATCTGGTTCTTGGGTCTTTCATTGATGATTCTTTCAAACGAAAGTTTCAATCTTGCAATCTTCTTTCGCAGGCGCGCGCAAAGAAAGGATGGAGAAAGAATCACACGCAAATCCATCTGGACCTGACACCATGCGAATGATTGCAGAAAGTGCTCTGTGGTTCCTTCCACACATCGCCAAGACGTGCATCTTTCGTTTCAGGAAGGCATCAAAATACGGCGGGCTTTCCTCTTTTTCAGGTCCACTTGGGTCATACGGCGGTTGTCTGGAAATCTTCGATTCCAGGGCAATGTTCATTTGCAAAAAGTTAGAGGCACATCCTTCTTGGAAGGATGCAGTTCTCCATTCTGCGAACGGCACCCAGAGAGGCCTTTTAGGTCTCAGACGGTCCTTGCTCGCATCCTAAGCATCTGGCTACGGCCCTTTGATTTTTCTGTTACCATCTATTTACTAGTGCTTCTCTCACAGAGATCTTCAAGCACGCGGTCGCCCCGCCATCCCTCAGACCAACAAGAGAATGGCCCTACCTGGATGTCCACCAGCACCATCCATAGAAACAGGTGGTCTGGGATGGAAGACTTTGGATTGAGAAACCTCTTCAGGCCTGGGGTATTGAAATGTGTTTGAAATATCATCCAAAGTCGTCTTTTGCATATCGCCACTCAAAGCAAAAACACAAACCCACCCCCGAAAATATCTGGGTGCCACACATCCCGCGCCAATCCGGAGCCGCCGCCTTCTTGGGCGGGAGCCTCTCAGTCGGTAAAGCCGAAGTCCGGAGACTTCCTGGGCTGCGTCGCCGAGCGCCTGGTGGGGATCTCCAGATCGGTGTACCTGGCAACGTCTGGATCGGTTGTTCAGCTGGGAGCTGACCGATGCTGACCGATGCGAGCGAGCTTGGGGGCTGACCTTGTTTGGCGGTTCAGAACTCCTAAAAGAAATAGAACTGTGCTAAGCGATCATAGGATATCCTCAATCAGATGCCTCCGGATCGAACGATGTTCTTCCTTCAGGTTTACCTCAATCCTGTTCAGCCACCTCGAAGAGAATGGAATCAGAAATCCAATAATGCAGTTGAGACAGGTCATGTTCCTGGTATCTTGAGCATAACTGCAAGAGTTTGGCAGAGAAAACGCATGCTGCGTTCAAGAATGAGCCTCTGTTCCATCCTTTCCCGCTGGAATTCATCTACTTCATTATATGTATAATATATATATATATATACATGATTATACATGGTGAATGTCCCATGGCCACCACCACCTCGCTCTGCTGCCACCACCGCGCTTCCTTCGGTCTGGGAGAAGGAGAAGAAGACTCGGACAAAAATCGACGCGGGTCCCGGGCCAACGGCGCACTCGAGCAGTACACCGCAAAAGCGGCAGAACTCCACAAAGCTCTCCTGTTGCGTGTTCCGGTGGTCGCAGGTGTCGCAGTTTCTGACTTGCTGCCACATGCACGGTCCGTGGGTCGTGGAAGCCGAGGGTCCAGGTCACCGGGGGAAGCCGAGCGTGGGTAGAGCGAGGCGATGCACCGAATGGAGTGAGAGCGTGGGTAGAGCGTGAGTGAGTTCCAAGCTCCGGGTGTCCATGACAGCCACATGTGGCTGTGCCGACTGTCCTGGTTCATTGACAGGCCTGGTCTCTCTTTCACCTCAAACTGCGGTGCAGTTGCGTCTCTTTGTGGGTATGAGAGTTCACGGGTAGTCGTTCTAGTTTTGAGTCTTGTCAGGGCATACACAAACATGGTCAAGCACAAATCTGTGTCAAACAGCGATCAACACAAAGCTGAAATGATCAAACTCAGAAGGACGCATACTTACAAAAGACAATTACAATATGATAATAACAACTACTATCACGAAATTACAGTTATTGTTATTGCTAGTACATATTATATCATATTATATTACTATTGCATGGAAGATAGATGATGATGGTGCTTAGCGTTCTATTTCTGAGATACAACCGTGCGATTCCCAAACCAACATCTTGGCAGTCTTCCACCAATCCCGGTCACTGCGCCACCCCATCTCCCCTTGAGGGTTGTCGCGACCGTGACAAACGTCCTGCATCCTGACCCCATCACCCGCATCTCACCCCATCTCCACTTCCCCAACTTTAATCAGGTTCACCCCACCCCACTCAACCCATGGACCCATGTTCATGTCGAAGACATTCCTAGTTCGTCGACAGGCGACAGGTGTGTTCTTTCCCCGAGAGGAGTGTTGAAGGCAAAACATGAAGAAGCATGCATACACAAAACCTAGACACCACAAACTGCCTCGGACTCTAGCCCAACGCACGCCATAGTACTGTATGATATATTATGCATGTGTTATGTTGTCCAATGCCATCGCATGCACAAGCTAGTCACGATGTGATCCCAAGAGATCTCAGCAGCCGACAAACTCCTTGTGCTTGTTTCTGATGAAGTTAAACAGTGGCCCCTTGGAAGGCTCACAGTTGGTCCAACTGGTGAGCTTCTGAAGCCGATGTTTGAAGAAATAATATGGGCCAACCCATGCAGGAAGGTGGAGTTCAAGAGGTGCGTCCATCCATCAAGAATCCAGTGTTGCGTTTTCATGAATCAACGAATATCGACGTTTCGTCTTCCCTGAAATGATCGGTATATAGGGAGCAGCTCGCTTCCCCGAGCAGCTCGGTTCCACAAGTCTTAGCTCGGTCCTTCGATCCATTTTTTGAGGGTCATACCACCTAGTGTCCACAAGGACCTAGGGTCATCCCACCTATCGTGTCGCCCTTCGATCCGGCTGAGGCGCCGCACTTCGAGGCTCGCTGGGCAATTCGAAGCAGCTGGGCAGAGCCGCGGACGGGCGTGGCCGGGGCTCGGCGAAGCGAACGGTCAGTCGACTGAAGTAGTTCACTTAACTATCTACTCCAATTCACATGCAACTATAGTGGATAGGTGAGTGGATGGCTCTAACGCAGCTCGCCGCTACTAACGCAGCTGCCGAGTCCAAAGAGAAGAGGGATGTCAATGGATTTCAATGGATTTCTGGGTTTGGTATGCACGGAAGACTCCCCGTGCCTACCACTCTTTGCATCAGCACCAATGCCTCCCCAGGTCGTGGCACGTCACGAGGTCCGGGTGATTGGAAGGGAACGAACACGCCGATAGAACTGGTAGAGTTGAAAAGTGTTTGTTGGTAAAATTGAAGGCAACTGATCTTTTTTAGTATTTCAATGTATATAATTACTACATCAGGGTGCTGGTACCACCCCGAGCTCCGTGGTGCGTGTCAAGTTTCGCTCACTCCAGCAAGAATGCCGGCAGCATCTGCGATCTGATGTTGCTTCGTGTGTGAAGCGACGTCAAAGAGTCAATGTGTAGTCCAAGTTGCAATGGATCTCGAGGAGACCGTTGCAGGAGCCTGAGCGACAATGCCAAGCTGTAGACCTACCCTCTCTTTTCCTGAGGTGTGTCACACCGACACGAAGGATGATGTACTTACTGCAGTTCATCAAGAACACAACCAGGTAGGTCGACATCAATTGGATTTGTTCATGAGAGATCCAACTGCCTCAACGGATCCAACTGCCGTGCCTCTTCGATCTTTTCCCAGACTTCCTCGAGGATGTCTTCTGGCATTCCTGGGTCGCCAGATCCGGCGAGTCCGCGCCCACCAAACATAACAAGAAGGGATAGGCCGGTGGGCCCCAACAAAGGCCTTGCACAGCCAACAAAAAGCGCAAAAAGGGGACCGTATACCAGGGTCATCCTGTCTGGGTGTCCAATAGACTACCTTACGGTCTCCATTGGGCACCCGTTGGAAGTGCTAGGTAGACATCCGTCTTTCGCACCATACCGGTCGATCGGCAGGCAAAGGAGCCCGCTGAGGGAGCAGCGGATGCCACTGGCGAGACGAAAACGACCTGGGCTTCGAGCGATTTCGTTTGATCACCTTCTCAACGATCCGATATCTTCTTGATGGGTCCGCCGTCTCCTGGTCTCCACGCAGGATGAAGAAAGCCACAGCAAGAATTGAATTTCAAGACAGTCAGAGCCGTGGACAAGATTCATCGTGGAAAAAACTGTTCCAGAAAGAAGAAACGCCCCTTGTCAGTGGCCCACCCCTGCGCTCCTGGGCCATCATCAATGGGCTTAGGCCCCCTTCTTTGATCTTCATCAAAGAATTTCGCCTCTCGTTCCCACAAACGCTCATCTCATGAAGCCAATATCTATTGAAAGAGGGACCCTCAGACCCCCAGCCAAACTTCCGGGTCAAGCGGGCAACATCAGCAATTCATTGGGCCAGCTTCGAGCACTCTTCCGGTTTCCGATCTCCCAGGGTGGCTAATGTCAGTCTTTCGCATGGCCTTGCAATCTTTCGTTCTTCTTCCTTGGCCTCCTCCACTTCCTGAACACGGGCAACAGCATGCAGTTTAAGCCGGCGAGATTGCGTAATTTTGGGCCGCGCCTGCGCCACTTGCTTGGCAATTTCACTGCGGCTGGTATCCACTTTGGTTTCGTAGCAAAACTTGCCTGGCACACGTCACTCAGCTCCCATCCTACAGAGGTGAAGTGACCTTATGACCCGTAACCAGGGGTACCTATAGGATAGTCTATAGGGTTCTTCAACCTCTGCTCGATCTGCTTCCATCTGCTTCTGCTCCCGCTGGCGAGTTCCGTACCAAGACAGGCTGGCCAGGCGATGCTGTGGGCTCTCGGGAAGCTCCACGAAGAAGCGCGCTCGCTCCATGCTCGCTTGCTGGCGGCCGGGGGGACGTTTTGAGTCAGCTTTCAAGAGAGAACTTCTGTTCACACGCTGGACGTTCTGTCCAAGGAAGCCTGTTTGGAAAGAACTTTCGACGCATGGTAGCAGAAAACATGCAGGAGAAGTGAGGGTGTCTGCTGTGGGCAACAGCAATCACACTGCATGGCAGGCGCACAGGCATGGGGAGGATATGCTCTTTGGGGCCTTGAATTGAGCAGCCCAAAGAGCAAAAAAAAGAACAGACCACAAGAAAGTGAGGGGAAATTGTATACGGAGAACAAAGATGACTGAACTAAGTATATAGAGAGAGAGAGAGAAAAAAAAAACATGCCAACGAAAAGAGAAGGTGCAGGCTGTCAAAGGAAACTGCCGGAGGCAAAAGAGCACCAATTTTGGCTGGCCGAAGACATGTTGCCCTATGCTGATGTTTTGTTGATCCTGGTCTTCAGAAAAGCATCTGTCGATTTGAATATTCCTCAACTTCATCTTTGAAGCCGATCAGAGTAACGTTCACACCACCACTCACAGCATCAAAAACCACTCTCAGACATGGATCCCATGCTGTGCTTTCTTTGTTGGAAACCATGGTGCCGGCGTGGGGGGGGGGGCGGGTGGTGTGTGCCGCTGTCCCCACTGAGGTCCCCGCCAAAGAGCCTCCATACTTGGAGGCCATATATAGTCGATCGCGCCCCAGCTTCAAGCGAGTCTGGACGCGAAAACCATCGAAAACCGTCATGACAAAACCAGACGCAAAAAAGAGAAATGGCCAGTTCGTCAACATGGTCCTAGGGTCATCGGTTGGTCATCGGCTTGGCCAGTTCTATCAACAATCTACCCAGACGCGCCCCTGGACCCTCCTAAGTAGCCGTACCCTCATATGGAGGGGTCCGGACCCTCAAATCCCCATGGTTTTGAGGGACCGGTCGGACTGTTTGGAGCGTCATGGTCCCAACCGACGTCGGCCGCCCGCGGTTGGTTTCCAACGGGTTCAGCTCCATCGGTTCCATTCGGCGGAGAGACGCCGTGCCCGACCGTGACCAAAACCAGGGACCGATGGGACGGAAAGGGCCCGTGCCGAGCCGCATGGGGCTGGGGAAGGCAGGATTGATCGGGCCCAGAAAGCTGGAGCCGGGTGACCGGAGTGACCTCTGTTTTGATAGGACTGGTTTTGGGGCGAAGCCGGTGCCCTAGACAAACAGCGAAGTCTGGACAGCGAAGATGGCAAGACACCCCAAACGAGGAACCCCCGAATGAGCCGGAGCGACCTCTGTTTTGATAGGAAAAGAATGGAAAAGACCCATACTTTGGGTGGTGGCCCAATAATGTAGACTCTTGAGGACCATACAACGGGGGGGTTTAGACACGTCCAGAGTCTACATTAGAGGTCACATCGGCTCCACAAAGGTCGAACTCAAGGGCTCGTCCATCGTTGGAACAGCCACATGGTCGGAGAGGTGTCCCCCCCCCCCACGGCTCACAGAGCAGATCAGTCAGACCTAAGACTCGGCCGCCAAAGCTATTGAAAAGAATACAACATGAACATGACATCGCATGACAGGAATTTTCGGATGTCAATGATTGTTTCAGGGTGTTGCTGGGTCCATTCTCGTAGACCCTTCGGTCCTTGGAGCGGCTTAAGCTTCATGGAGCGAAGCGGAAACCCCCACCGGATCGGCGAGCGGATCCCGAGGCGGTCTTCGGGCCTCGTCTAAGGCTGGAAGTTGAAGGGAGACGGGCTGCTGGTACAGCGCGGACCTGGGAGAAGCGGGAGCCCTGGAACCCGCCGCGGAGGAAAACGGCGTATGAAAAACCGGAGAAGCATCCAGGAAGCCATGCGTCCTCAGCATGGGCCTTGTCTACATCTGTCTTCGTGTCGGGGCGAAATTCGTCATGCTGCTGAACGATCATTCTTGGCGACCGCATACTTAGACTCGCCTTTCATTTCAATGCGCTTGGTGATCCCAACATGGGATAGCCTTTGTTTGATCATCAAGTCGGATCTGGGCTTGGAGGGCATCAACACAAATCAAGCTACGAGACTTGTCAAGAACACAATAATGCAGACTCTTGATTGTATTTCAACCCCATATGAGCGACGACCTTTATTTGAATAAATATAATATATATATATATATCTGTTCGTATTTGCATTAATTTTTCTTGCATCTCGTTCAATTGAATTTGATATTGGATGATATTGGTGCTTGTCCGGAGTTTCGTTGTCCAAGTTGTCTACGTACCTCTGATGCCACAGAACTATACATGTACGGGAGATCTAGTTTTATAGCGTACCCCTACCTCGTTCAGCGGGGCCACAACGTTTTGGAAAAATTGGGGCCACCGCCAAGCTATTTTTTGTCGGTACAGTAAGAGGTGTTGCATTGCGTATCATTTTCTAACTGAGTGCGATTCGCAACAGCCTTTCACTCAACCTCCAGTTCATGATTTTGGGCCTAATGTTCAGCTGTTAGGACTTGTGGAGCATCCAACCAGCATCGCTAAATATCGGTTGCAATATGCATCTATTTCAGATGACGCTACTTTGCTTCTTGACCCTGAAGCTGACCATCGCTGACCATCGGCGCTCTGTGGACCGACGGTTCAGTTTAAACGGACTGAATCGCTTTGGTTGACCATTTGCAGCTTACAGCGTCATTGACAGTACAGGTACTTGCGTGGCAATGGATCGCGTTTTCTTTCCGAATCTGTCCTCATACGCTGCCGAGCTCTTTGCTATCTACAAGATTCTACAAGGCTATCAGTTTAATCAAGTGGGAGCATCACTGTTACCATACAGATTTGCAAATCCATTGTTGGCCAATTTGCTCCTGCAACCGGTCGGGTCAACCCACTGTGGCGACTCGTTTCAGCGGACAAGCTTGCCTGATGGACTTCCTGTGGGTTTCACGTCGCGGACGGATGAAGATCGAAGAACAGCTGAAGGTGCTGCACGCCATGGTACAACCCGACCATCCTCAACCGACCTGCAAACAGATATTGCTAAGGCAACAGGCAACCGTTTCTGCTCATGAAACCGGACCTGACGTGTTTCTTTCAGTTGCACAGGGTCCAAAGGACGGCACAGGGTCGCGTCAAATCGTTTTGGCCAAGCGGAACAGGTAGGTCAGTGGGCCGCCGTGATTTCACCGGCTAGCGAATCTCCCGGCGACAGACGCCGCACATCCCATAGGAGCCGGCCACTTGACTTCCGTGCCCCGTGGAACCCACGGCTGGGACGCTGGTGACCCAGCACCACAGTTGGCAAACGGACGTGGTTGGCACCCGGATTTCTGAAAACGTGGTTGGCAAAGTTGAATTCAAATGACCTTTCGACATGGTTTGACTTCACGAATTGTTTGGAGTGGCATCTTCAGGATGGAATCTGCACTTGATTTGTTGAATGTGCGTATTTATTCTGGAAACGCGGCTATCATGGATCAGCTTCATTCGTGTTCCTTGTGCGACTCTACCTTTCGTGATTTGACGTTTAGGTTCCGGCGGACCTTTATCAACAAGATTCCCAACCACGGTGTGTTTCCAGTTCATTTACTGACCAGTACCGCCTGAAAACGGAAGGGCGGACCTTACCTCAAGATCCTCAAGGTGCAATCATTGAGGCGATTCCCCCTTTCGCTTTGGACGAGCTTGCAGGTTTTACGGAACTCCGCGTAGAGGGTGGTTCAAAACAACTTTCGAAGTGGGAGTTCCCAATTTGAGTTGGTCGTTTTGTTTCTTTTCTCACTTGACTCCGTGCACCCTTTCTTTAATTAGAGTTATTAGATGTTATTAGTTGCTGTTGCGACGACTGCGTGGGGATTTGCAATGAGGGAGATAGAAAAGGTCTTACATTCATAAATTGGGGTCTATAGTCAAGGATCTACACCATTGCTTGGAAGGTGGTCTATGGTGTCTACAAATACGATCTTCCTTTCTTGTTTCTTTGTTTCTAATAGCGATGGCCTCCACCCTAGTAGCGATGGCCTCCAACCTGGGTCTACAAGATTGTTTCGAAGGTGGTTGATGCTTGATGCGAGCGGATAGGGCGAGCGGATTGGATCTTAGTCTGGTCTGTCAGACTGGACCAGTCAATCGATTTGGCATCAAAACAGGCCCTCTGAGGGTCCCTCACATCCCAATTTCAGGGTCCAGACTGCCTAGGAGTATTTGAACCCACCCTAAACGGAGGGTCCAGGGTCGCCTCTGGCTGTATATCAAGAGAGCTGAAAAGCCCTAGAGCACCGACCATCTGAGGCTTTGGATCACCGACCCTAAAAGTGAAGCCCTTCATGGCTCGGGTCCTCCGACAGTTTAGTGACCCTACAAGTCCCAAAGTACCACATCTGACCCTACAAGTCGGCAAAGGAATGATCCCCCCTTGGTACCGCCGAAGGTCGTGTCTACAGGAGTTCAGTATGGGAGAACCAAGGGGGATGGAAGGTCCTCGACGGAGGGGTCTCCGAGTGGACCTTTCCATACCACGTCCTGCGCTCCGCAGCACGCTCCCTCGTCCGGAGCACGTCCGGCGCGCCAGGCGCGGCGTCCGCGGAGAGAGCTGTGTGAGCTGAGCCGTGTTGCTCTCTCTGAGCGCCCCGAGCTCGTGCAGGGATGGTGACGCCGGCGGGATGTCATCATCGCAGACGGCTAAGCCTCATCTCCAAGCAAAAACCATAAAACCGAGACCCTGTAGGGATTCCTGGCCCATCATTGATTGAATAGCTTTCTTAGAGCAATCATGGAAAACACCAGAACAACCAGGTCAACCGAACTCTTTGAATGGTGGAACGGAAGGCGAACCGGTATCAACACAAGCTCTGACCAGCTCTGCAGGTTGAAAACCGGGTGCCACACCTGCCATGACCAGCGTGCTTCTGTAACCTGAGGCTTCTCCTGATGTCCGTCCAACCACACATTGACATCCTACTCCACTCCGGGTCGAGTGGTGCTGCAAACAAATCCGCCCTTCTTGGCAAAAACACCATGGAACACCCGCCCGCCATCTCTCCAACATGTTCTCCTTAGAACATCCCACATCGCGTTGAACGTCTGGTTTCCGGCTGTTCTTTTCCGCAATGGCCGGGCCACCCCTGGGCCTGTGACTTTTTCCTTTGGAGGTTGAAGAGCCTGAATCCATGATGAAATCCGATCATCGGCCATCGCACAGACTGACAAAATCGAGCTCGAGCTATATCACTCGATACATCCGAGCGAGCTAGCCAGTTCACCAGATAGAAACTCCCTCATGATGACTCATGATGACTGCTTGTACTTTTTCACGAAACGATATGGCTCATCTGAGGAAGGCACCATCCATGCTTTGAACTGTCTCCAATCCCTCACGGGCTCCAAGGCCTTCTCGACCACCGCCTGTGTATGGGGTGCAAAGAGGAGGTGCAGGGCCACATGCATCATCTGCTGCAAAAAGAGAAACTAAGGCTGGGTCCATGGCTTGCAGCACAGAACTGAGCACTGCATGCTTCAGTTCATCTCTGAGCCAGAACTGAAAAAGAGAGCAATATCTTCCTGCGCTGAACTCGCATCTTGAAGCCTAGCAGCTGACATACTAGGTGGCTAGAGTGCAGGATCCTGAGTCTGGCAATTCATAGAAACTCGTGCGTTCATCAACAAACATCCAGCTCTAAATGAAATACTTGACCAGTAACACTCGTATCTATTGAAGAATCACCGAAGATACCCAATACACAATGAGTGACTCGTGTTATATGGTACCCTTTCTTTCCAACCCGTTCGGCCCATGTTTCGCCAGGGCCCATGATTCGGCGACGCCAATTGATCCGAACATCGATGGATCCTTTGCCCCAGCACGTCCTTCTCACCCTCCATCGGTCAGCTCAGCTGAGTGGGAAGGATGTATCAAGCCACTCCCAAGGGCCCAGCCCGTCTGCGTTGGTTCCAAGATGTTCCAAGGGGCCAAGCTGGGGGGGGTTGAGGGTCTGAAGATCAACTTCTTCAACCCACGTCTCTAAATTCTGTGACGTGCCAAGCTCCACAGACCGACGTGTCGACACAGTTCGCGCGTTGTTCTTGGATCATGCGCACTGCATGCGATGGGTCTGGCGTCCACACAGACAACTAGCTCAAACACTTGAAGTAAAGATTTGTCTGGCACTTAGGCCATTTTCGTCAGACCTGACTAGCGCCCAGCTCAGATCAACGCAAGCAGCTATGTGAGAAGGCGGTGCATGATCCAAACGACCAATTATTAAATACAACTCTATTGACTATATTGATCAAATCTGGCATCCATGTCAAAATAGCGAGTCTGAAGCTGGCAGGGGGTGAAGACCCTCCTGGAGCTCTGAATCCGACACTTTCTGGTCAGGCTCAGAGGGAACTGCCAGGTTTTCTTCACGCTCTACGCGGTCGACGCCCACAGCACAGGCGGCAGGCAGGCGCCCGGCAAGAGTTTGGGGCTCCCGGCAGTTCCATTCCACGACGCTGTTTCAGGCTTGAAAAAGACCCTCGGGGCAGATTGACGCCCGAAGGACCAGAGCTGCAGCGAGGCAGGCGTAGGCGCGGCGCGCGAGCCGTAGGCGCGGCGTAGTGCAGTGCTCGAAGCGGTTTGCATTCAAGCACCAAGGACCATTCATGGTGCTGCCGGCGAGTGCTGCTGGGCAGTGCTGCTCAGGATGCAAATCTCTGTGATTACAACATCACTTACTTGGGCAGCAGAAAATACTGATCAGCAACAAATACTTTCATGCAGGTGAAGGCTCAAACAGCCTTCAGACGCTGACCTTTGTCGCCGCTGCCGCTGTGGCTTTAACCCGATGAATCCACCGAACAACACGAACAATACTATATAATAATATCTAATAATGTGCCTTTTGCTAAGAGAATCCACGAGAACAATACACATGAAAAAAAACACGGAGCAGCTCAAGCGCAAAGGTCAGGAAGTGTGCTACGTGATGGTACGTGCAGGTGCTCCTGGCCGAGTCGTTGGCGCCAGAGTCCAGTCCACAAACACCACCGACGCACCACACACGCACCACAGTTCCGTTTTCGAACGGATAGACCCTCCATGCATTATGTATTACATACAATTGACCCCAGGTCTCACCCAGGTCAACGTGGTATCGGTCGCCACTCCCAGGCCCGGGTTCCTCGGTATGATGGCGACCACGCCGCCGGGTCGGACGCCGCGGTCGATCAAGACGGGGTGTCGATGGACAGCTGGGGTTCTCCTAAGCAGCTAGCCTGTTGACAAGCATGTTCGTGCGATTTACGTCCTGATTGCAGTTTGGATGAGAAAGACAATACATTGTTTTAAAAAAAAAAAAAGAAAATGCAGGCATATGCAGGCATATGTGGGCCAAAGTTCAAAGGGGGCAAGTAAACACCAGAAGCTAAATTGAGATGCATTGTGCTGGCTCAGCTTGTAAAAGCACCTGGATGTTGATGGGAAATGATGGGAATCATCAAGCACCCCGGAAAAAGATCCTATATAGCGACCACTGGGGCTCCAAACACCACCAGCAAAACACCTATGGCGCCTCAAGCTGGCCCCCGCCTGCACCAGGAGGTGCCCCGCGTTCCAGGTCGCACTGCCCTTCCCCCCGCAACCACCCGCCACCACAACCGTCGCTCCTCAGGGATTCAAGGCTTCATCTGCAGGCTCGTCCGTGGCAACCTCGCAGCAGCACCCGGTTCCGGCGCGGTGCGCGCTTTCATCTCTCGCGTTGGACCCCGCGCGCGCGCGCGGTGAAACAGCGGGCATCCCGGTGGCCGAAAGGGGCGAGCATTGCATCTGGGGGCATCCGACGGTGTTCGAGTACCAGCGTCTTCTGACCTGGGCGATCGCCGACGTCTGGCGATGTGGCGATGTCGTCCGATGTGTATGGAACTTTGCCCGAACGGAGCTGTAGAGACTCAGACTGACTTCCAGTGTATATCATTGTAATATGAATGTACTATGTTTCATGTTTAAAAAAAAAAGACGGCTGCGTTGCACATCTGAAGGCGGAGAACTGTCTTAGCATCCGACAAAATAGCCCACCACCATCATCACAATGCCCACCGCAACACCCACGACTGCCTGTAGAAATGCATGTGTCCAAACCAAGGAATGCTTTCTGGGCTCCAAGGATCATGCACGCATGCAAATGCTTGCTTAAATGGTCCGAGTCAGCAGTCAAAATGACAGACAAAGCAAAGCCATGGTTTTCACCCAAGCCCACATGTTTCAATGTGTTACAAACGGTATCTTGCTCAGGCAACAAACTTGAGTCCAACTTCTTTTGCTTGACAGCGCTGAGTGCGACACACCGATGAGGATGGATTGCACCAAAGCAACAGTGGGATCCTGGCAAGGGGGGCAGATCCAGGAGTGGAGTGGGGAGAGGCCATGGCGGCAACTCATCTAGCACGACCCATCTTGCGAATGCAAGCTGCGGATATCCATCACCAGTGCTCAGACTCGACAGACTAGGAACTGTATCTACAGCGAGGCAATTGAGCAGCATCGGGCACCGTGTTCAACACTACAGCCACCGACAAACCTATTCACCGCTCCAACATGTTCGTTTGGGGTGGGTTTGAAGGGTCCAAATACACTTCTGGGGAGGTACTTGGAGGTGTAGGGATACTAGTTACTAGCCCTAGGGCTCACCCCCCAAACCCCAATAAATGGACAATGCGACTATCCACGGTCCTGTGGAGCCTGTGGAGACTTTAGAACCTTAGAGGAGGTCATCTACCCCCCGCCCCGGATGAAGTAACTTAACTATTTAATTGCTCAGTAGTGTACTTTAACTATTTAATCCTACCCTGCTCCAGTGCTGGATTCAAAGTTCAAGCGAAATTCAGAAGGGCTTGAGTGCCAACAAGAAACAATCTACAATCAGTCATGAATTGAGTTAAAAGATCCCGAGGGCCTTGACCTAAATAATATGTACAATCTGAGTCATGATTTGTTTTTTGAAAAGTAACCCGGTAGGGTGGTGCACTACTTAGTTACTTACGTACCCCTGGATGCTATGTTGCACCTCTTTCTCTCTCTTTCTCTCTCTTTCTCTCTCTCTCTCTCTCTCTCTCTCCCCCTCTCTCTCTCTCTCTCTCTCTTCGCCCCCATCCAACATAAACATGACATTCATCAGGTAGTTCAAGTTCTGATGAGTTAATACTATTACACCTTTTTCTCAGTGATTTTGCACAACTTCTTGTATGTCATGACCCAATGACCCACCCACCCCAGGATTTCTGCACGGACATGAATCCAATCAAAAAATCCCAGAACTGACTGAGAAGGCCCTTGGATTAATGTCCTAATGCAAAATGCATTTAACAAACAAACAAACAAACAAACACATTTTTTAAAAAAATATATAACAAAATTAACAAACAAACAAATACCTGTATAAATATACCGTCTAGAAAGTGGATCACTGCTAACCAAGTGTCTTTAAACCATTCCACAACGGGACTTCGGAGCTGGCCCCCCCTCCCCCCACCTCTGGCACGGCCTCCTCAGGCTCCTCGGTTTGGGGGACGAAAACCAGATCCGTGTAGGGCTGAGCGGGGCTGGTGCTGAAGTCATGGGTTTCAGTAAAACGAATGAAGTAAGCTGGTACTAGTAATGAAGTAACCAGCTGGTACTAGCTTCACATGGGTTTCACCTGGAATGAGTGATGATGATGCTTTCCTCATGTAAGACCAAGAAGAAACAAAACACGTACTCACGATGGTTCACTCATTCCACCCAACAGCAGCTCACTGTTCAACAATCTGCCGCAAGAGCAAGAGTCCAACAAAAATTCCACGAGCTGACTTTCCAGCCTGCGGACACAACATGGAAAAAGACATTGAAACATCGCAAAACGTCTTCGTCAGCTGACATGTTTGACGGGCAGCAGCTCTTCAGCCACGCTGAGGCTCGGACTGTGGTTGCATTAGGGTCTGACGTGGTGGTGCTCGCGAAGGTGGTGGATAAAGTCGTTTCCGTCGTGGTGAAGTTGTTGGAAGTTGTTGTGGTGTTGGACGTTGCCTGGCGCGGAAAGAAATCACGAACTCCCTTCGAAGAGACAGCTGTGGAAGAGCAAGGAAACAGCTGTGCCCTTGCCTGGTCGGTTGGAACATCAGTGAGCTCGATCTGAGTCAGAAATGAGCGCAAATCACAAGCATAAACGCGGGAGAAATACCTCAAATGAACGTTTATAACATGATTTCTTGTATATACTTCAACCTGAACACTTGAAATATTTGAACCGTGGGTAAAAACATGTCAAGCCTCTATGTACACTGTCTTTCCGGAGCTGTGCGCAGCCATGAAACACCAATGCCAAAGTCTCTGAGCATCTTCTCTCAATACGTCTCTTTAGAAACAGAAGCTGAGACCGGCACTGCTTCAAGTACGACCGGAATTTGAAGAATGTCCGAAAGCACGCCAGCCTGGCAGCGGCCGACAGGAAACCGACATGAAACCGACACAACATAACATCTTGCGAATGCTGGGGCGCGTACTTACAATTTTGGGGCGGTCATGGTATGTCATGGTCATATCCGCTCCTCTTCTTCCCCCAACCACGGGTTTTCCTTCTGGTTCTTATCGCCTTTACCTTCCTTTTGTTGTGCGAGCAGCCAATCTGCACAGAACAAAAGTCACACCAGGAAAAAGCTGAGACCGCTACGTCTGAGGCATTCTGCAAAATCCTTGGTTGACACTCTGTGCCACTCTGTGCCACTCTGATCATCGGAAAGCGAAGAACATGTCCAGAGGCAAGCCAGCTACAGGTTGCCTCAATCCCACCGTCAGCGTGAGTGAACTATCATCATCATCATCATCATCATCATCATCATCATCATCATCATCATCATCATCATCATCATCATCTGAACAGTGTCCAACAGTGACAAAGGACAAGCACAAGGAGCAGAACCACGGCAATGCTAGCTAGCAACAAACGACAACACTGGGACGGTCACGAGGTGTTGCTTGACTTGTCATGTCAGGCACACCCTGAAAAAAATCCCCTGCTGGGTGGTGATCTCAGTGTGGTGGCGGTAGTGAAAATGGTAATACTAACCAGTAGATAACTGGTACCTGTAGTGGTAGTGTACATGGTAGTCTAGTGGTACTAATGGTAATAAACCTAGCAATAGCATTGGGAGCAGTTGCCGTCCTGCTGGTGGTGGTGGTGGTGGTCGTGGTGGTGGCGCTGGTGATGGTGGTAGCAGCTGTTGCCGTTGCCATTGCCGTTGCCGTTGCCGCCGCCGTCGCCGTCGCCGTCGCCCCCGCCGCCGCCGTCGCCGTTACCATTGCCGTCGCCGTCGCCGCCATCGTCGTCGTCTTTGTTGTTGGTAGTGGTAGTCGTCGCCATCATCGTCGTCGTCGCCGTCGGTAGTGGTGGTGGCGGCGGCAGCAGGGGTGGTGGCAACTCTGATATTAGCAGTAGTGGTAGTAGGTAGTACCACCTATCTGTGCACCAATAGAACCTCTGCCCAATCCTATCAAAGACGAGCCCGGTGGTTGATCGTTGACCCGAACAACGCGCCAAAAGCAGCCCAGACTGAAGCAAAGCTGTCCTTCAGCAATAGCCCTAACCATGACCCCGTAAAGTTATGTCATGTTATGTCTAGTTCCAACCTTGCAACCATCATTTTAGACACCCACTTGGGTCTCTACCCGCAGCAACAGCTCAATGATCTCCAGCGCATGAAGTGCTAATCGAATCATGGATTTAAACTGAGGTACCTCTACCAGGACCTTCCAAGAGGTGTTTATAAACAGCCTCTTAGAGGTCAAGGGGTGCCCAAAAACCACCTGTTGGAAGGTCCTGGTATACTTCATACATGTTCACACCAAAGCAACTTGTAAATGCATGCTGAACTGTTCCCACTCTTCCGGTGTCGTCCAACTGTCAAACACTGATCTCGATCACCCCGACCCCAACCAGCCGACTCTGCCCCCAAAAAAACGAGTTCACGGTCCAACACAGGGTCTTCTCTGCACTGACTCTGCACTCAAACCAACTGGCCTAGATCCACTCCAATGCCATTCACGCCATGATGAGATAGATGGAAGGCGCGATGAGATCAGACACCCCGATATATAGAGAGATATCGGAGCAGTCTACATGCTTTCAATGGTCTTTCGGGTCCTTTCAGTGAACAAGAACATGGAATGTCCACATTCCTTGGTGCCAAGGGGCGGTCCTAACATATAAATGATGATCGGCTACCTAGGCACCTAGGGAGCATCCTCTTCCATCCAGCCCAAGGGGCTGAACCAGCGCGGCCAGCTCGGTGATCGCTGCTCCACTGAATTCGAAGCCTCGAAAGACGGCCGCTTAGCTGCGCGGCGGTCGGACGCGGGTTGGCGAAGGGGGAAGAACACATTAAACACAGTTCTGTGAAAGGACACCTCTGAAAAGAGTGAGAGAGAGAGATAGAGAGAGATGAATTATGATGAATTCATATGAATTCCAAGTCCAAACTACAAGTGTTCTCAGATTTGATGTGGGCATGAAGGGGGATCCAGAATGATCGACATACCTTGTGAGAAGTCCAGTCATATACAGTCCTACCTTTTCAAAACGGCTCCAGACTGATCTGAGGTCTCCCCACTTCCACTTCCAGTGGTTGGGCTGCCAGGAGCGGCTGTGGGGACAATTGCATCCCACGTCTGTCCTGCGGGAGGCCTCAGTGTCGGCCATTCACTTCTCTTCCCATGTCCACATCGCACGGGCAGCGCTTGATCTCAAGGGCAGAGTCGTTCCAGGGCCAGCACGGAACGCCCGAATCGGCGAATGCCTGACACCGCAGGAGGGTTCAGCCACCGAAAGCCACCGGACTCCGCGTCGATTCCGCGTCCCGCCGCCCAACTCCACACGCGGAATCCGCATGCTTTGGTGCCTCCCCTGGCACAGGTTCTGGGTTCTCCTCGACAATTTGGAAGATGACCGACCTGAGAAAATGGCCGTGGCGTCCATTCGACCACATCTGAGCCACGAGGCCGGTTAAGGGGAGGTGCATACTTCGAGGACCAACAGTCCAACAAGGGTGTTCTTTTGAGATGAAACAGTCCAACGGGGGGGTTGACAATTCCAACGGATTCGATATAGTTCGTCGGAGGCATTCTCTCACTGGCCTCTGGATGCCTTCTTCTGTGAAGAGCTCAAAGAAAACGTAAGAAAACAAAGAAATGCGGTCTTGCAAGGTCTCGCATCTCGCACCTCATTTGACATCTATCAAAGCGACAGGTCCAAAGAGAAAACCGTGTTCGAAGAGTCCAAAACCATCCAACAACCCCTAATTCATCCAGCCTCAGGATCCGACCCAAACCAACACCATCTATAAAAATAGCTCCAACGGCCATGGGGAGGCCCCAACTCGAAACCGCCGAACTTTTCCCGGAAAAAAAAAACATTACTAAATTCTCCGTCCTGGTTCTCCTGCTGAAAAGACTCGGACCTGTTCTCCTTTGCCCTACCAGACACGACGCGCCTTCGGCGCGGGCCACCGGGGCTTCCGGGCAGCTCTTCGCCCTGCAGCAGGCGTTCTTGCAGGGTGGCCTCTCCACAGCCAACGAATGAGGCGCTTCACGAAGGCAGTTGATTACAGTATAGTATATGTACTGTGTATACATAGTATAGTATAGTATATACCAGGACCTTCCAACAGGTCACCACCTGCGACGCCCTTAAGTCTCCAAAAGCCACCATTTCGGAGACCTGTTGGAGGGTTCTGGTAGATGTATAGTTTAGGGTTTAGGGTTATATGTATATACGTCCCTCCCCAAAACGATCAGTCCCGGTTTGGTGAGTGAACATGCTCTTCTTGGAGTGCTTTAATCAAGGGGGTCTGTGACTGTTTGGTGTTCGTCTGGATCGCAGCTCGTTCGACTCACGCATCACGGGAAGTTCGACGTGCGCATTCCAGGGGTGGACTCTCCTCATTGTTCTGGATCTTCGCTGGCCTATGGTCTTTCTTCCACCCAAAAAATCCAGAAATACCTCAAACCGGAAGATCCGGAAGTGGATGGTCTGGCACCGAAGGGCGCCGATGACTTTCCATGACTTTCCTGTAGAAAAAAGGGGTTGTCCACTTGCGATTCCACCACAGACAAAGTCAACCCACAGCCCTCTGTCTTTCTGTTCAGCGCGCCGCAGCAAAACTTGATGCGTTTCCTCATCCACCGCTCCGTCCGCTCAGCCTGTAGCATCTCAAGAGCCTCCAGGAGGCGACCACCTTGTGCTGCCACTTGTGCCTGGTGGCACACGCCGTGCCAAATCACCCTCCCACAACGCCAGGGGTTCCCCGCCGGGTTCCAAGGACACGAGGCAGTGCGGCGCGAATTGAACCGTGGTGGTCTTTTTTTCGACCGATGGATCATGGGTCTTGACCCTCCCGCCACCGGTTTCGACAGTCGACCCTCGCGCCACCGGACCAGAACGAACGTCTTTTTGGAGCGCAGTCCATGTGCAGAGCCACGAGCCACGAACACGAGTGGCTCAATGGATCAACAGCAAGCAGTTTAGAACATGCAACTGCCCAGGTCAACCGGAGCATGCAGGAGCGACTGCGTGATTGACCGGAAAGAAGGGGGCCGGAAGCAAACACCACAGTACACATTTTGTCTGTTGTCACTGTTGTCAAGCACAAAACTGTGCGTTCCAATTTGGTTGGAATATGATCTTGGCAGCCAGTCGCGCCTTCGATTGCACCTGCACAATCTTGATTCGAGCTGGGTCAATGGCCAACCTGAACAAGCAGCCAAAAGACATCTTGCTGGGAATCCAATCCGCTCACGTCAAGGCCAAAATTCTTGTCATGTGTGGATTGACAAACTGGATTGTTGATGGATCAAACACCCGCCCTACCAGAATAGTTTAGTTTTGCGTCATGAATTCATGCTTGTGGGCCCCGCTCGCGGTGCTTCACGTCGCCCCCGGCCACACCACTGGCGCCGCCCACTGGCCATGTCTCGGGCGCCGGACAGCGCAGCGACGTTGCTCACAAACTTGTCTTGCTCGACCGAATCAAAATCTGCTAAGGGCATGGACCTGGTCGGCCCGGCCCAGCTCGCGTTCTCCGACCGCGGACGCATTCGGCGCGTGCTGCGGAGGGGCACCCCGCCGGCGAGTCTCGGGAACGAGCGGGCCACCGTGGGAACGCAACGAACACATCAGTCGCAATAAATAGGTGATATATGGAGTTGTCAATCATCGTTAACTTGTCGTGTGATGTTCAAGGCAGATTCAAGACCGAACACTAGCCTTTTAGTGTAAAACCCTTAGTAAAACACTGGTTGTTTCGTAAAGGCTATTAAACAATGCGTGCGGTTTTCTTTGGTGATGTTTTTGGCGTTCGGGGAGTTTGGTTTTTTGCGGTCCTGGTTTCTCTACAGGTCCTTCAGTAAAACTGGAAAAGCATTGCGTTTGGGTGATTTTGTTGTGCGGTCGTGGTTTCTCTGTAGTTCCTTCAGTGGAACTGAAAAAAACTATATTACCTTCGGATGACATAGGATTTAGAAAACATACATGGAAACTCACACATTCCCAAGTCATCTGCTGTGTCCCCTGTGTGTCTGGGTGTATAAATCCCGTGTCTTCAGGCAAAAAGAACCAAAAAAGAAGATAGTGCGAAACAACATCACCAGAAGCAAAAAGCAGAGTGGGAACACAAAGAGGGGGAAAAGCATACAAAGCTAGAAAAGAAAGCATAAAGCAACACTAACTCAAGGATTGAAAACCAACTTATCAAAAGTGAAAGCAACAAAAACCATAGACAGAAAAGACATTACCCCAAGCCACAAAAAAGAGAATTAAAGTAAAGAAGAATAGCCGTGAAGAACAAACCAAGCGCAAAAAGAGCCGGAAAAGTAAGTTAAAAACACATTCACAAAGGAGCAATGAAAAGCAAGGAAAAAGCAAGACTAGCACGGAATAGGAGAGAAAGCAAGAAAAGCGGGCAACCACAGAAAAGATCAGAAAAGCAATGAGAAGCAAGACTAGCTCAGAAAAATAGATCTGAAAAAGCAAGAAAAGCGGGAGCAATGACAGAACAGCAATGAGAAGCAAGGAACAGCAAGGAACAGCAAGAAAAACAGAGGTGGTCATAGAGAAGCAAGGAAAGCAAGAGAAGCGGTCAGAAGCAAATCCAAAAACTACTCATCAAGCTCAACAAAAAGATCCCCTAAAAATTGCCCTCAACAATACAATTCAATACATGGATATACGTGGTGGTTCGAATACAACGGGCGAAAGCACGAGTCTCTTCAAAAGCGGCAACTCAGAACCCAACACGGTCATTGTAACCTGCACGACCTGCGAGATGCATGATGCAAGCTCATTGATGACTGCATACGAATATTCAAATGTCTGGATTGGGAATCAGGAATGCAATATCTCCGCAAGATGGCCCTTGTACATCCTTGTACTACATAATACGCAGTGTGTCTTTCTCTACAATTCTTTACACCTGCAGCCTACAATGTGATTGGGTTACAATCTGAGGGGGCTTCTTGGTCTCAGTGGTCTCGGCACGTAGATCCCTCGCGCATTCTCCCCCCGCCTGCAATAATCTCAGCAAGATAAATCCCCCACCGACGCTGGCGGCCTCGGTGGCACCGTGATGCTGCTCCGCAGATGTCCGCGGACGGACGCGGGTCCGGCGGTGCCACCGCCGACGGTCCAACCGATCTCACCCAAAGGTCCGATCTGCAGACCAGTCGGAAGATCTGTGGACCTTCTATCTTGAGAGGTTGGACAGCCATCCATAGGGCGCCCATCCCATATGTACCACTCACTACAGGGTCCTAGTTCGGGTCTCTCAATCTTCACCTCCCCCGGCGGTCAGGTCGGACACCAGGGGTTCGACACGGATTCTCCGACCCGGTCCGACCGGAGCCTCGGCGTGTCGGGTCGACGTGCGTCGTGACCTGCCCCCGAGGCCGCGGCACGTCCATCGAAGAAGCCTCCTTGCATCACCAAGTAGAAGCGGCGCCTCGGAGCTGGACACCCGGGCAACTGCTGAAGGCTGGGAACTGGCAATTGGCCAACATGTCTCTGGAGGAACCAAACCAGGGTTTCACATCATCCCCATACACTCCATGTATGGAATATATGCCTACATTGACCCCTCAAACCACCCCAATGTAGATATATATGGCATACATGGAGCGTCTGGGATCCCTTTGGGGGAGGGTTTGATGAAATCGACAGTTGGCAATCAACGTTTGGCCCTCCGACGCTTGTGGGTCGAAAGCATAGGAGCCATGAGGGTCGGTGAGTTCCGGTAGCCGCGCGGGGGATTTCCTGGCAGCGTCGCATGCTTCCTCCGACGCAGGTGAACGAGAGAACCTTGTGAACCTCGCTCATAGCCATACACTAGAAGTCCAAAGACTATCTTTGGCGGTATTAAAGTGAAGGAAATTCATGTTTTCGGTCACCTAAAGAGCGTTGTTGAACTAGTCTTGGACTCTCAGGAAGGAATGGTTTCGCCCCACCATGCCTACTCTGCTCAAGTTCTTTACAACATCCCTACTCCCTCCCATCCTTTAGAATCCTTCTTTTCTGCTCTCTGCGCCTTTCAAACATGTCAGAGATGCTTGGCCGTGTCATACAGGTCTTCCGACATGAGGCTGCCATCCACATAGACCTCATCCACTCGTCAACGCGAACCCGCATCCTCATCCCAACACCCCTGGGGCCCGACTTCACCCCTCGATCTCGCGCCATCGTCTTCATCGCCCCCCCCCACTCGTCCCAACTCACTCGTCGCCTCTAATCGAAAGGGTTGGGTCAGGAAGATGTCCAGGCGAATCGTCTCATCCTGGCAGCTCCCACAGGATCGAAGCATCGAGAAGGATCGAGATGAAGATCTGTGTGGAACACACACGTCGAAGAACAGCCAACCGGAGGCCAGGCACCCAGCCAAACATGGAGTGTAACTCAATGCAGTGAAACATAGGGAAAACTCCGTCTCTTCTCCTGCTTGTTCAGTCTAAGTGAGTCTATCTTGTTGCAAGCGTCCGACCCCGCATCGATGGTCGAACTCAGAGCAGCAGTCCGGATTGTCGTTGAACCAGAAGAGGCGGTGATGCTTGGGTGGTGATGTGAACCTCAGGGAGCTCAGTGGCATTTGTGAAACGACCTGAGCTTCAAATGACTTCTGCGATGCAGACTTCTGCCTGCGTCATGCCTGGGGGCTTCCCCCCCAGTACCAGAAACAGCCCCGGTGGTTCCAATCTGGCTTTCTGGAGATCCTTTACATGACAAGTGCGCAGAGGACTGGGAGTTCCATCCATATTTGTTTGCTTGGGACAGGGTTTCATGGCAAAGACCGCACAAACATCGACATTCAGACTGGATTCCAAACAATGTCTTTGTACATCTTTGTACAATGTCTTTGCGCAAGACAGAGTTTCCATGATCTGTCACTTGAGCACTTCCCAGAAATATGCTTGTTAAGGGCAGAGCATGGTGAGATTGTACATATCATTTGGACCTGCAGATCGCAAGCGAAGGAAGCAAAACTGGCACCATTTGCATCCATTAGCTGTGTTGTTGTTGCATATGTCATGTCATCTGGTTGTTTTTCTGCTCCGGTTGTCCGAGCTTCGCGCGAAGCTTCCAGCTCCTATCGTGCTCAGCTCCGACTGGCAGGCATGTCTTCTCCTCCTGTGGACCTGGACGGGGCAGGGCTTTCGCGCACCCTCCCTAGGCTTCCGGAAGCCCACCATGAATTGAATAGGCGGGTCATCATCCCGAATCAACGAAGGATTTTACACGACAAAAACCAGGACGTTCCCATTTTCGTTGATGGTTGAGTCCGGTCGAACGTCGCGTCTCGGGCCGAAAGCCAGGTCGCACCATGTCACGGTTCGAAAACCACCACCCGAGACGGGTCGGATCGAAAGCGAAGTCGGGGCCCCGCGACCTGTTGACCACGTGTCACGGTCATCGGAGGCCCTCCAAGCCTGGCGAAGAACGAGGCAGAACCAACACCAGGAGTCATAGAGCGAGCGATAGGGGTGCCAGTTCCCAACGGAGGAGAGGATAGGGATCGGGGTGCCCCGACCATCACCTCCACGGGCGCCCGTGGATGGGACGAAGCAAACCACCCCGGCCCATGTGACGAACTCGCTTCCTTCACATGCTCCTTTCGGCCGAAGCATGCAGTTCTGTGGAGCCACCAGCAGCATGCAGGCGTCACCGGTTGAAACGCATGCAGCGGAGCAGTCGGGCAGCAGTCGGGTCCTTCGGTCTCGGGTCGCGTTGTCTCCAACGGCGGAGATGGTTTGTGTCCCATGGAGAGGACTGGCGCCATTGTTCAAGGGTCCCCATGGTGCATGGTTGGATGCCAACCAGACCATAGGGTTCTTGAAAGAACCAGACGCTGCAGGGGACCCTATGTATGTTCAAGGGTACCATAGGGTCCCTATGTATGCTCAAGAACCCTATGGATGCCAATGGATGGGATGGGTATGGTTTGTTTTTATAGGGTTCTTGATCCCCAGAGGGTTCTTGATCCCCAGACCGAGACCATCCATGAAAGTGTGAAGACGTAGATTGGGGTGGTTGACCGGAAATACGCCAGTCCCATGGATGGTCGACCGGATGGTTCTTTCCCTGTTGATAGGGGCAGTGTCACCAAGGACCAGCCATGGTTCCAAACTCCGCATACCACCCACGCCATGGATGGTTGGATGGTAAACAATGGCAAACATATATAGACATGGGGCGGGACTCATCAAGCAACCCGAACTGGGTGCTGCTGGTCATTACCCTGGGAGAGTTGCTTCTGTGTTGAGTTTCTTCAGCCATTGCCGTCCTCCGCCGTCCGAAAAGAAGAAGGTCCAGCCGTCCTCCGCGGAACAGCCCTGTCCATGTGCCTTGAACTTGCTGAGCACTCGATTCTCAGGGCCTCCCACTGCCTGAAAAAGGGCCATTCGGATCCGAAGCAACACTCCTCCACCCTCAGGTGGATCCCGCAGGATCCTTCAGGTGCCATGCAAAATGATATCGGGAACCGGTTTCGAGGCCTCCGATGGTGGGGTCTATCGATTTTTGCGTTTGACCCGTGGTTCCCAGCCTTTTTCTGGTGGTTTTTTCTGGGACCCACAAAGGCGATAGAAGCTCGTTCGGGCAAGTGCTTCAGATCTACTTGAAAATCTATTTCTATACCAGGACCTTCCAAGAGGTGTCTATAAATAGCCTCTTAGAGGTTAAGAGGTGCCCAAAAACCACCTGTTGGAAGGTCCTGGTACATGTCCTCCCATCTCCCATCCTCCCCCAAGGATTTCGACAGATCCACTAATAACCCCGTGCAACGAACCCATCGAACTCCGCACTTCACGATTCTCCCATTCCCCCCATTTCCCTCCCTCGCCTCCCAGGTGAGATATCGGAGCTGCAGCTCGGGGCATTGAAAGTAGGAGGAGCCCACCTCCCTAGGTGAAAACGGCGATGTGTCGTGGCGTTTCTTCGTGTTTCCCCTGTTTGGTGCTTCGAGCGATGAAAAGGGGCATGGGGCATGCGCTTCCTGCCAAGCCGTTTGGAAAAAGTGCACATCAATCACGTGGCCGTTGTATCTGTTCTTTAGACATCTTTACAGACATCTTTAGACTCCTATTCATGGATACCACGCACCGCTGGCCGGATGAGGCGGCAGCGTGCAGGTCTGGATGGCCAGCGCCGGATTGTAGACGGTCACGAGCTCAGTGGTCGAGCGACATTCGGATCTGCAGACCCAGAAATGCCCTTGTTACTAGTAATTAGTTTCTTGTTACTAATAGGGATGGCCTCCAACCTAATAGCGATGGTCAACCGCTATCCTGGAGACTCTCATCGAAACCCAGTGGTTGTCAAGAGAAAAAACGTGTTCTTGAGATCTCTGGCGATCCTTTACATAACAAGTGATTGGGACTTGGGGACTTCCATCCAGGCTTCCTTCACCACTCTGTGAGCCATGACAACCCTGGAGTGGCTCGGTCCGCCCCCAGGCTTCGACCTGCTAAGCTCTGCGGCCGATGCATCAGGTGTAGAACCTAGAAGGCTGCCATCCACATCCGTCAGAACCTGAGTAGTGAGGTCGTGAGGCACTGGACACCTGGACCATCAGGATCTCTTCATGACTTTCTTTTCAATGTTGTGCATGGTCTGTGACCGCCAGCTCTTCATTACGAATCGTGTTCTTTTTCAAAAGCCTTCTCTCAAATCTTCGTTCTGGAAGGACATGGTTCAAATGTTAAAAGAAAAATGGTTCATTCCACTCCCAGCAGCCGCGGACGATGCTTGGCAAATAGGCCTACAAACCCAACTAAATAGTGAAAAACTGCCAGACACAAGCATATGAATAGAAAGTATATCTATTTCACATACCCATCACCATCTGGGTAAAAGGAGTCTTGCCCAGCTCATTTTATAGAGGATAATATAGGATAATATATGGGGGTTGGGTATCATTTCACGTTTGGCACCTATAAAATCCCAGGAAAATTCTGGTTTCTTGGCCCTGGGTCATCCGACTGGCGGCTCTCAGGGCCCGGCGAGCTGGTTCACTCCGTCGAACTCACCGGTCGCCACGACCTGAAGCTTCGCTGGAGCCCATCTGCCATGGGCTGGAGCCATCGAACCCCTCCCCATGCGCCACGTCCCAAACTCTTTCCAAATCGAAAGAAGCAACGTTCCTTGCAAATCGAAGCCTCCTCTACCCCCCACAATCCCCCCCAAAAAAAGTCACAGCCTCACCTTTCTCCCTCGACCCATCCGGGCCATCCCCTCATCTCCCCATCCCCATCCCAAGGCGAGACCCGCACCGAATTGTGCGTGATTCCGGACTCGCCCAGGTAGACCCGCGCTCCCGCCTGGCGCGTTTGCCAACGCGCGCCGCAAACGCGCGTGGAGCACACAACTCTCAGCCATGGCCACGGGCGTCCACGGGGCCTCCACTGAAGGCAGCCATTTCACACCCGTGAAGAATTGCGGATACGCAATGTCGATGTTGGTGGGGTTGTACCTGGGTGGCCACCGAAAGGCCAACTTGGCCAATTCTGGGGGGGTCGAAGGTACACATGCACCGTTCAAAAGCATGCAAACCTGCTTCGCGGGCGAGTTTCAACAAAAATGACAAAATGCGAAATAGAAGGCAATATATATATATAATAATAGTAGTAGTAACACTAATACTAATAATAGTATATAATAAAAATGATTATAGTTTAACTAATAGTAACAGTAACAGTAATACTAATAATAATGATAATTCATTATATGAAAATATACCCAAAAGCATCCGAATCATTCCGAATCCAAAACTCATCAAAATTCACTCTTTCCCGTGGCTCTGGGATGCTGACGTAAAGGCCACTGAGGGCTTGCCACAGTCTGAAGAGGACCAATGTCCAAACCTTCGGGCAACGGCGACCGGAGCCTAAGGGGAGCAGTTGATCAAGCCGATAGGCGACTTGGCCACAGAATGAAAGCGACCATGCGACAAACTACTGCTGATTTGCGTGAAACTTCTGATCTGTGTGAATGAAGCTCTATAGATAGGACCATCTCCGAGAATCTCCGAGATGGTGGCTAAAAGTCGAAGGTGGTGACCTTTTGGGTGCTGGTATACGGTATAAGATCTATAGAGTAGGTTGTTCTGTGTGAGTTGAGACGGGACCAGCAAATGTCTGTGTGTGTGGCCTGACATGAGTTTTCGTACACCTGATATGGAGAAAGAGTCTCAAGTTTCGCCAAGTGGGTCAACCATGGTCAAAAGCCGGGTACATGATACACCCCTCATTTCATCGGATATTCCCCCCTCATGTCATAGAGGAAATTCATTCAAATTCAATAACATTCACCTACGACTCTATTTTGCCGCAGAGAAGTAAAGATAGTAGAGGGAACCTTCCTGAAATCAGGTACTTCTTTTTGGTCAAAACCCTTCTTGTATCTTCTTTTTAGAGTCGACTGGACTCTCAGGTCTCAGGCGTCACGTCTTTCATGTGGATGACGTCTCTGATTCGAGACCCTTCGACCCATGGTTTCGCGGCGGCCGAAAAGGTGTTCTTTTCGGTTTCGTGCAAACACGAACGAAACTCACGAGACTCGTCCCAGGTGTTTCCTGGTCATGCGTTGAAATCTCAGCATGTCTCGGGCCGCCCAACGTGACACCATCCCAGTGCGACTCCGAATAGCGCGAGCCTCACCAGCGGATCACATCGGAGCCGGACATTTCGACGGAGCACACAATCGAGTCATCAATCGATGGATTTGCTTTAAGGAAAATTTTACAGGAAACCATGGTTGTCGTCCCTAAAACTATGGGTTTCCTGGAACATGACGTCAGCTGATCGCGAAGCCATGCACATCTTGAATGCTGTGAGCTTCATGCAGGAGTCTGCATACAACCCAGATCATCTCTAAGTTGCGCACCAGCAGAACCCATACGCTCCTCCCACGGCATGACCTTGGCCCCGAGCTGCTCGGATACAGAACAGGGGGCTAGATGTGCTTGATTCACCCGACCATCCTCTCCATACATACTATGATATACTGCACTTTGGTATATTGTCTGATTGGCATGCAGGTCGCTTATTGTTGCACCAGTGTTGTAACTTCCAAGCAGTCCAAACTCCAAACGCAAAATTATGCAAAATGTTCAGGTCAGACCGTCAGACCCAATAATGTAGTCCAAGTACCTTCTCAGAAGGTACTTGGACCCTCCAAACCTACATAACAGTGTCTCCAATCACCTTCTGAGGTACTTGGATCCCTAAGGTCTTGATTAATGAATCACCCCAATTGAATTGGAAATTCTCTTCAATATACATTAACCAGAGAGTCCCATGGTTCAAGTCATGCCACTGGTCCTCAAATTCTCCACCTTCACCAATACCTCCCAGGCGTCGTCTCCGCCTCTCCCTGCAGTTTTCTCACTTGGACTCCAAACACACATCTTGATGGGCGTCGTTGGCGGTCGGCAGGGCTGGCGTTGGCGCGCGCGCGCGGAGACGTCCGACGAACCGGAGGACGAGTTGATAAGTCCGACGTTTCTCGCAACTCGACCCACAACCTGGCGGGGCGCACCGTGATCCCTTCAGCTTCGCAGAACTTCGGGATGTTGTTGATCATGTGGGTCATGATGCCCACCTGCGCACAACTGGGGACGGGACTGCACCTGTCAATGCAATCATCCATCACAGATTCAGTTAGGTGGCAGCAAAGTTTTAAGGACAAAATAATAAGGCTACTTGCTGGGTGCCTGCAAACTGCTGCTCAACGGGCTCAACACTTCACATGCCAAACATATTCAACACACGAACCGTTCATATTTCTCTCCGTTTGTCTCGTGGATTCTCTCCGTCTTCATCGGAGCTCCATCGTTGGACCCACGACATCGTGGGCTCACGGCCCCGCACCCGGCGATAGTAGTCCCCAACCACGGAATTGCAAGCCACGCCGACCGCATCCGTTTCGCCTAAGCACATGCAGCGATGATCGCCTCTTCGTCAGGAGGACTGCCTTTTTGTTTGTCTGTCTGGTTGGGGGGGTTGGGTTCAAAAAGAAGGAGCTTCCGCAAGCCCTGGCAAATGGAAAAGGCGACGATTTAAACCTGTCAAGCCTTGTGGAACTCTTCTATCTTGACCATTTTGGACCCATATGTGTTCGCACGTGTTCAATCGTGTTCACACGTCGCCCGGCCGTGACGTGTGAGTCACCCGTTCTTTGTTGGAAACAAACACCGTGAAGTCACCAGCTTTACAGATACGGTCCGTATCTATGTGTTCGACAACTGTAGCTACGTCAAGGATTTCGTGCCGGACTATGCCCAAAAACATAAGGTGTTGTGTCGAAGTTTTGCACAGTTCGAGGGTCCAAAACTCAAACGAGATAATGATGTTCATCCCGCCAAACATGGCAACTTTCGTTCTTGATTGTTCAAATCCAGCAATGGTATCTTATCAAGCTTTTTTTCATATCATGGTGTTGAACTGATACTCCAAAGCTTACCTTGCACCGTGCATATCCTTGCATCTAACCCGCATGGAAAGGCAGCATCCAAACGAAATTACACAAGACCAGCAGACGACTTATCACAAGCACAAGTACACAGACCAATGGCTGCTCAAGAATGAAATAGAGAGCACCATGGGGTTACCATCGGGTACCATCCATTCACGTCGACACCCGAGAGTTCAGATGTGTCTGTCCTCTTTCCCGAAACAAGAGCGAATGTGTGCCACTGCCAACACGTGCGGCACCTGGATGAAAGAGCTTCTTTTTGCAAGATGCAATCGAAAAGGTTCTGACTCCAAGGATGTTTGGCATAAATGTCCGAAGCAACGCTTTCGCAACAGCAACGACGACTGTGATCGGAAACAATAAAAGAACGCAACAGCTCCTGTGCAGGCATAGGCAAAGAACGAAAAAAAGAAACGGACATGTTGTCCGTGGAGTGTGACGTGGTATGAAATGTTTTCAAGTTTGGATTGACACCGTCAAAAACAGCTCAAGGATATTCAAGGACCTTTTGCAAGAGGGTCGTGAACTCTAATAGGCCCCTTGGGCCCGTACTAGTAGGAAGGACCAGAACGAACCCTGTCAACCATCTATCAACCTATGAACCCCTCAAAAGAACTGCTTCGGTATGCGATTCAATAGGATTCATCTAGAGGCTACTGGCTAGTTCCACTGTCACTCCCGAGGCGTTGGCCATAGGCACGGCACTCTGTCGAGGCATCACCTCAAGTGATGGGCGCTCCCAACTGCAAGCGCTGCGGTTTTCAAGATGCCCAGGAGTGCCACCCTGGTGGGAGGTCAACTGAAGCCTGTCAGTTTGGAGGTTGGGTTCCATCCTGGGCCTAGCCACCATGAACCAGTGGTCAAAGAATGACCTACATGCCGGCATGTGTTGAGATGCCACTCCACTGCAACTCCCTGCTCCGTGAAGATGCAAGTTCGCAATGTTTGCTTGAAACTTGAAACATCAACGGCAAACATGTGCAAAATAGGAATTCACAAGGCACAAGAAAGCGCAGACTGCCCTTTTCTTGGCCAAGTGGTAAGAGTCTTCTGCTGGAGTCTTTTGGCTAATAAAAATGTTAAAACATGTTACCACCACTCTCCGCATCTTCCAAGCGATGCTCTCTCTAAAGCCAGAAGTCTAAGCGAGTGCCGTCCTTACCTTCACGCCAAGTCCTCCCCCGAGGCAGCTGCATGTGGATGCTGCAGTCGATCCAAAGACCGAGATGTTGTAGGAGTAGGTCTGACATGGAACGTACGGAAAAACACCGCGCGCACGAAACGAATCAACTTCAGATCCCGGTTCAAGGGACAATCTACAAACCATCGTCTTCCTCAAAACGACGGGTGTCCTGTAGGTGTTCCCTTAAATCACCAATTCTGGGATTAAGATCCTTAAAAGCCGGCTGCCAATGCAGCATGACAAACCTACCGCAACCAGGCTGCTCGATGGTTCATGTCGGTGGTGGCACGCACAAAGCGCAAGGCCATCTGGGCGGCGGCGACCAGGAAAGCGCATCTTATTGATCTTATCCATTATTAGTATTGTCACGTCCATGTTTGCTCCAACAAATATGATATGATGGAGGCAAAAATGCAGGCTCCTTCTAGCTGCTCGCATACTGCATGGCTCCAGCAAGTGGCTCCAGCAAGTGGCTGAGAATGTTTCAATCTGCTTAGCCCCCTCAGGTCCAAACTCCTATGTGGTTGTCTGCCAGCAGGATGGTATCAAGCCTGCCACCCCGGTGCGAACCGCCAACACAGGGGTCATGTTGGCTGTTGGGGCACCTGGAGATCTAAAACCCGCAGACCGGCCCCGGTTGATGCATCAACCCGTCCACATGCGTCAAAAGAGGGGTCTCCAGGTGAAAATTGGATGACCTCTCATAGGTCTCAAACATGGGTGTGCATCCGTGTGTACTTCTTGAAATAGGACACCACCCTCGACGCGGCCACCGTCCAGAGCGCGGCCACCGTCCCGAGCGCCAGTCTACCCACCAGGAAAGGGGGTCCCGTTGGAGGGATGCAGTCTGGGAGTCTGGGACTGGCCAGACCCCTTGATTTGTCCAGCGGATGGGTTGAACCATGTTGAAACATTTGACCCGTCGTTGGATGGGAAAGGGACCCTATTTTGAAGGGGAATGTATTTCGGGGGGGGAATGGTGCTCCAAAATAGAGGTCTATAGTCAGGGAGCCTTGGGTGGTGCTGGTCCGGTTCATCAGCTTCTAGCTGTGGTGAAATAGTCATCATCCAGTCCCATGAAGTGTCTGGGGCTACACCCCAGAAAGCCGCCGGCACCAGCGCGCGTTTCGCGTGCGTTTCGCCCGTACTTTGTCGCGTTTCCGCGGCCCGTGGGGCTCCGCGTCGCGGCTCCGCTCCACGCCGTGCGGCCTCACATTGGCATTCTGGTCCCCTGACATGATGCCTGCGGCGTGCGGATTTTTCGGTTCGCATCGACGGCAAGCATCGGCGCAGGAAGTCGCTGCCCTTCTTTCACACAGAAAAAAAAATAACAATTACAGTAAATGATTCTTCTGCGCTGGTATGATGAGTGCAAATAACCTAAACTGGAACTGCGAGAGCATGTGTGCCTTGCACTATTCAAGTTCCCAACACCCCATACTAAAACCGTGACGTTAACGAGCCCAACGGATCCAAGTCTGCTCAAACTTGCTCTCCCAAGTCTTCAAATCTGCCACGTCGAAACATTCAGATGAAATTGATCAACCCCCCAAAACCGTCCGTTGAAAGACCGGTTCGCCCCAAAAAAAGGAATAACACGACCACCGGTGAGAAGCACACGTGTGGGGTCCACTCGCGTCTGGCGCCTCCATGGGCGGACTTCCAGGCAACGAGGCCGTGAACTTGTGCGCATTGATCACAATCATCCTGCCACCGTTTTGAAGTCTTGGGAACCCGAGGATGGCCCTTTGGGTACGGCGGGTAAGACGGCCGGATTCTCGAAGAAGAATGGTACGTATGTTTCCTGGCTGCAACGGGTAACCGCAAACCAAAGCGAGCCTCTTTCAAATCTGTTCAATTGGATGTAAAGAAGAAGTGTGAAGAAGCTCTTGAGGTGGCCAAACTATGCCACAATGGCATGTTCAAGCTGGGCTTAGCTGACTTCTTATGAAAAATGGTGGTGACAGGGCAGGTTCTGACTGTGCAGCTGAGTTCTGGTTGCACGACTTTTGGTGTTCTGGTGTTCAAAACATGTCATCCCAATGGGAACACCTGTCACAGTGCAGAATTCGATCGATGCCAAAGTTCATTCCATCGCTGCGGACCCTGAGCATCAACATCCGAGCGCAGCCTGGCATGCGTCCAAGATAAAGACACCAGTCCTAAGCGATCCGAGCGTCGTTTTCAGTGTTCTTCTCAGAAAAAGGAGGCCGCTCTTTTTTGAGAATGGTACGTCTGGTCCAAAAGGGGTATGCGGAGATGCCCTGCCCATCTGGTACAGTTCGACGATCTTTTGCCCGAAACTGAAAATCATGAGTCTTGGACTCTGTGACACACGCAAAAAAAGTAAAAAAAACTGTAAAAGTGAAGAGCTGTGCGTCTTTCTCGCCACCGCCCGTCTGAAGGTTACCCTCTAAGCACTCCGCATGGTCGCCACCGCTTCGTTCAGCTCCTCCTGGATACCGAGCCCAGGAGGACGCCGTGATCTCGCCGCTGCTCAGACGAGAAAAAACCCTCTCCTGTTGCAGCCGGGCCAGGCCGAGATCGCCTTTTTGGCCTCAAAGGTCATGCTTCGGGCTTGCTTCGGACGCTGGACGCTGGTGGTGGAAAGAAGGAGCCCATCTGTCTCTTCCCTGTGGCACCCAAGTCAGTGAGGGTGCTCAGGGTCTTATTTTAAGGGAATGATACAGCAAAAAGTTAAAATAATGAATGAATGTGTTCAATAATAAATTTTAGCAAGAATACAGTAATATAAAGGGACAAATGGAAAGAACTGGAAGGTGAATGACAGCGGTGAATGATTGATTATATATTAATGAATGATGTGTATATCTGTTTAATTGGTGTAAGACCTGGCATGCGAATTATGGTATGTTCTTTCTTTCATCTTGCAAGCTGAGCGAATGAACGAACAACATTAAGTTATATGTTAATTATTCATCCGTCATGTACTTTATTGATGGTACATCATGAAAATAGATGATTGCAATAAGTAATAAAAGAAGAGATAGATAATAGATGATAATAGATTAATGACCCATAAATCCCATCATATAATATTTTATTGGGTTTATGGCTGATATTATCTATGCTTGAAGACAACACCAACAAGAAAAAAGTCCACCATTCACGTTCCATTTCTTTTAAAAAAAAATGAAATTAATAGTATATATATATATTTTTGATGTCATGTCAGTTCATCCTCACCTTATCATCATCACCTTGCATTTTTATATCTTAGGAAACTATTTGATAAAATGCAAGAAGAACGTGATCGGGAGTGGGCCAGGGATGTTGGAAGATTGTGGCAGATTCAGGGTGACCCAGGTAGATCTGCTCCATGTTCACTCTTGGCAAAGTGCCCACGTGTCAGATTTCTCAACTTGACCTTTCGACATCAAGTTGGGGGCATTCTTCCAGCATCAAACTCTGGACGAGTCTGGTCACTGGTCCATACCTATACGATGGCGTGTTGCAGCACGTTCATGTGCACATGTTCGCAGAGATGTAAGTACTGTACTGATTTGAAGCATTTGGACACATTCAACATGGATGCTTGCTTGAAGCAGCTTGCGCCCCCTTGGCACCATCTGTGGTTTTTCGCTTCCAGTCGGCAGCTTGGCATCTGGCAAGCTTTCATTTGGGGCCGGAGGATGAATCCAGTGTCACAGGATCCTGCACCAAAGCGAGGCGCGGTTCCCTATCAAAAAACCAAGGTGGCCGCGCGACCCTAAGATGAATTCGTTGGGCCGCGCGACCCTGCAGGATGCTCTTCAACACTCCGACGGCGACGAAGACGTGTCAACACTCGCGTCCCTCCTGCAGCGACATTTCCATAGAGCTCCGCTGGTCTGACCTGCAGTTGGCATCGGGTCTATGCTGGGCGTGTTTTGGTTGCGGTGGACCATCCAGTCCGACCTGCCCGGTGGAACATGTTTCACACGGCCGAATCAGTGTTTAACGCCTTTTCAGTGTGGAACCATCGGAACAATGGAACGGAAAAAGTGGAAGTGCGGAAAGCCTTTCCCAGACTTTGTTTCTCGTTGCGGCGCTGAAGACTGAAGAATGCTCCGAAGATCTCCGAAGCACCACCGGATGGTTGCGCACGGGTGTCACACCGCTCCGCCATGCCCCCAGCCTCCAAGTAGAAAGACCCAAAGTGCCGGATCCATTCTGTGGGCAACGAGGCAGGGTGGACTTGGAACCCTGAGAACTTGGAAGCCAGAACTGCCTTAAGAACTACAGCCTGGTCACCTCGGGGCCCCTCCCCACAATCTAACTTAACCACCTGGCTAGAATCAGGGCGCTAAGAAAAAGAACATCTGTTATCATCTGTTACATTCTGTTACTATAGTAGCGATGCCTTTCTGCCCTTGTTCCTATTTTTAGCGATGCCAGCGCCCCTAGTAGCGTGCGATCGCTCCTGGTATTCCTATCATATGCCGTTTCGGCGTGTTTGCCCTGTCGAGGTATCTGCCTTTGTTCATATCTCTTTCTCAGCGAAGCCACATCTCAGCGTCCATCTATCTGGACCCTTTCGCAACCTCACCGGTGGTCACCGGACAGTCCCGACCTCGCGCCTGTGTTCTCATTGGGGTGTCGCAGGGTCTCAATCGCAATGTTCCTCCGGAGCACCACGGCATCATGGCTACTGGTCCCTCCTGCACGGCATCGCGCGAGCGCGAGCGAGGGAGCGGGGGCTGTTCTGTCATTCTGTCCACACGGTCCGCACGGTTCTGTCGGCAAGGTCCGGGGACCATCGCGACCAACGGGTGGAAACCAAACTGGCGGCTTCGGCGTCTTCTCGTTGGCTCCAAGGCACTGATCCAGACTGCTGTACGAGTGGTCCTGAGAGGCTGGACGATTGCTGGATGTGCTGTACGACTGTTGGGTTGAAAAGGTCTGTCTGCGGACGCACTGATGGCCAATCGGGGCCATCCAAAACGGCCCTCCAGGATCTGACCAGGCCTGTGGAACACGTTGTCAACGAGCTCCAAGTGAGAGACGTAGTTCGCCTGAAACAAACACATGGATGCCCATGCGCGGTACACGTACACCTATCGAATCCCTGCCCCAGGCCTCGACCACGCTCCTGCTCCGAAACATCACTCAGCCCAACGGTGGGCGGAGATCGAAATCCTCCAGATCGCGCGAGTTGGGCGCCTCAATGGCGCCCGACTGCGAGTAGCTGAAGACGCAGTTCTCCACACGCGACATGTTCTTCTGGCCCCTGAAGCCGTTTGTGTCGTTCAAGATCAAAAGGCGAAGAAATCCCTGGACCCGACTGGTTTACAGGGGCAACACCTGGTGACAGCTCCCCCAGGTTCGCCACCTTTTCGGCTTCTAAAACCACCAGACTTGGAAGGTCCTGGTACTGGTGTCTCGGGAATAAGTCAGGGAAGTTCCCTTCAAGACCCTTCTTTCTTGATGGTCTTTGACTCCCTCGAGCCGGATCGTCTTCGCTCGAAGCGAAGCTCGAAGCGAAGCGCTGTGAGCTTTCTCTGCCGCTTTTGGACTCACTCCCGCTCCCCGGGTTAAGTGGAACCACCATTTGTTTAATGGCCGGGTCATCCCGAACAACCATTGTTTTACGGTTTTACACTACAAGTCACCAGATCAACATCTGTCCGGTCAAACATGGTCAAACGGACTGCGGACTTCCAGGGGAACTCTCTTGGAGTGAAGATTCGGGTTCAATCTGTTTGGGTTTGAACAAGAGGGCTGAGCTTCAGGCCCGAGGAAGTTGAACTTCAAAGCCGGAGCTTGATACCAGAACTTCCCTGAGCGACCATGGGCCACGCTGCAGTCCCGGGTTCCTCGAATTGGTCCCGTCTCCGCTTTCCGTCTTGAACTGAACCAGTTACGAAACAGAGCAATGCTTCACCAGAGTTCATGTATACTGTGCGGGCTTCATGCACACCCAAAAGAATCCAAAAGAATCAAGAACGGGAGGCCGGGAGGCCGGGAGCTCGCGGAAACATCGGAGGAAAAGACCCTGCAGCCCCTTTGGAGCAACCTTGGATACCTTGTAGAAGGAAAAAACACTTCCATATAAAGCATCACCCTAGGCTTCCAACCACCGTCGATTTATACAATGGTTCTTACCGAACAACTGAACAACCATTGTTTTACCAAGGATTGTCTTGGGAAAAAAATACCAAAAAAACCGGTGGCTGGGGGCTTTCCAAGGACCTCAGAGGCCATGAACGAACCAACTGCATCCGAGATGTCCGGCCCATGCGTATGAAGTCCACGTTGCTGATCGTTGCAATGCCTTCCTCGTTGCTGTTCCGAGTCGGACGCACGGACGCGTGAGGGTCTCTGATGGTCTCTGTCTAGAGATCTCCACCCCCCAAGGATCCATCAGAAGCGAACGAAGACCAGGCTGTTTTCTGCCCCAAGCCCCCGATTCATCCCCAACTTTCTAGAGGAGTTGGGTTAGTAAAGGCCTTGTGAAGAAAAATAGACCATTCTTTACTGACCGTTACTGGTAAGGACATGACAGGACATGACACCCAATTTGCCAATCTAGAGTCATCTCGAAGCTTCGACCCCTGCGAAGGCTTCGGGGTTCTTCCCCTGTCCATGCGCACTCGGGCCAGAGTGCCTCCACTGATCGTGTCGAAATCTGAGGACCCGGACCCAATTGCCGTCGGAAGAGCCACCAATCACCACTTCGCCTGGTGGCCACTCGGAGCCCCGCGACAACCGGGTCCAAGACCGACCATCCCGGCCGCGGGGATCAAGCTCCACCTCTCGTGGCGAGGTCCCGCCGCGGGGATCCAAAAGGAACACTTTAGGCCATGGGGGATCAAGCTTCGGAGGTTACCTCCCTCTCTTTCCTATTTGGTGACAGGTCAACAGACCACCTTGCTCAGTCTCGCTGGGCGGATCGCCTCCATGCTCCTCCCAGTCCTCTCCAGTCTTTAAGACCACCTGGCCGGTTGCGGTAGCAAGTCGCCCCATGATCCCATATGATCCCATCACCTGCTGCAACTGCTTTCTACCACTTGCTTCGAACGGGGATCACTCGTGACCACCCACACTACTAGGTCTCCAGCGGACAACCATTGGAAGCGCAAAGTATGCTTTCGCTACTAGGAACAAGTGCATCGCTACAAGTAGCAAGAAGCTACTAGGTTGGAGGATGTTGGAGGGCATTGCTATTAGGTTGGAGGCAAACGCTACTAGGCTAGCAGCAAGAAACTAGTAACAGTCATGATCTTTCGCTTCATCCGAAAGAGCTTGGAGAACTTCGCCCCATGCCCCAGCCACATTGGAGCGACCATCCAGCAAGGCCACGGCCGCAGCCAGGAAGGGTCGGGGCCAATGCGTGTTCTCCGCACTGCCTCAGGTCATGCTCATCCTCGGCATAATATTCGTCGTCGTCAAACCAATGAATATAACTACCAGCACCGACGACCAACAGGTCACCAAGTGAAACCTGAGACAGGGCCTTTCCCAACCCTCCATGTCGGAGACCTGGCAGGGGTTCAGTGCTGGTACTAGCATATCATATCCTTATCGTCGCCGTGGTCGTCCATGACCATATGAACTCTCTTCTTGGGTTCATGAGGTCGAGTGGTTCATGAGGTCGAGTCATCCATGAAATGGCCCATGAAGACCGTCATCACACGGTGAGCCAAGCTCTTTCAGAACACGCCAAGGGCCAAGCTGTCCACGACTCCAGCAAAATGACGATGGGTCAAGGCCGAATCCAGCGTGATGGTGGTGGTGTCACTATTCGCCTCGATGCCAGAAGAAGCGACGGATTCAGATTGGGGAACTCACATCGACTTCTCAAAACATCCAAAATGAACAAGCCATTAACACCCAGTTCAAGTGTTTTAGAATTTAGAAACTCTCCTGACATCCAAGAACCATCCAAACTAGCCAGTGCTAGTGCTGGTCTCTCCACGAACACTGCCTACGATCTGGTATACCGCCTGCCAGCCGGCTGCCAGCCGCCCAGGTGCCCGCACGTCATAGACCGGCATCCCAGTGATTCTCCGCACCTCTCCAGGGAAGACTCACTCATCACTCACCCACCCACCCACCCCAGCGATTGGATCCATTCCCCTTTCTTCAGGAAAAACGGCGTCCAAAGACTCAACCAAGAGCCTCTTCAGGTCGCCTGAAAATACTGTATTGGATTCTCAAACCTCTTCAGGTCGCCCTTCACTTCCCCATTCACCCCTTCACCCACTACCCCTCCGTTTCCATCACCTCACCCACTACGTCTCTCCGTTTCCCCCGACCGCAACCCGCCGCAAACCCCAGCCGTTCCGCCCTCCGCGGCCCGGGGCCTCTGTCTCCGTGGTTTGAGGAGGCGAGGGGTACTCCGTGGCCGAGATCGCCACCTGCTGCACCCGAGGGGCGACCGCGGGCCGTCACGGCGTTGGTCGGCGACCGCGGGGCGACCGCGGCCGGCGATGGGTGGTGGTTCGGTCGGTCCCTTCGAAGGGACCGGGGGAAGCTGGGGAAGGCCTTCCAGCGGCGGTGAGTTAGGGGGCAAGGTGAAGGGCGGGAAGTCAACGTTCCGGCCGTGAAGGGTAGACTGGTCCGCAGAAGTCAAAGCAATTCCAGAAACCATGCCAGTTCCATGAGACGCCGGGCATTCAGGAAGTCAAACAAGTCAATGCAAAAACAAGTATGGCGATGGTGGTTGGCATAGAGGAGGTGACTCATGGTGGATCTCATGCATGATTGATGTACGACTCTGGCACAGACAGGCTTCACATTAACCCAGTACAACTCCACACAGAAATGAAAATGCAACCAACGTTACAAAACAAGGAACACGTTTATATAAATGGTCCGATGTTTTTTTCAGAGGGAGCTGTTCGAGATGTCTTTGTGGTGGTCTACTTAGTACTCAACAAGAACTCAGATCCACGTGGCACTCGTCCGGTGCCGCCGGCCCCCCCTCTCGCTCTCCTTCTCTCTCCGCCTGCGATCCGGGACCCCAGTCAGCGAGGTTGCCCATGAGCACCGGCTGCGTGGAGCCTGGCGAAAACGTCGGAACGGAAAAGAACGGAAAGGCCTGCCACCATGGGGGCTGCCACCACGGAACGGCCGTCCATGCGTCCATGACGCAAGTGGTGAAAGCAAGGGATGGGTCAAGCGTCCATAGTAAATAAGCAAGAAACATGCCCTAGAAGTCCAATTCAACTCTCTTTAGACGCACTGAAGGTTTCAGGAAAATCCCTCATCTCTGGTCACCTAGTTAGACCATTCTTGTGAATGGTGGACTGTACTCAGAGGGCATGCACCAGGGATTCCACGGATTTGGGGTGTTGATTGGAAGGACAATGATATATATGCTGGGATATGTTGGGGATGTCTAGAAACCACCCGAACTCTATGGCTCTCATGAGGTCCTCTGGATACAAATAGAATCGAATACATTCGAATACTGTTATATAGTTACTAGGGCCCCAAAACATTGGGGTGCTTCATGGACAACCCCAAACAAAAACCTCCTTTCGGGCCTGTCTCCTTTAGAATCTTTAGACAACCTCAGGATATCTTAGGGCCCCAAATGGGGCCCCAAATGCTGCGGGGAAGGCGGTTCCGCCGCGGCCTATGGCCGCCGTCTGCGAGAGTTTGGTCCATGCCTGTCGGTCCAGGAGGTGCCGTCCGAAGCAGAAGGCCAGTCCGAGGATTTGGTTCCATGATTTGTTGCACCACCACCATCTGTTCTGAAACGAGGAAGAACGGCAGAGCTTTGAGCTGTGTGGCTTCGCCAAAGGATCCGAGTCGATGGTGCCGGTGTGAACACCGGGCGAACTGCTTCTGGTTGGGACATGTTGGGACCCAGACTCGATGAGAACTGCCAGATGTGAAAGCCCGCCAGATGAGCCCAGAAACATCTCAGTCATTCAGTGAAATCCCGCGAATCTGACTGCTTAGCAAAGAAAAGGGAACTTTGGTGCCCAATTCCTTTCTATTCCTTACGGCAAGCACCATAGAGAATATTTATATCATGATATAGGTCGCCAGAGAAGAGATACACCCAGAGTGACACCACCACTTTTCACGCCCAGAGCGACACCTCTTGAGATGTCTTTCAATCTCTGTGCCATCTTCCGCCCTCGGGCGCTGAGGATTCGGATCCTTTCCACCCATCCCTTTCGCCCGGAGGGGAGAGATCCGGTGCAGATGTACTCCCACGCCTGGCTGGTCCGGGGTGTTCCAACCTGGAAGGAGTCGCAACGTTCGCGGAACCCGCGTTCCGGAGGACTTGGACATCATTGGATCGCACTTGACTTACATTTAGGCATTGGGGTAGGCCAGACCTGGGGTCAATGTACGTAATACCAATCCCCGCGGATGGTCTGGGCATATAGAATATGTAAGCCAACATGACCCTCGGATGCCTTGGATCGCCTCGGCGCCCCCCGAGCCGTTCGAAGACCGAAGGCGTCTCGAAAAGGCGACGTCGACGGATCGCGAGGAGTTCGTCGACGGATCTCGTCGAGGCGAGGGATCTCGGATCTCGGATCTTTCCTCTCCAAATCTCTGAGCTTTCACTGCATGTCTCTCAATTTCTCACTTTGGGGAGAAAAAGAGAGAGAGAGAGAGAGCGCGCGCGCGCGCGATGGGAAAGGGAAAGGGAAAGGGATTCGGGGAGCACACCGAGAGGGTGTCCCAGGTCCCCGGACCGCCGAGAACTCGCCCAGCACCGAGATCACCTGGAGTCGCCCGGTGAAAATCGCGTCTGGTCGGCGCTTCGGTTCGGTTTCGGTTTCGCCTTCGGCACCGCCGGGGGGGGTCTTGGGCGGTCGGTCAACAAGAGATCATGAGTATGCAGGTATGATCAGGTAGGTCATGGAGTCATATTGGTCTGGGCAGTTCGATTGATTGGTCTGGGTCTCCTTTCCTTCATTGAGCAAGAGAAGGAGGGGGGTTGGATGTTCCGAAGCTCAGAGACTGGCTACGCGGCTGTCCCGCATTCTGCGACTCCTTCAGCCAGCGCCCGCGGCGCCGCCGAACGACCGCGCAGCTGGCTGAACCACCACGCCATCCGCATGGTCAGCACGGTCCATGCGGTGTTCCACCGCGCCTTGTTCACGAGGAAAAGGCCCTCCACCATGATCACCGTGATGGACTGACCATCGGAGAGCAGGGCCCCAGGGCGGGGTCTTCGGGAGCGTCCGGTTTTGGCATGGGACGTTTCGGAGTGGTTCAATCATGAAACAATCAGATCTGAAGTGGATTCCTCTTGCCCATTTGTAGAATATAACTCTTTTGTGAGTGTCCTTCCTGCAAAACGCAGACTCCAAAAATCCGTCATCCAGCCCCCCAGAACATGAAAGCTCAGGTCTCTATTATGGAAAAAGATCGTGGGAGAAAGAAGTAGTGTCAGATCGCGGAATCCGTGCTTATGTCCATCTCGAACAATCATGTCAACTAAGAAATCCCAGACGAGACCTCTCTCTCTCTCTTTCAAAAGGAAGAAACACCTCTTTGGGCGCATCCTTCAGTAGCTCCAGCATCCTCTGGCATCCTCCAGCCGGGCCTGCTCACTGCCCCAGAGGACGATTTCTGCCTTGACATTCGGTGGCATGGGATTCTCCTCAGTGCGAAGCACACGGTGCAGCACACGGGGTGAAGACCGGACTTCACCAAGGACCAAGGAGTGAACAGTGAAGTTCATCAATACTGTATAACTGTTTCAGTTCGAGTTCGAGTTCGAGTTCGAGCGGGGCACACTATGGAACAGTGATTCAAGGGTGATCAAAGACTGCTTCAAGTAGATCTCGATCTCTGCACGCACAGTCCAAGTATCGTCCGAGTGTGTGACCCTTCTCTCCCTGGCATGGCACGGAACCAGTAGATTCTCGGCCCTTTTGAGCCACCCGGCAGTCGTTCCCATATGCAACCTGCCCCAGACCTGCACTTGGTGCAACATGCGAGCCTGAGACACTTGAATTTCTTCCTACCAGCTAGTTCGGAGAAGGATTGCATTCATCAGTTTACTTTGGGTCTGTCCTATTGCCAGTAACAGTGGAGCATGATCGTTAGTGAAGGCCCTTCTCTGAAACAGTGACATCGACCAACGTTGGCCCGGGAAAGCTCTTTGGTGCGAACTCGACTCCCGCACCTTCACCGAGTGGGCGTTGAGTGTGCAGTTCAGTGCACGATCAAACTCAAGCTTCCCCTGGATGTCAAGCCAATGCCTGAGTCGAACTCGGTCCCTCCGCTGTAAACATCGACCGATGGAACGGGCCGACTTCCAGTCCAGGCAACGCGTTTGCTTGTTGTATGAACCCTGGAAGTCCAGCGATTATGTGTTCCCCCACTGAAGGAAAGGAAAGTCCCAAACTTCTGGTCGCCTAGTCAGGCCTTTTTGAATGGCAAATTCAATCTTCTCTTTCCCAGAACCGACCCCAGTTTGGGAGCTCAAACATGGTTTTTTCCCTGTTACTGTAGGTCTCTTTGTTGTCCCTAGGCTTCCTGGCCCACCATTAATTTAATAGGCTTTACCGCCGAATCAACTCAGGATCTTATACTACAAACACCAGGTCGTTCCCATTGTTTTCATGGTCATCTTGGAAGTCTAGGGTAGTCCATAGTGTCCATAGTTCAGACCGTGGTTCGTCAGGTCAGAGTCAGGTCAGTCACGTCTCTGAGACGAGACACAGCTTGGGAGTCACAATGTCGAGAAGTACATTGTCCTCTGGAGGCAAGACAACGTTGTCCTTGGCACGTGCACTCCGTGGATGCGGCGTGCGAAGGCGTGCGATGCTTTTGGGCAAAAGCAGGAGTAGCTGTAGGAAGAGGGTAGCTGTATGAGTCTGTGGTAGTCTATGACAACTCAAGACTCACCCTCAATCGAAAAAAAGAAGGCCCAGGAAAGATCTTGTGGCCTCACTGCACCTCACTCACTATGCACCATCCCTCACCATGCATCTCACTCAGGACTGACTCGTTCGCGACGACCGCGGCCGTGATCGCGACTCGCGGCTGGGCGTGTCCCACCATTTCGCCCGGCAGCTTTCCATCCGGCCATCCAGCTGCGTCGGACCAACGCCTCGCCCAAACGGAGGTCGTTGAAACCGTGCTCGGCAACCGAAGGTGAGCTCGGTGAGACTGGAGACTGGAGCTCAGTGCCCATTTTGGACTGGAGACAGGGATAGACAGCGAAGGGAATTAGTAGCAAGGAGGCTAGGAAGAAGCGTCCCATTTGGGGTGGTAAGACCTCTTCAAAAAGGAAGTGCTTCATCAGATGCGTCGACGTGTTCTTCTCGTCTCCAAACCTTCGAAGACTCCCAAAAGAGGGCTTATGGGGTACCGTCTCCGCGCCATTGATTTCACTCAGCTTGGGTGAAAATCGTGAAGTAGAAGCCTGCTACACCGCTCTCAACCAAGACCGCTTGGCCCCAGACCGCTGCGGCAAGTATCCTGCCAAGCAAAGAGAGTCTTTGGAAAGAAAGTCTCCGGATTTTCCATCATAGACGTCTGCCCAAGGCAGCACGTGAGTGTGGCCAGCCAAAAAATCAGGAACGTCACCTTCTTCGAAGACCGCCCCCCTTGTTCTGAAAACCCCACCAGCACCCTCTGAAGACTCCCAAAACCAGCGAGCCCCGCTCCGTCAGCTCCCTTCTGTGGCTGTGGACAGCCGCTCTTAGGGCACTCCCGTGGCGTAAACTGCTGCCTGACCGAGCCACCGAGGTCACGGCGGCGAAAACACCACCCAGACGAAGGCGCTCACTCAGTTCACACAGTTTGACGGAGCTGGGAGGTGTCCCACTCCAAAAAACGCGCAGGACATGTGTTTGTTTGCCTTGCTTCGACCCTTTCCGTCCTTTTCCAATCCCCTCGGGTAATAAAAATAGAAGTCGTAGGGGGCGGGTTTGACCCGGCGTGGTCGTGGTTGCTCGACGGGGTCTCCGACGATTGAAAACCAAGTGTTTCTCGACAGCAGCATCGAGCCGCCAGAAAGAGCTTTGGCACTTCCCAAGATCTGCAGATCAGAAGCCATGGTCCCAAAAAGACGCGATTATCCCGGTAAGAGACCCCAAACTACCGTAAGAAGAGCACACAGTGTGCCCACACTGTTTGGGGAACTACACCCCTGGGCAAACGGTGTTGACATCGCCAGTTCGACGTCCATCCGCCAGTTTCCCAGTTCCGGACTCGCCTGAATGAACCGCCCGGCGTGCCCGGACCTGCTTGATAGCCGCTCACATTGTCACCAACCACCTGGTCAGCCATGGAGAATGAATGAAACATGCACCAGCCAGCACCTTCATGGGGTCACGAATGGAAGCCCTACACTACTAAGGGATCTCCATTGGACACCCCTTGAAGGTCCAGAAGGGTGTGTGTGTGTGAAAAAGAAAACATCAACAGCTGGTGGAAGGCTCAAAAGTTTGGCGCAAATCAACAGGTGAAGGTCTTACTTCAAACCAAGCGCATGTGCAGGTCTAACATGGTCTAACTAACTTTACTTGATTTATCTTGATTTCTTATGATTGCTTTACATTACATTCTGTGGAAGCAATGCTCAAGCTCTTCCAAACCATGCCTCAAATCAAAGTGTTTTTGGGCCAACGCCAAAGCCATGAATAGCTGTTCGGCAAAGATTCCATGCTTTCCCAACTGGATGTGTAATCGGTTTGAAGATGTTTGAAGATCATATCTTGACGTGAGTAGAAATGCAAAACGAATCAAAACGACGAAGGAAACACACAACCCACCTTCATCGTCAGCGTTGTTGTCAAACGCCCATTTACCATGGGGTTTTCCGGCTGCTCGTCAATCAGTGCCTAGCAGGGTACCCCACAACGACAGGACCTCTCGAAGCCTCCAAACGATGGGCAAATCAAAATCCATCAATCACAACATCCAAATCAGCCAAGACTCATCAGCATGACTTCGCTGGGCGCTCATTTTTCCGCGGCAAAAGGTCTTTGACTTAAACCAAGGTACGTGTTGGAATAGACTCAAGCCAATTTAGCCATAGCGCCGCAACCGTTTGAAATCTGCCATACAAGCTCCGAGTCCTCTCATGGCAGTGAAGGGAGAGTGAGGAGTGCTGCAAGGTCTTGAAAGCACAAAGTAACTCTTGCAGCAGCATGGTGGTGATTTGGGCTAAGACCCCAGACCCCGGCGGTGCAGTTGCAAACAGTTCATCGACCCATTGCTTGAAGACGACCGATGAAGGGAACGGGGACCGGTCCTAGCCCTTCAAAAGCATGCAGACCACGAACAATGCTGCCTCCTCAAAATCGTCTGGCTTTCAGCCAGACTCTGTACATCTCCATTTTTCGGAAGCGAGGAATCACTGGCCGTAGCATCACCAGCACGACAAGCAGACGCCAGTTTGATGTCGCCCGCACGCGATCCCACGAATTGGCGCACTCAAGACTGATAGCTGGAGTTTGGCTTCTCATCAAGGCTTCAAGCCTCTTTGAGTATTGCTGTTATCATTGAATCAAAGAGGTCTATGTCTATATCATATCGGCATCGGTTTAGAAGTTTAGAAGAATTGAGCAAAGGACACTAATTATGTTGGATTTATGTACTCGCATCGGCGTCGATTTACCTTGATCAGCACTCACGGCGAAGTTCTTGCCACTCCTACGCTGACCACTTTCGGGAGCAGTAGAGTACTTCAAAAAACACAACACATACAGGGTGGCCCCAAATCCAACAATCCCATATGTGGAAAATCCACAAAGAATCATACCCTCCACAGGGACCACCCCGATAGAGTTTTGGCATATATTGCTAGCGAATTCCGTGCGCGCAAGGGGTATTGTCGCGCAGACAAGAGATAGCAAGGGCAAAAGTCATGCCCTTGCCAAGTTGCTTACTATAGAGCACTTTCTACAAAGATACCTGGGACACATTTACCATCGCAGCCTCTCTGTCGTGTACTTTGGCAGTTGAATGTGTTGAATGTGTTCCAGCTATACGACCTGCAGCTTCTATGAATTGGATCCAGCACTTGAACAAGGCACGTGCCGCTATGTTATACCATCAACTCACAGATCGGTTGCAGATTTATCAGCCCAGAGTCTCTGACAGCTGTTCTGCAAAACCAAAAGATCTGGACTGTCGATGGCTGGTTGCCTCGACATGTCTCTAGACTTAGCCGAAAGTGTCGCCGACTTAGCATGGCTCAAAGTCACGTGATGACTCATGATGAGATGTTCAAATCACTTTCTAGGCCCGTTTGGTTTCATGAAGATTCGATATAGCCTGTCTGTTTGGTAGCTTTGTTTCATTGATCAATCCAGCTCTCACTCTCAGGAGTTCGAACTAGTCTCCATTATCCAATCATCCTTGTGGAGCAAATGGGCTTCGTACTCGCCCATCCCACCAGCTATCACATCACCTTCAGTGCGCGAAGGGTGCCGACGGCCATCAGCACGCCACCCAACACACATGCGGTTGGAAGAGTCACATCCTCAGTGTTTTCACTGGTCATCAGGCAGAGAGACACAATGGTCAGCACTCACTGGGGTACTCACTGGGGTGTGCTTTTCACCACGGAGGACCCCGAAAAACCCTCGCCCCAGTCGGGTCGATGCAAATCGAAGGGGGCCTCAATGCTCGGGGCCGGGTCGGGCCGAACGCCCCGAAGCCCGATTGCAGCCTTCGGAGCGGACGAACCGGATCGAAACAAACGGTCTTTTCTGGCTTCAAACGGTCGCCAGGGCAGTTCGGAAGCTTGGACGACTAAAGACCCCTCTCTCCCATCATCGCCGTCTCCTGGGCGGTCCATTCGCGAGACGCGAAACCAAAAGGAGACGGGGGCACCTCGCGCGGGTCGGCGCGGCGCGGCGTTTTTTCGGGGGTGAGTCCCCCGGCCATCCATCCATCGTTCTTCTCCTCGCGCACCTGTTTCTCCTCCTGCCGAGTGTCCAGTGTACATCACTGGTTCCAGGAGTCCCTCGCGGCGATGAGAATGGTAGGTGATGTATCTCGATTCTGGAGCACCATGAGAAAGGTATACTTTGGATCCTCCAGAACCCTCAAAAATTCTTCAGATTCTTCGGGTGGTGCGTTGGGTCTTTGGCTGCCATCTTTGGCCTGTTGAATGTGTGGTTTTCCAGGTCTCATCCCTTCTGCAGTCTTCCGCCTTCTCCGTTCAACTGGGCGATGTGGCATGGCCCCCATTTTCGGGATGACCCCATTGTCCTCGATGACACTCACGTGCCAGTCTATCGGGGAACTCCGAGCGCTCCTCGTCGTGTGAACTTGCCAAGCTTCGGGAAGTCATGGGTGTCTCTGTCGACTGGGCCTGACCATTTTGGCCGAAAGTCGACGGGGCAGCAGTTTCCGCACCGAAACACATGGGTGCCTTCAGGCATCTGCATGTTTAGATGGGTGTGTAGATGGGTGGACAAATTCCTAATTGAGCTATACTGCTATACACACCCAATTTCGGATGCATATGATGGCATCGCGGAGAACCAAAGCAGGGGTCTGGGGAGTGACTGTTCTATCATGTTCTATCTGGTTCTGGCAAAAAGTGGGGACGCTCCCCACTCCCCCAAGAATAGGGTTTTGCGAATCTCCACGTACTTCCTGGGGGGCAGAATGGCAGGTTGCCTTGTTCCCACCCACCCCGCCCTCCACAGCCACCTCGATGCTGTGGGCTCGCTGGACCAGCTGCAGAGTCAACTGACTCATGATATCCTGGTCCAGCTGAAAGCGTGGACCAAAAGGTCTGATTAGTCAACCTGCTCGTGGACCAAAAGGTCTGCTGAAACGCTATTGCTCAGCTGCAACTGTCAAGGATAGCTTTAGTTTTAGACCATGCTCAGCCGAAGATCTTTGGAATGCTCAGATACTGAGACTACGCCCTGGTTCCGAGCCCCACCTGGAACCTCACCAGGCCCGGTTTTGGAGCGGAAAAGAGTCTTCCAGTCTGGTCCATGTTCGTCCATTTTCGATATTTTCGGGTTCCATGTTAATCTTCCCTGGGACTAATGTGGAAGTGGAAAGCTCCGTGTTTGTGGACTTCATGGTCTGCCACCGTGCCATCCAGGTAACCATGGGAGTTCCAGGGAGTGTACATCTACCCTCCAACAATAAAGGAAGTGGACAACCCCCTGTTTGTCTTTCCCAGGGCCATGCCATCCACTTCCATGATTGTTGGAGAAGCTTGGCTGACTGGTCTTTGTGGGATCTTCTCTCCACTCACTCATCTTTTCTTTAACTGCAACGGCTTGCTTGCTGGCCAGCTCGTCTGAACGGGCTTCTTCACAGTGCAATGATGAAAACAACCTTTTTGTTGGAGTTTGCCATTCAAACACTGGTGGTGTGTCAAGTGTCAACATCAACCTGCATGTGGTGCTTGAACACCCCTCGGACCCAATGCTGACCTGCTTTTGAAGTAGACGCTGCACTTGAAGAAAATCAATCCTCGGTCACATGAGCCTCCAATACGACACATAACCAGCAGCTTCCAAGCAGTCTCCAATGGACAGCCCTGATCTCCATCGAGCACCCGTTTGAATGCTCACGGAGGTTTAATATCTGGGCGACTCGTTTAAACATCCAGGTATTCTGAGGGCAGCGGCTGCGAACCAAGCTGTTCCGTAGCTTTTTCGCCTGAACAGCGCGGAAGCTCGGCTTCGTTCCATGTGGGTGAGCGGCGTGGCAAAGGAACCAGCCAGAGTCTTGAAGTGAATGAGTGACAGAGCAAACCGAGAAAAAGGCGTCCACACGTCAAGGCGTCCAGTACTTAAGAGTTTCCACGGTTTTTTTGCAGGGACGACGAAGAAAAAGGCCAGTCTACCTGCACATGGCAATCTCAACATGGGCTCACTTAGTGCCTTGGTGGTGCAAGATATGGTGATTATATGTTTACCCTCGAAGGATTTGCATTCGGTGGAGCAATCCCAAATTGACAAGAACGGACAACGTGTGTAAAAGAGGGGCTGCTTGAATACAAAACTTGAGAAACATTCTTCGGCATCCAAAACACCAAATTCTTGTGCAAACAACTCAGTCCCCTCGGTCCGACTCGGTCTCCACAGGTCACTCCGAATTGCAGGTCCCAATCGACCGGTGCGCGCTTGGGCCGCGAGTGCGGTGGGCCTTCGTCTGGCCAAACACTGTACCAAGGCTGCCAGGCCCTCCGAACGGATACGGAGAGGGAAGCTGAAGCGAGGCGCCGATCCGTCGTCAAGATACGCTCGCGTTAAGTACATCACACGGAAAATGGGTCCGATCCACGGTCCAAACGTCCAAAATCCCCCTTTACTCCGATCCCCCCACCCCTAGCGCCCCAGTCTTTGCTTTTCTCTTTGTCCCGCCTTTGCTCTCTTGGCCATAATCGCCAAACAGCATTCTCCAAACGCTGCACATCTAGCAGGCTGCCTTGGCCTTGTCTGGCGTCCCGCACCAGATACACGGTACCGACGAGGCGGACCCGCTTGGATCGATCCATTCTTATTAGTCCAAATTGATCCAAATTGTTACGTACTTCTACTTCTTATTCTTCTTCTTCTTCCTCCTCCTCCTCCTCCTCTACTTCTTCTTCTTCTTCTTCCTCCTCCTCCTCCTCTACTTCTTATTCTTCTTCTTCTTCTTCTTCTTCTTCTTCTTCTTCTTCCTCTTCCTCTTCCTCCTCCTCCTCCTCCTCCTCTACTTCTTATGCTTCTTCTTCTTCTTCCTCCTCCTCCTCTACTTCTTATTCTTCTTCTTCTTCCTCCTCCTCTACTTCTTATTCTTCTTCTTCCTCCTCCTCCTCTTCTTATTATTATTCTTCTTCTTCCTCCTCCTCTTCTTCTTATTCTTCTTCTTCTTCCTCCTCCTCTTCTTCTTCTTGGATGCGTGCTTCTTCTCGCAGCACGCACTCGATCTTTTGGTAGACAGGAACGGTTTCGGTCGTTTTTCCACCGGCGAAACGGTTTCGGCAGGAACAATGAGAACCAACAGATGAAGAAGGCACACAGGAATTCGATCTGATCTGATCGAGTCTTCCCCTCAGAGGCGGCAAAAGAAAAAAAGGGTCAACCTGAATCAACCAGCTCTGCGAAAAGGACTCATGAAACACCCACGACCAGATGTCAGTCATTTGAATCAAAAAGAAGAAAACGTCCGCGGTCTCCGCGCCCGCGCCCGGCGAAACGAAACCAGCTCCTTGTGGATTTGGAAGGCTCGCAGCTCGAGTGTCGAGGCTTCGCCTGGCCGAACCGCTGCGGCGCCGAGCCGTGCAGCGGTGGGTCGGCCCGGCCTCTTGCGACTCACGGCGGGGCCACCAAGTGGCTCTGGCAATTGATGCGACACTTCCACCTGCGAAGGACTTAGAGGCGGTGTGACACCAAGTCGTGGGGTGACACAAGTGACAAGTCGGCAGACAGACGGTCTGCGAAAGTCAGTCTGTGGATTCACTACGGCACTGCAAACCCTGCAGCTTTTGGAAGAAATGAAAACCTATTGAACACCTGTCCACAAGAGGAGAGAAGGAGCCTCCTTGCTTGATGTCGAAGAGGTCATACCACTGAAATCAATCTCCTGGCTGCTCCGTCGTCGTTCGACCTGTCTGCCCCCCCCCCCCTCCGGTCAAAACCGAACCGCCGAACCCGTCGTCGCTTCGGTCATCGAAAACGAAGCACCGAACGTTGGCCTGGTCTGCCACCCCAAAGAACCAGACCAGTTCGGCCAGAACATCCGCACGTTCCAAAGGGAATCGGGCACCCAGGTTGCCGGAAACGATCCTGGGCACAGCTTAGGGGGGGGGATCTTCCCGTTCGGGGCGCCGGTTCTCTTGCTTCCTATAGACCAGACTTGCGCGCCGTCCTTGCCGATCGTTGCGACAGCTTTTCGGAGGCATTCCTCGTTCCAGGTCGTCCTGAAGGTGCGGTGGAAGGAGGCGAGTCGTGAAGAACAAGGAGTGAGTTGAGGTTGACAAGACTTGTGGCAAACCGAGATCATCCGCGGACTGGCATACATCGACCTATATTGAGGTGGTTGACCTGGGAAGTATGTAAATATTCCATACATGGATGGCAGATTTACCTACATTACAGTATTACATTGGGGTGGTTGACCTGGGGTCATGTGAATATGCCAGTCCCATGGATAGTGACATGCCTCACCGTCGCCACCGGGCCCGTCCAGGTCTAAAGTAGAACATGCTCGCTTTTCATATTATATAGTGGGCGAGGGTTTATACCCTCCCTCCAACAAACATGAAGTGGACAATTCACCCTTACTTGTGGATTTCACGCTCCTTCTCGGGGGCCATGCCATCCATTTCCATGACTGTTGGAGCCAAAGTTGAAAAAAAAAACAGGAACCCTGTGCATATGACTGACTAACACATGACTAAACCAAAAAAAACATACTATTGGCTGTGGGTCCAAACGGACCCAGCGGGTCGACCGATGAAAATAAACAGAATTGAAGAGATGACCAGCCAGGTCAGCCAGCCTAGGGGGGGTTGGACAGCTATTTGACTCCGCCGGGACTCCTCTTTTCCTTCTGCATCAATCGCCAGACCTCATCGGGCGGGTGTCGGCGAGCGTGTGGTGGTGTCGGCGAGCGTGGCGAGTGGCGAGTGGTGCTGGACGAAAAATGGATTGGACAGGTTCGCGAAACACCTGCTACAGTTACGTAAATAATTCGGAGCCTGATTGCTGATACTTCCTTTTATTTTAGATTTTTGCATGCCTTCTTCAGTGACTCACAAATGCGTGGAAAAGAGCTATCTTTAGTTTGCTTTTGTGTACAACAGAACCAGGAGGCGCTCTGAGCCGCTTCACAGCTCGGACTCTCCGGACTCGGCTGCTGGTAGACCCAGCTCTTGGAATCATGACACCCAAGTATCGCCCAACATCCAAGTTCCTCCGCTTGGATTGCGAATGTTTGAACATTTGTCTTAATAAAAAAAGAACGTGAACAAATTGAAAACTTGTGCCCCATGGGATGGCACTCAGTGGGAAGTTGCATCACCCAAAGCAAGACCAGGTCTTTGAAAATGGATCAAAACGAAGAACGGCCACTCTGGAGTCGCCCGCAGGGCCCCCGACCGCATTCTCGAAGCGCCTCGAGCTTACCTCTCCCGACTGGGCTGAGCCTGGCGGCACGTTTTGTTCATGGCAGCCATCTTTGTCAAAAGTTGTTCCTAAACTTTTTTTTAAGTCAGTCGTGGCCTGAAACATTGCAGAAACACATGTCCTCATCCTGCTTCCAGCTTCGGATTTCCAGCTCCCGAAAGCCTTTGCCGACACCTTCAGCATCCAATCCGATCTGAATCCAAAACTCCGTGCTCCACGGTGCGATGGAAGGGCCGGAAAACCCCCCGAAACGTGAAGCGCTTGTGCCAGACACGGCAATCACTTCCAGACATCTGCGGCTCCGAAACGTCCGTGCGCCGATCGGACATCCGCCGGCCGATAGCTCGCTGGCGTCGAATGGGCGGTGCCGCGTTGGTTTTGCAGTGCGTGCTGCGCTGTAGCGGTAGAGGTTTCCTCTTGGACCGATTGTTGCTTTGTCTACAACCCACACTGTAGCTCTTCGTCCTCCTCTTCCTCGTCCTCCTCTTCCTCGTCCTCCTCAGCGCCCTCCTCAACGTCCTCCTCTTCGTCCTCGTCTGGTTTGTCATCTTTGCTCTGCGACTTTTCCACTACTGTTGGCAAAACTTGCCCACGCCTAGGACATAGTTGGTCCTCTTCGTCTTGCTTATCCTCTTTGTCCTCGTCCTTCTCTCCGATATGCTGGTCAACTCTAGGCTTCAACCAGCGATCATGTCCCAGGACTGTTCTATATATCGTCTTTTTGCCCCCAGTTTCAACCTTGCCGCAGCTTCGCTAGGCTGAGACATGCATGGCTTGGTCTTTCTGACTGGAGGCTTAATAGAGACGTCGATTTAGTACACCCGGGGGGGGGCCCTTTAATTAGTCAACCAGCCAAGGGCGTTTTCAAGCCATCTATCGAATGTGCCATTGAATATGAGCAAAGGTTCAAAGGCCCATGGAGCACAAACAAACACCCCCAGCAAAACAGACAGAGAAACTGACACAACCCCTATCTTGCACCCAGGTCACCCAGCTCTTGAAAAAGTCAAATATTTACTTAATTGCACTTTAGGTGTCTTGGACTTGAACAACTTCCAGCGCCACGCGCAAAAAGGCAACGTACCAAAAACCATCAACAAAAAAAGCCGGCCGCCTTTCATCTTCATGTCCAGATCAAAGTTGGTCTCTGACCTCGCGAGATCAGCTGCGCACGCTGAGACCCCCCCACCGTGGCTTGGGGAGGCTGGGCGGCACGGAACCGGGGGCAACTCCGAAGTTCTGTCAGGGCCCCCGCTCCAACCTGCTAGCCCCCGGGCCTCATGGCAGCTGGCTCCCGATCTCCAGCAAGCAGTCCTGCAAAAACCGCAGACACCCCCGCGACTGTGGCCGTCCGAGTGCGGGTGAGGCAAAGCGAGCGTAGGGACGATGAAATGAGCAACCGTTCTTCATGGAGTCAAGTGGATGTGTTTGTTTCAAGAAAGCATCTGACTGCCAAACTTTGAGATCCGTCTTGTGGCTGGAAATCCTTGATGTGATCCATCCTTCAGACCTCTGATGACCGCATATCAGGAGCCCCTCCGATCTCCGGGTGAGAAGCGGCCTCCCACCTAAGAGTGTGCTTTTGAACATCCGCATGACGCAGCGGCTCTGCATCGGAACACACAACCTTCGGGACAGAGCAAGCCCTCTCCCTCCGCGCCCACTGTTTCGCCGCAGCTGCTTTCGCCCCAGCTGGTTCACACCAGGTCTTTCCGTCGCAAAGGGTCGATCGAGATGTCGACAGATCACTTCTCCAGCTTCTTCTCTCTCCTCTCTCGGCACATGGTGCACCAGCGCGGGCGTCCCGCCCACCCTCTCCCTTTCGTCCCGCCCCCGCCGGTCAGCCGAACGCTCGACCCGAACGCACCACCCGCCGTTTCGGTCGGTCGGTCGGCCCAGGTCCGGACGAGGTCCGCTGGCTGCAGCGGTGGCGGAGGCCGTGTCACTCGGACCGGCTCAGCGGCCAGTCCCCGAATGCAGCTCTCGCAGGACCACGCGGAGGAACTCGGCGCCATCCTCTTCGTAGCGCTGGACCTGATTTTGGGGGAGATGGGAGGAGGTGTGAAGTGGGGTTGAAGTGAGTATTCATCCCAGGAATCTCTGATAGTTTAGATCATCTATAGATAAATGTGTTCAATGCCAGGTGACCTCATTCTCTAGCTCGCTCTGAAGTTCAGCTGCCCTTCGAAGGGCCCGACACAGCTGCCCAACTGTGGCTTCAGCAACCAGCGCCGCAGCATCCACCAAGAACCTCAACGGCCGTGCCACATGCAGAATCAAAGGGAAGGAGGAAAGCCTTGTGAGTCATGCTAGCCATGGTGCGAACGGCACTTGGCTTGTCGCAACTGTCACAACTTACACTACATGTGTAAATGTATTATAGCATCTGCGGAACTCACTGCGGCCTACTCCAGCTACTTATATACAGCTTGCGCTCACGCAACATGAAAATATGGACAACGTCATTCTGAGAAACAGCATTGAGGTGCCATGGTGGAATACCTTTCCAAACCTTGTGATAGTCTTGTTGTTCATAAGAAAACACAGGTTGTCAGTCGTCAGAACGTGTTTCAACTGAGGTCAACGCTGAAAAATGACTCGATCATCCCACGGATAGTACTCCAGCGTCTGCAGGCCTGCTAAACTTGCTGCAATCCATTGGATGAAGAGCTTCACCGCCGCAGAGCCTCCGAACGCGCCACAGCCCCAATTCCCAGTGGCGCAGCTTCTTCCCAGTTCAGGCTGCAAAGAAGCTGCCTGAAAGCCGCAGAGCGCTTTGTAGATATCTCGTGCAGCATCTTCCACTTGAAGCCTCAACAAAGAGGCTTCAAATAGGTTCTGGTGTTTTTGTCATGCAGAAATATCACATGAACTAATATGAGGTCCTGTTCCTATGTGGAGACTCCGGAGCAATGAAACCCACGTGCACAAAACCAATCGAAACAGCTTATTCGCTTAAGGAGCTTGTAGTCATACCTGTAAGGCCTTCCAATGCCCCCACCATCATACATCTTTGCGTCAATCACCACTTGCACTGCAGCATTCTTGAAGTCTGGCTCAGAAGGATGTACTTTCCCCGTGAAAGAGAAGGTATCAAGAAATCCAGCGTGTCGACAAAAGTGTCTGGCTCCCTGAATCAAGAGCGCTTCGTCGTCTCGCAAGACGTCGCAAAGAACTGTGGCGATACACAACTCTGGATGAGTCGCAAACGTGATCTCCTCTTGCGCTGTGGCACCTGGGGCGTTTAAGAAAATGCCACCACCCACACGGGCATTCGCAAAATCCACGTGCAGCAGAGCTGAAGACTGACTGATGGGCGTTCGCAAGTCATGTGGAATCACCTGGCACAAGCGGCAGGTGTTCGTTTCAAGTTCCTGAAGAGTCGTCGTATCTGCTCCAAGTAGAGCACGAGTGACTCGCATGCCCCCGGAGGCTGTAGAGGGTGTCGTGAAAATGGCACTGGAATCACTCGTGATATCCTCAAAGTAGCTCAGGAAGCATCGGAGCTTTTCAGTATTCGGAGGAAAAGCACATCCGTCTTTGGGGAAATAGAGAGGACTTATGCTGGCATTGTTTGGAAGTAGACCGAAGAAAGCCATCGCTAGCAGGGTTGCAACTTCCTCATAAGTCAAGAAAACATGCTCTGCAATGCCCTGTACCAACAAAGGCACGCACTTGGAGGAGAACCTCTTTGGTGCATCTTGTACCAATTGGACCATCTTTGGAAGGAGTGTGGCGAAAAAGTGCTCAGACTCTGGAATATCATCCAAGACCGCTTCAAAGTCAGGCTTCCCATGTCTTGCTGCATGGAAGTTTGAGTCGTCAGAGATTGCTTGGAGACTCGCTCGCAGTGCTCCGGCATCGGAGCATCTTCCAACAAGATCGAGGCCTTGAGAGATGTGTGGCCACCGCGTCAGGAAAAAGTCTTCTGGAAACAGAGAAGCCATGGGAGTCTCCCATCGCCGTCCCTAACAACCCCCCCGGAGTTCACAAACAGATCGTCTTGAAGAGACACAAATGTTGCAGACCGACACGAAAGACTCAAACAGACCGACACGAAGGGTTCACAGTTGCTCTAGGAGGACCTTGCTGAAGATCCCAGTTGCTCTAGCAACCCTCAAATCCCGATATTTAACAAAGGACCGCGTCGCACCACTCGCGTCGCGAGGTGAAACCCATCTGCCGTCCTCCTTCGATGCCACCTGCGCGATCAAGCGACATGACTCGCACCAGGGGTGGCCAGAAGCCAAGTATGAAGGAACCAGTGCAATTGGGTACCTCTCTCATGCAGATTTTGGGGTGCCCCAAGACCTATTATGAAGACATACAAATATGCTATATCATCTGATGTTGTTTGTCTGTGTCTGTCTATCTATATATATATATATATATGAGGGACGGTCAAAACTCCTTATTCTTCTTCAGCTAAAAAATGGACGTCATCGGTTTTGAGGTGGACCTTATCGTTTTACAGCGTTTTGAGTTCGTCGCATACTTATGACCATATACAGCGCTGGGGTTATCGGTTTTGAGGTGGACCTTATCGTTTGCAGGGTTTTGTGCACAAACCTACCCCTCTTTACTAAAGTGGTCTTCGCATGTTTTGACCGTGGCTCATATACATCTACTAATGTCTGTGTGTGTGTGTCTTCTTCATTCATGTCTGCAAGCGCCGTCCTCGGTCGCTCCACACGACGCGTCCGCATCCGAACGGCTCGACGCCCATCGCCGCCTGCTGTTCTTTCCATCGGTCGCGACCGAGCCGCCTGGCCAGTCCGGTCCGGACCCGAAGGGCCCGAAGCGGCCGGTCCGGTCCGCGCGAGGCGGAGGTCGGTGGACCTGGGGCTTGGTACCAGATCCCCCTTCAAGTTCATGGAGACGATGGAACAATACCATCCATCTTTGTAGTGGATATTCTAAGGGGGATGGTACAATCCTTAATTAGTAATATCAATATGTCCAGGAATCTTAGGGCGACTGTTGATGAATCGCTGACGCTGATTTTATCAAGAAGTTTTACACTCCAAATCGGAGGGGGGATTCTTCATCAACAGTCTGTTACAGTCTACATGATCACTTGACTCATGTATCATCATAGATCAAAAGCAGTTGAAGGAAGGCGGGAGCAGCTTCACCAGGGCGACGTCGGGTTCTGACTTTTCCCATCCATCTTTGACCGAAGGCATCCACATCACATGGGGATGGATCAACACCTGGAGCTCAATCAGCCCTGGTCCACCATGTAGCTTGACTTTCCAGATAGGTCAATCAAGGTCTCCGATTCTGTCATGACCCACATCCATCATCCTCCTTCAGGAATCAGCCCGCATCCCCGCTGCTTCCACTCCACCCCGCCTCTGCGTCACGAGTCCAGACTTCTAAACCAGCCGCGCCCCAGGTTCCCATGGCTCAAACTGCTCAAGAAAGATCCCCTGAAACAGGCCAAGCGCCGGGATCCACTCAAGAGGGGCCTGGTCTTCAAGCTTGGGCCAGTTCACGGCCTAAAAAAGAGCCGGGCCATGTCATGTCATGAAATCAGCATGTCATTTCACAACAAAGGCATCAGGAAATGGAGCATCCTTAAGTCTTTGGACAATCGCCCACCTTGAGCTCAAGCCCGGTGTCATTCACATACACACCACCTCCACAGTCTGACTCTGGAAAAAGAGTGGGCTGCTCAAACATGCTCAAACATGCTCAAACCACCTACCAGGACCTACCAGGTTGCTGTTGCCAAGGCACATTTCTCTGCGGCCGAATCCGTCAAATTGAACTCGTCACACTGGTCTTGCCTCAAAAAGACGCTACCCTCGGGTCACGCGAGCCAGTCAGGCGAGCCAGTCTCACACGAATGCACGATGGACGACATGGGCGAGACGGTCCGGACTGGACGGATGTGACATGGTCGGTGGAGCCATGGCACCGAAAAGCCCGGGTCTTTGTTTTTCTTTCCGACAGAAACATGAGAATGCACTGCCAGACATGGTTACATCCTTCCCAGTGTGCCCATCGTGGGCTACCCGAACTAAAAGAGGTGCCCAGGTTCCCACAGCTACACCGCGGGATCCCATGGCATCGTTTTCGGGCCATCCCCACATGAAACTGAAAGAGATCACCACCGTCTTTGGCACCGAAACCGTTGAACAGCTCCGAACCAGAACCACCTGGACTTCCCCCGCGGCTGAACCGAAATCGTGGAGTTCTGGAAAAAGATATCGACATGCCGATGGATCCAATGGATGGCAACTCAGTCCAGCACCGCAGGATCATGGAGAAGGATCCGAAGGGATCATCGCTGTTGGGCAGTCGGCTCAACCGCTCCCTGAGTCGCGGCTGCGAGCGGAGCAGCTGAAGAACACTCTGTTTCGTCTTCCATCTCAGAATGTTGTTGCTTATTCACAGTTCCTTTTGCGCCACGTTCGAACGATCACGATGTCATCGGGCCGATTGATGGTACAATCGAAAAAGAAAAGCCTTTACAATCGGGCCGACGTTGTACCAGGTCGGCTGCTGCAAAATGCAGCTGCGGGGACTTGACCTTCAAAAGAGTAGAGGGGACTTCATGGACTGCCAGTCTGGTCTTTGCCAGTCAGACCGGCCTGTCGTCGCAACCTGCCAGTCAGACGTGGGCATTCTGCGGAGACCAAGCAGCACGTCAACACGTCTCGTCGTCGCGCCGTCGAGGACCATCCGGGCCACGGGTGTCTTCCACCCCTGGCCAGCTCTCGTTGTTCTTTTTTCTGGGCGTCCGGGACCATCCGGGACCTCCATGGTAAGCTGCCGCCAAGCGGCTGCCAAGCAGCAGCCCAGCGAGAAAAAGCGATCAAGCGAAGTGTGCTCTCGATCGTTTGGACGCATCGGGGGTGTCAATGCTCTTCTGACTCGTCATCATCCTGGAAAACTGGAAGGATGTTGCGAAGCTCGCCAGAAAAACAACTATCAAAGCTTTCTTTGGATCCATGATCTGAAGTCAAGGAACACCTTCTGGCAGCACTTCCAGAGCGCCCATGCCAATGCCAGCATCGACCCCAGCCCCAGCTTCGGCCAGCTTCAGCTTGGCAAGGCTTTGAAGTTGTTTGGCCATCTCCACTGATCGATGCAGTCCTTCTTGACCTCAACGACCCGTCCCCACGGCACACCGGCGCCTGTCCCGGCATTCACGCCGCACTGTCGTACGCCGTCGCGGTTTGCCCCCCCAAAAAACCCACCACCAGCGGTTCCGACGGAATGGTTCTCGGTCCCCAGAAGTGAGTGGATGTGACAGGGGCACCCCAACGTCCTTCCTCCGTTCGTCCGGCACCGGAACTGCCGTCCCGGGTCCTTCGAGAACGGCCCAAACGAACCGAGTCTGGGTACCAAACGACCAAGTCGCAATGCACCGCAATGAGGTGCCCGGATCGCAGGTGTTCCTCGGTGGCCAGCCCGGGTGTGGCGGGTGGCCGCGGGTTGACGCAGGTGTGGCGTACGCGAATCGACACATGCACATGGAAAGTCACCTGAATCACTTATATCATACAGTCATACAAAAGAAGATGAGTGTGGCTCAAGAAAACGACCCACCCTGCATTCTTCCGAAGTCTTCCATTTGCCAGTGCTTTTGGATGGCACCGTTGGCACCCGCTGATGTTTGTTCGCCCCTCCCAAGAAAGACAATCCTTAATTGTTGTCGTGAACATTGGCCAAAAAACAGTCACCACCCCAATGATTTTCTGCTACTACACCTCTAGACCTCACACACACTGTTTGGGGTCTCTTGCCAGGATAATAAGCTGCTTCTCCGTGATGGACGCACCATGACTGGCACCGACCAGACTCTGGACCTTCGACTCGGCAAACACCATGGGACGGGGAGAGACGGTGAGAGCATACCGCGCCAGACCCGATGAGTCATGTAGACTGCTGAGGATCATTCGTTTCAACGTCCTGGTGGCCTGGCCTGGAGTGGTTTTGGACTCCCATGGTTTGGGGGGGGTGATTGATTCATCAACCGTCTGTAGACATGCTTTCCGAGGCAAGGTTCCAGAAGGCGTTCCCCGTACTCTTCCAAGTAGGAGCGGCAGGCGTCCTGCATATTAGCCTCCGTCATCGGTAGCCAGTAGATGTCTTGGCCGGGGCGCGACTCAACCTTGGGTTCGCCAGTTCTCCGTGCACAATTCACGATGACCTCCGTGCGCAGTCGCAAAGCAGCGCATGAGAAGCTGCTGCCCTGCTGAAAATGCTGCTGAAAATGGGGTTGGAGAAGAAAAGAAGCGATTCAATCCCATTAAACCCAGGTCATTGGCTTCGCTTCTTGTAGACATAGACATGGACGCTTTTCCTTTTCCCTGAAAGGGGGCGCCTTTGGCCCCACCACGGGGGTTTGTATTGTTTGTCATTGTATGATGTTTTATGTAAGAGGACCTTCAAACGGCCCTGGCGCCCGGAGTCGCTGGTTCGATGCTCCTTCCAGTGGGTCTCCCGTCCGCCGCCGGGTCACGCGCCCCGCGCCGGAGCCGCCGTCGCCTGGGCGTCGGCCTTCACCGCGCGCACCGCGTCGGCGCCGCCCTGGAGGAGCTGGCCGCCCGGCACCGGCAAGGAGCGCAGGCCGGGGTGGAGCGGCTTCGTCTCCATGGCGACCAAAGGGCCGGGAAGGGCAGGGGAGGGCAGGGGAGGGGAGAAGGGGGAGAAACCAATGGAATGGACATGACCGAAAGTCCCCTTTCAAATTGGGTCTTGGAGTCTTGGACTTTTAGGGAGCTTAGATAACACATATCTACACAACCTCAAGCCACGTACTAATAGTGCGTGACCTGGGGGTCTCCGAGGTTCCGATTCCTCCACCCGTTCGAGCTAAGCCTTGAGCCGAAGCCACCAGGAAGACTGGGTCACCCAACCAGAAGACATGGTAGCAAACCCAGCAGAGAAGTCTGAGCCACTGACCCTTGAGTCGCATCAAAGTGATCCCGCCAATCAGTATAGTTCAGGTGCAGTAGGATATCCTCCGACTTCGGATGGATTTTGGTGTAGAGATATCCATGCTCCTCCATCACATAATTCCTCTCAGAATACTGCAGCTGGATCTTCTGAAAGTCATTGGGATCATCTACCTTGATGTCATAAGTTTCATTTTCCAGCATTGGAATGGCCCATCCTCTCACCTTAAAGAAGTCATATTCGACCTGGTCGAAGCCCACATCCGTCCTTACATTCATCCTCTTCCCATCTAATTGCCAGGGCTCCTGCCCATCCACCTTCAGGCGCCGCACTCGTACTGATCCGTCACTGGCTCCGCACACGATGCCGTTCACGTGCTCTGGCACCACTTGACACTGGGGGAAGGTGTTGAAGTCGTAGAACTTGGAGACAAAGCCATTGGGATATCCGGTCAAAGTACCATCCATATCCTTAGATTTGCTTCCTGAAAAGCGGGACAAAGTGAAAAAGGTCCCTGGGGGATTTGACCAGTTTTACCATATAATTACGTTATATGTATATATATATACAGAAAATGAAAATCCCCTTAAGATCCCTTAAGCCTTTTTCGCCAAAACCAGGTCTCCCAGAAGATGCCCGCCATCTTGCCACTGGAGCTGAACGTTCGACGACTGGAGTTGAACCATCTCACCTGGTCGTCGACCGGAGCTCGTTTCGTCTCGTGGCATCCACGGAGTAAATCACGAGACAAGGAGTTCGGCGTTTCTTCGGCTGTTTGGTTTTTGCGGAAGAAAAAAAAGCTGCAATAACAACATGTTCGCCTGATCTTTGGTGTTTGCGGATTCATGGCATTCACGCAAAAAGGAAAGAATCAAAAGTATCAAAAGCATTCAAAAGCAAAATGCTTGGTCCCCTCTCACATTTCGTGGGATGTTCGCCATTTCGCCCAAAAAAGAACCTCTTTCATCAGGTCACCCGTTCATATCTCATGGTACACGTGGTCTCAAAGCATCCTTCAAAGGCCGCCGAGTCGTGCAAGTTGATCACCGTGGCCCCCGAGATGTAGAAGTACTCGTTGTCCTTGGCCGACCGGACTCCGCGGCCCATGCGCGAGCTGGTGGCCTCCGGATCCATGTTTCCCACCAAGACCAGGTTGTGATAGAAGGGCGCCGTGTGCAAGCCATTGGACAAATGGTTCATGAAATGCCCCGTGCCGCATTCGATGAAGCGATGATCATCGTGAAAGATGTTGCCCGTGCCGTAGTAGAACATGCCAGTGCTGCAGCGGAAGGCGGTGAACTTGTTGAAGGTGTTCAGGGTCGGTGGTGCATGAGGTGGCTTCAAATGCCATCCAAAGCCGGAGGCATGTGCCGAGTTGTTGAAGAACGTCAGATCCGTCTGAGCACCTGCGGGGCCACTGATCTTGCGCACCCGCCATCCCCGGTGGCAGTTCGCAGCCAAGTTCGAACGGTGCCTGGCAGTGAAAAAAACGGCTAAAGCTGTGGCTTCAGAAGAAGCCAAAATTGATTTGGTGCAAGCGCCGTGGCTTCTAAAGAAGAAGAAGAAGAAGAAGCTGTGGCTTCTAAAGAAGAAGTGCAATTGATGTTGTGCAAAAGCAAGAGGTCTTTACGCACCACGAGGTCTTTGCGTTGCTTGTCTTTTCGGCTAAAGATAACCTTCCAACATCCTACTGCAGCTGCGCAGCCCAACTTGAAACACTAGGCTTCAGCAAAGACAAGTGGACTGGACAAGCCGGGGGATAGGTCAAGGTGAAGGTATCACTGAAATTGGTCTGGTGTATGACCAAAATACAGCATGTGATCACTCTCAGGAATGTGGTTCAACAACTCCATCTCTTGGCCTCAAAAGTCACGGGATCAGATCCCAGAATATTTGTCAATTCAAAGCTGGCACTAAGTCTGCCACTTCCAAGCTCAAAATCGAAGATCGCCAGGTTTTCCTTGCAAGTTCCGCGTGGAAAAAATGCTTGAAACATCGAGCTGCATGCAACATGCCCAACTTGACTGCTTTGGAAAGAAACAGAATCAACGTGAATCAACCATTAAACACTGTCATGTACAAAGGCTTTCATCCTTAGCAATTGCGTACCCATGACTTTCTGCGTACTCGAGTTTTAGTAGCTATGACGTTCACTCCTTCGCAGCGTTTGTCGTTCGCAACGAACGCAACACCCAGGGATTCTGGATTGGAATCTGACGTTGCTCCGGGGGGGGCGTGGGCGCCTTCAACTCAGACCTAAGGTGGTGCAAGGAGCCCTTCCCAAAGAAGAACTAAATGGAAATCCAAGGCGCAACCTGATGCTTCGGATTTGAGGTGCCCGGAATGACGCTCACGTTCTGCCTTAGACAGACCGGGCAGAATGTGAGAGAGAATCGATGGAGAAAAGAGACCGAGCCACCCATTGAGACAGTGTCAGTGTTGGAAAGGAATGAAAAAGGAATCTCAGTCTTTCAGAAGATTCACTCCTGAGACTCCTGGCTGCACTGCCCAACGCAGCAGTATCTGTCCTGCGCTCTTGCCATGCCATTCCTGACGGGGTCAAGGTGGCGACGAAGGCAGGTTGCCGTCTCATGGTCTTCCAAAAAGATGCCAAGATCAGGAGATCCCCCATCCACCCATCTGCCAAGAATACAACTCCAGTCCAAGAGTCTCCCATCTGCTTCAGCGCCTCCTGCAAAACATTTGGGCTTCAATGTGCTTCATCATCTTGCAAACACCAAAGACTGAAAGCATGCTTGCAAGTCAAGGAGTCCAGTTTCCGCACCTGTGTAGTGATCTGCGAGGCGTATGCATTGCTACCTCACGATCAAGAGCCCGTTGAAAAAAAGGAAGAAACACTTCATGTCGGAGTCGGCGGCAGCCAAAACACAGCTGTTTACACAGCTCATCTCATGAGTCGCTCACCCATGGAGCCATAAGCTGTAACCACCACACCCCTCCTCGCAGCGAGTCGATTGTTGTAACGCTTCAGCCTCATGGCTGTGAGTCAACAAACCTCCTCCACCAGACCACCTGTCCTATACGCCAGGGCCTAGGGCTCAAGAGGTCCGCTCCAGAGATCCGCTCCAAAGATCCGCTCGCGCTCCGCTCGGTCTCCTGTGGCACCAGGCCACCGTTTCTCGATGGATGCTGGGCACCCAAGGATGGTACTCCAACTGGTTCACTGAGACCTGGAAGCTATCAAAGACCGGAGAAGACAACCATTTTCGACCCTTGGAACGCTGACTGTTTTGCCTGGTGCCATCGGGCCAGTCGGGCCCCCTAAGCTTGCAACTGGTACTCCGCCCAAGTCGAAAAGCTCCTCCCGAGACAACAAAGCAAAAAAACTTACCTCTATGTATTACCTAGAACCTGAATGACCTCTATTTTGGACCACCAACCGCCACCCAAAAAAAGGATCTGTTCCTATCAAAACAGGGGTCAAATGGGTTCCAGGTATATGTCACCCTGTCCTGCATCTGTCGAGGGCCAAAATTGCTAACTCCAAGTGACCGGATCTTGCCCTGCAGAGTCAAAAGAAAAGATCACACAGTCTCACGGCAAAAATGGTCAAGTCTTGAACGTGATTCATCATTGAAGTTGAAGACTGAAACTCCTTGCTTGAAGCTAATGATAGAAGCTTCTGAGGCATTTCTCCAGTTTCTTGCCACTGAGCAGGTCCCGCCACAGTGCCCACTGCTCTACATTGAATGGGCCGGTGTCCGCGAGAGCGGTCCGCGGGAGCACACAGACTTAGCTTTCGGCATCAGCACCCACATCTCCCTGCCCAGAACTTCCGTGATGACCATTTTACTCCACCCCTGGTCGGTAGTCAATCCATCCACCGCCTACCAGGCCCAGGTGGTTCATGGTCGTTCATGAGTCATGTTCTGGGTTTTCTCAGGGCGGCTCGCGCCGCCCTGCGGTTCGCCCTACTCGCCCTCAGTTCTCTGCACATTGAACGGCGAACTGTCCACGTGTCAAAGCCCAAGGACTCGAACGGCCCCCCAGCACCATCAGCACGGTCCACGCACCGAAGGGGCCACCGTTGAGTGCCACAAAGACCGGCTGGAGACCGGCTGGAGTGAGAGTGAGAGTGAGTGAGTGTGGGTGTGAGCGTGTGTGAGTGAGTGAGAGTGAGAGTGAGGGAATGACAGTGAGGGAGTGGGAGAGTGAGCATCTGAGAGCACAAAGCGCTGTACCTGTCACGAAATCTGCACTTCGAGGTTCACCAAGTGCTGTGCCTGCGACGAAATCTGCACTTCGAGGTTCACCAAGCTAATGCTGCGCCTGCCACGAAATCTGCACTTCAAGGTTCACCCAGTGCTGCGCCTGCCACGAAATCTGCACTTCGAGGTTCACCAAGTGCTGTGCCTGCCACGAAATCTGCACTTCGAGGTTCACCAAGTGCTGTGCCTGCCACGAAATCTGCACTTCGAGGTTCACCAAGCTAGTGCTGCCTGCCACGAAATCTGCACTTCAAGGTTCACCAAGTGCTGCGCCTGCCACGAAATCTGCACTTCAAGGTTCACCAAGTGCTGTGCCTGCCACGAAATCTGCACTTCGAGGTTCACCAAGCGCTGTGCCTGCCACGAAATCTGCATATCGAGGTTCACAAAGTGCTGCGCCTGTCGCGAACTCTGCGCGTCGAGGTTCACAAAGTGCTGTGCCTGTCACGAAATCTGCACATCGAGGTCCACAAAGTGCTGCGCCTGTCACTAAAAAATCTGCAAACGAGCCACACGTCCAAAAGTCACGATTCACTGCACCTGTCACGAAGTCTGAGCTCCTCGACGATCACCACCATGTCCAAAGTGCTGCACCTGCCACGAAAACTGCAGCTCGAAGTAAAACAGCTCCGATCCCTTGCACCTGTCACGAAAAGTGACCATCATATGCGAAAATGCGCAGGGCACCACAACGAGAGCGCAGTCGCTAGAAGCACCCGCCGCCGGCCGCCAGATTCAGCGAGCCTGCGCAGTCGAAATGCACTTCGAGGCTTTCGAGAGGCATGAATGTACTGTAAATAGCAACGAATTAGCCGTTCACGCCCGCGCGCTTCAGCGATCTAGGCATCAGCTGCTTTTCTACTACCGTAAGAACCCCTACAGTAGTGTGTCCACACTGTTTGGGGAAAAAAACATCTCCAGCACCTGGCCCAAGAAGGTCCCTGCGCGGAGTCCGTGTTCCCCTTGGACGACGGTGTGTTTTCGCGGCGCCGAGTTGGACGGCGGCGACGCTTCGAGACGCCATTTGGCGCGTTTTGGAGACGGATACCAGCGGATTGCATGCGCGGCACATGATGGAAGCCGGGAAAAATGTGCAAAGCTCATGTGGACCGAAAGATCATTCTATAGGCCCTTTCGCCCCGGCCTTGCGATGGAATCTTTGCAACGCGAGCCAGGTCTCTTGGCGACACTGCTTTGGTGTTCCACAGTCCTGCAACTGTGCATGTCATGTGCACTTCTCATTGAAAGGCATTCTTTACTAACTCATTACATGCCCAGTGTCTCGGATGCTTGTCATTACTTAACCACAACCTACAGAGAAAGGTCTTGCAATCTCATCAATCTCTAGCGCACAAAGCCAGGAGACCCTGTTTTTCAAAAGTTTCTCTCGCCGACCCCTGGACAATTGTGGCTTAGACATGCTTAGGAAGCAACACCAAAAGTGACTCCTTGTCGTCAGCACTGGCCATGTGCAACAGCACCAGATCTACATACCTCAGTTTCTCGATCCGCAAACTCTTCCAACCCCCCACTCGTCCAACCGATCAACTCGTCCAACCCGATGGATCGCGAATCACCCGAGAGCAGATCGGACTCGCAGATCGAGAGCGCATGACCCTGTGGGGTGTCGGGGCCTGGAAACAGGTCGAAACAGACATCTCGACGTTTGGGTTTGGACCATCAGTGGGGCTGTTTGGAACATCTGTTTGGAACCTCTGTTTGATGCTGTTTATCCAGACACTCCACCAGAGTTGACCCACAATGTGGAATCCAAGTCACCATCTCAGCCGAGCTGCTCCAGCCCAAGTTCATCAAGCATCTGTGGAGCCCAGGCCATAGCCTGCGCAGAAAACGTAAAAAAGTGTACATTGGTACGCCAAACGGTCGGAGCACGGCGAACCAGAGAAATCACGTCATACGAAGCACGAATCTCTCAGACCAATGTTGCCTTTTCAAATCCAAACTCGTCAGGCCAAATCTTGGTCGTCAGGAAGATCTCCTCTCTTGGCACCTCAGATGGTGGCGTCAATCAAACGGAGCTCTTTTCTCCAATGGAATCCTCTCATCGCCGGAAATCCAACCGTGGGATCCCATCTTCACAAATCAGATTCGAAAGATTCTTCTCCTCCCAACCCAGAGACGGCACTCCCCAACTTGAGACGAAAGGCACTCCTTGTTCGATGGCAAGCCGCACTCCTTCGCCCACTTCCTGGCAGCACGGCGAAGTAGAACCCTCTTCCAACCCAGCCTGGATAACCGGAACCTTGGAACCCAATCACCAGGACCTTCCCAGTGACCCTTTGAGATCCCAGTGGGTCGGTCACTTATATAGGTCATCCGTTCTCTTGGTCACCGTTCTCCTGAAGTTCGGACTTGTCTCCTAAGCGCTGTGCAGTCCAAGAAGGCCCTACTCGCTATGGTTCTGGGGTGCCTAAGTTCGGACACGAAAAGAGACACGATGTTCGCCGCCGGGATGCGACACTCATCCATCTCCTGAAAAGTTTAACGAGGGCAGCCATGCGGAGGTCTGATCTCATGCACTGCCATGCACCAAAAAGAAGTGAACAGAACCAAGAAATTAAGAGAACAAGAAACGAGCCTTGGTCTGGGATAGACTGGATCATAGACTGCGGTTTTTTGGTGTTCTTGCTGCTTCGGTGTTGAGAAGTCTTGATCCTTTGGTGTTGGTTCTATGTCCAGGAGTTACTGTTTTTGTGGTTGGGAACACTCTTGCTCGTTTGACTTCGGTCTAGCAGATGGTTCTCCAATTCATCAGATGTGAGGCCACATGTGTGTGGATATATACCCTACAAGTCCAAAGACCTAGTAAAACCTGGTCTTTTACCTATGAGTAGTGTTTTTGTATGACAAACTCCAATACTATGAGGTCATTGACTTGTAGGGTATATGTGTACTGCATGTGCAAGAAGAAAATATAATCATGTGCGTTACCTTCCCTTCGTTTCCCACTACGTGCTAGTTTCTAGACATGACATGCCTATGTTTCCTGACTCACGTTTCCTGACACTCCTCGTGATTTCTTGAAATGATGTCAGGACGTCAAGACCAACACAGTATGCACTCTCTGTACACATCGCCAAAAAAAAAGCGATGGGCTGAGACCCAAGCTCTATGGTTGCCGTAGAGTTGCGCCGTATCCACGTGCCTTCCACCTGCGACCGCCGTATCCACGTGCTCCCGCTGCGGAGTACACACTGAATGATGAGGGAAACAGTCACCAAGGGCCGAAGGATGGGGGCTTTTCGGCGTCGCTGGGCGGCCTTGTAGAAGAAAATCTAGGACACCTTGTCGAGCTGCGTCGCCCCCTGAGCTTGCGTCGTTTCTGGTGTCTGAAGCCAAACGAAGTAGTCGAACATGCAAAGGAAGCAAAACCACGGAACGCTGGTCGGTCTGTCCAGTCCGAAGCGGATGGGAATCCCCAGGCCTCAGGCCCCACGCTATCCGGATTGCGTCGCATGGATCTGCATTGACATATCAGAACCACCATGTCTCTCTCCTTTTATAAAAACATCAGGTTCTGTGTGATCAGCTCTGCTCACGCCGAGCTATCACGCCCGGGGACGTGCCCGAATTGTCCGTGATATAAAAACATCAGGACCGTGCCGCTTGCCGCTCGACTCGGCCCCTGGCGTGCGGAGTCCCTGCAGCACATGCCAACACCTGCCATGGGCCTGATCGCGGTCGCCAGCGTCGGAACAGGACAGGAAAACCGCCACAGATCTCCATGGGCTGGGGGCAAAAAAGAACACGAACCTTTGGCATCATCCACCTGGAGGCCTGCAACCGTCCCCTCAAAAAAGGCGATTCGGATGATGGAAAAGGCCCTACCGGTCTGAGCCCCCCAACATCTGGCCGCCACCAAGCAGCGGCAATGATGGCACAGACGTACTGGAGCCTCTCATCACCTCGCCCGCGCGGAAGCGGTGTCTCATCATTGCAGGTGCCTCCAATCTCAGCGAAAAAGCCAATCCAAGGAAGGGGCGATCAGCGCGAAGACTTGCCGCCATGAGCTGGTCCATCGCATGATCGAAGGTGCAAAACGAGATCAGCAAAGAACATGTTTCATATCTTTTTTGCCCTGGAAGTAGGAAGACTCTATTATGTCTCAGTGAAGTAAAGGAAGTTCCCTTTCAGGTACATAGTTTTTGACTTTCAGGGTTATGTTGCCTTAAACATGGACTATGGATGACCTTTGTGCTGTGTGTGCTGGCGCATCTGGGTTGTGCTTCGCATCCGGGCTGAGACGGCTTCTCAGCTTCAGTTCGTCTCCAGTCTGGTGCTGAGTGCCCGTCTCCTCATCGCCGGTCTGGTGAAACCGCAAAACACGTGTCGGCGCTGCCATCCCATGAAGCCCGGCATCCAAAACCCTGCCGGGTCCATGTCGTCATCCAAGAGCAACGGATGCCTGGCGGAGACCGAGGTCCAGGAAGCCGGAAACCCGTCCCGTGGTCCGGTTTGGTAGAACTGGTTTGCTTGGATTTGCTTGGAACTGGAACCGGTAAAAAGAGGTCAAAAGAATATTCCCCAGATGGGGATTCACCTGAAAATTAACCGAACAAGCAAAACTAGGTGAAGGCAGTGACCCAAAGTTGAGCAGCCAACTGAAGTGGATGGACGGCCAGATTGTGCTCGTAGAGCGTGAAGACTTCATCGCCCGCCTGACGTGAAGGGTGTTGAGCACACCAAAACATCTAAGTCACCAAACAGCACATCCGTCTAGCTCATGATGGTATCCATCAGAGAATACACAGCTTCAGAAGTAGCTTTGAAAAGCTTCTGTCAACACATGCTCGATACTGAGCTCCGCCAAACTGGAGAGAGCTGGGAGCTCCGCGCAACCACTCCGCCGCACGGCGCAACCCCTCGCCGCACGGCGCCTCCGTGAAGAAGGAATGGCCTTTGGTTTTCAGGGCCACGTTGTCTCGCACCACGGCGAAGTCTGTGGAATGCACCACCTCGGTCGTCGGATTCGACACACGGAGTGGAGTCGAGGAGTGACATGGAGGGTTTGGGTGTAGTGGCGGTGGTGTTTCGATGTGTCGAGGAAAAAGCGATCCATCCGTGTTTGGGCTGATTTTGTTGGAGCGACCCTAAAGGGGTCTTCAAAACCCTACAGGTCTAGACCGGACCTCATTTGACTGGGGCCGGGAGAATGCCAAAGCCTCCATGAGGTCGGACCAGGTTTATCTTGGTCCCAAAAATGATGACTCGACCAGACCTGGCAGTCATCATTCACCACTACTCTGCAAAAATCAACTGAGACTTTTTCCTGGACTCGGCCTGGTTGTAAACTGGTCTCCTGAGGATGGCTCCACAGCACGCTGGAAGGTATCGTGATAGCTGTTGTTCCGAAGGAAGGCCTCGGGGTCCGAGACGAGGCCGTCGGAGAAGGCCGTCTTCTCCGGCCAAGTCGGAGGGCCCAAAACCCTGAGAGTCGAGGAATTGCCAAACTCCTCTGGAATGCAGTCTGAACAATCTGGTTTTGTGTAAAGCATGTCAAAACCACCAGGAGTCACAAAGGGGTGGTGTTTGGTCCCTAAGTGAGTGGAGTAGCTGGGCACCCCGACTACCTCCATTAAGCACCCCTTTGTGACTGCTGGCAATGGTTGTTTGGCAAAGGCTATGAAACCATATGGTGCTTCGCGACTTCGGGTGACTCATTTGTGCCCCAACTATGAGTAGTGAGTAGTGGATGGATTGACTACCAGGTGGAGCAGTTCATGAGTTCATGAGTCAAAACGGAAGTTCTGGGCAAGAAGCAGGCAAGAAGCAGAAAAGCCTCCTGCCAAGACACGGTGATCGGCGATCGGTGGCCAGCGAATAAAAGAGGACAACGACTTTCCAAACATCAAAAAACTATTTTTGTGTTCCACTTCCATGCCATAGTCAGCTGGTGGAGTGGAAGATACAACTCCGAGTCAACATGGAAGCGGAGTGAAAACCCTCTGTTTGGTCCAATGGCCATCCGAAAATCGGGCTGGTTCACGGCACACAGGCAAGGGCAAGAACCTCTCTGTGGTCCAAAACTGATTTGGCAGTGGGTCAAAACCCTGGCCCGCAGGTTGACCCCCTGGCACCCTGCTTGACCCCCTATAAGGGGATGTTGACTGGGAGTCCAGTCGACTATAAAAAGAATGGTCTGACAAACGGGGACCTGATTGCGGAAACTTCCTTGACTTCAGCCGGTCAGAATATAGTCGAACTGGACTTCTAGGGGTATGTCAACTTCTCATGGTTTGGTGGGGGAGGGGAGGGGAGGTGACAGCCATGTCGCATGTGACAGCCATGTCGCGCTGTGTGTTTGTCCAAGCTGCAACATCAGCCACATCCACGGTTCGATGTGGTGAGAGCACGTGCCAATGCGAGGAATAGCGGCCAAAATTGGCGGCCTGGGCGGGAAGTGGAGGAGTCCTCGTGGCCGGTGTAGAACTCTCTGAAAAGGCCGAGCCCATCTGTACGTCCTCAAAACACCAACCACAAACCACCTTTCGGTGGCTCCTTGACAAGGAACATCAACATATTCAAAAGGATCATAGGAGAGTCAGCCCAAGTGGCGGGGTGACCAATCAACATCCACTTGCTCCACTTGCTCCACTTGCGGCTTTGTCTTGGCTTTCGTGCCACCGAACACCCGCCCGTCAACGGACCGACGGTGCCCGATCACCAACGCACCGCGGGTGGCCCGGAGCCAGGAGGTCGTGACGATCCCTGATGTAGACTCTTGGGATGAATCATACACCCAGCTAGGTGGCCAAAGAAGCGAGGTTTATCATGCACCCAGCTAGGTGACCTACCTCCAACTGAATTCAAAGAGGTTTTATAAAATGCACTTCTTCAGCTGTTGGTCTCGCCAGCCTCCAATTCAAAGAGGTGATAAAGTAGAACATGATTCCAAGTGAGGGTTTCTGAACATCAAGCATCCACGTTTTTCCAAGAAATCTCAAGTTCCTCTTCAAGGACAATCCTGCCCCTAGTCATACCTCCCCGAATTTGTTCCCTGGCGCCTGACCGCTGCGAGTGATCTCTGTGTTCTCAATCCGCATGATGCCGCCGTGGAAGGCGCCGATGTGAACGCCAAACATAAAGGACTCAGAGACACGGTCACATCGACGTCCGGGGGCGTTCAGACGGTCACGGTCACATCGCGAGCGGCGGCGTGGCGTTCGCTTTCTCGGATTGGATGAGCTTCAGACGTTTCCGGCGGAGAGTGACTTCTCATCACCTTGCACCTCGATTGCACTGCGAGAAACCCCGCATTCCACATGGTGACATAGTGATGAACACACAATCCTTTGCGCGCACGCGCGCGCTCTCTCTCTCTCTCTCTCTCTCCCAACAAAGGACTTCAAACATACCATGAAATTCCTCTAAAATCCTGTAGATAGATGCTGCATGCACCAAATGTCTACCCTCTCTCCAACTGAAACTACCAGCTCGAAACAACTCTTCTCCCTCGCCTTGACGTTGCGATTGAGCCTTCCAACAGCTGCACCTGAAGAAGAGGCGGTAGCTTTTGGTGCGATGAACCAAGCAGGACCGGTCACTCGAACTTTAAAAAGTGCCTAGCAGGACCGGTCACCCAGGTGCTACCAGGCCGGTCTTCCTTCTGGATTGACTCCCCAAACGCTTCGGAGCCGGAGGTCTTCGAAGCGGTGGGAAAAAAAAGAAGAAAACACTCCGGCTTCGACACCAGATCAGGCAAGCGAAGATGTGCAGAAGGAAGAAGACAGGAACGTCCACTGAGATAGTGAGACAAATATAATGATGCAAGATACATGCAACGAAATGAAAAGAGTTCAGGAATAATTCTCTTCTAAAGGTGTCACACGTAGTGACCAATCTGGGGCTTCAGCGAAGGTCCGTGGGGGTTGGAATCTCATCATTGTAGTACCTCAAGCTGACTGATGCTGACTGACGCTGAATGAAAGCACACCTCCAACCTCCAACCAAGCACACCCATCACACACACACACACATGTTCCGCCCTGTTTCCGCTTCCACCAAAGCTCGCTCCGGGCTTTCCGGAGCCCAAACAGTCTGGTCTGAGCTTCCGGCCAAGTGCCCAGGTGCTCATGCCTCAAAGGCTCGTCCAAACGGAGCGTGAAGCCTCAGGCGGTCGCGCGGGGCGCGACCCGCCGCGCCGCGGCCCGGTCCCGGTCCCGTCCGCCCTCCGCAGGACACACGCTGCGGTCGCCCGTCGGTGGTTGGTTCGAGAAACCGTTGTCCTCAAGGCTCAGCACCTTACGGACCTGAGATGAGATGTAAGGTTGAAAGTCAAAGCAAAAGTGTTCAGCAAGGCGGAACCTCTGCGACCTTTCACACCTGCCACTGTTCACCAAAATACACTCGTGGCACCACTCTCTCTCGCTCTCGAACTTCATCGTCTGGGCCCCACCTCTTCAGCGTGGCGCTCGGAGGGCGTGATGACCACCTCGGTGCCGATCTCCCAGTCCACGGCCTCCTCGAGCTTCAAGAGGTCCGCTCCGGCCGGCGCGGTCTCCACCAGGCGCGTCCAACTGATGCCCGGGCGCCCATGGAGCTCCAGGCGACCCACCAGCTTCACCGGGCAGGGGTCCACGTAGTGCTTTCCAGTCTGAGAGAGCCGCACATTCCGGTCATACAGATGGGCACAGGTACCTGCCAGCGAAAAGCGTGCCTGAGCTAAGGCCCAACAAAGAAAAGGCGGAGCACTCCCGGCCAGCCAGACATGTAACATGACTATGACCTACTATGACTATGAAGGATCTGCTAGAAAATCGGAATCGGCCAGACTTCTTTGGATCTTCACTCACCCCACCTAGTCCTCCCAGGTCTGTCACGGCTAACATCTTGGAGCCAATCACTGGCAGCTCGATGGTGTGCCAACGGTCACCATGCAAGGTGATGGTCGCCTGATGCAAGAACGGAGCCGCCTCGGAGCCCACATAAAAGTTTCCACCAGCGATCCAGATGTAGGTGGAGTCCAATTGCAAATCCTCTGGATCGAAAACCACCGAAAACGGTGACCGATGGATTCGCCCTGAATGATGGATTCGCCTGTTGATGTACATTCCCCCATTTACCCCACCAAAGGAAAATCTAGCAAGACCATGCAAAACCATCACCCTGATCCAGTCATCCTTCCGGTCAAATTCGAAGTAGCCAGAGATTAGGAGCAAGAAGAGCTTGGGCGAGTCCACATCGAGCATGATCGCTTGGCCCTCAGGAACCACCACTGAATCGCCATCCACAGGCGGTTCGGAATCTTGCCAACTGTAGATGTTACTCCACTTGTCCACGTACCTCCCAGGTGCTTGTTCAGTCCATGTGACCAGGGCAAGCCCATGTCATTATGGCGCTTTGTGGACAATTGGAACCAAAAAGGGATTTCCTGTGAAAGAATATAGTAGCAAGAAGCTCCTAGGATCAAAGGGTATCGCCAGTAAACAAGGGCATCGCTATTAGTAGCTTATTTGCTACTAGGATACAACATTAATATATCAATTGCAACGGACAGCGTAAGAAGATGCCCTGCCTAAACACGGTGTCTTCTGCTGCCAGGGAGATGATCGCATAACCCCTACCCCCAAGGAAGACCTGCGTGAAAGGAGCGAAAATGCCCGCATTGCGTTCCGTGGTGTAGCAGCTCAAAGCCGTGCTGTTGGCACTGTCCGGACGACAAGGATACTGGTTGAAGGTGATTTGCGCATTGTCACTCGACACACTCGTGGCACTTCCTTGTGAGTCCAAGGGTTCCAGCCCCTGTCCCAGCAGTGTCACCAAGGTGTCTCCCCGTGCCGTGCCCCGGTTGGGCGTCAGGTATGCCACCACCGGCGTCCGCTCGACGCTGTAGGACAACACGACCGGCAGCAAGGCTGAGCCACCAATGGCAGAAGCCAACGGGTGTGAAACGCTGTCGACCTGAAGAAGGGGGACGGAAGCAACCATGCATCTTCAGACAAATGCAACCACTCAAAGAGTAGACTCTTGATGTTTCAACCCCCTCAGACATGGATTGTAAAACTTCTTCAAAGAGGGTGCTTTATTAGTCGTCTAGATTGCGATATACATGGAGACACACAAAGAAGAAAGTCTTTAAGACTTCCCAAAAAAGGACTACTTTCCGTGACTACTAGGCGCCTCAATGGGGCAAGCATTGGTGTTCCCCTTGTTCAGCAAAATGCCTCTGAACCGCACGCCGCGCATGATCTCCCCTGAGGATCGGCACGCATCCGGTAAAATTCGGACGCGAAAGGCTTGCGCAACAGCGCTTCCATTGGGCCCAGCGCCCACGATTGGGAAGGAGGTCCAACCTGAGGGCGCGTGTTGCGGTGCGCACTCCCGCTATATTGTTGCATTGTTGCAATGGCCTCCACCTAGTAGCTTCTATGATTACTAGCAAATCAAGTGGTTTCCACCAAACATGCATTGTCAACCAGTCAAGTATATATCCATTCAGTCCACTGGTGAATTGATGATCATTTGAGCTGCTGAGCAGCTTTGATCCGAGGTGTTCGATGGAGTCACAGTCCAAAGCAGGTCCAAAAAAGGATATATATATATATAGTAATTACATAAGACAGACCATATGTTGGTTCTGAATCAGATGAAAAGTCCTGCACCCTCAGAGAGTCTATATAGGTGCCAGATTTTTTGAATCATATAAACGTGTATTGGAATAAGGCCGAACCAGGAGACCGGGTCTAATTGTCAATGTTTCCTACACCCAGTACCAGAAACTCGAGAAGCTCGAGTCTGTGTCAAAGGTCTCCTCATTTCGATCCACCGCCACTTCAAACCCCTCTTCAAAAACAACTCACCAAGCCTCATTCCAAAAAACGCACCCAAAACCGAACCAAAAATCACCACACCAAAACCTCCTCCGCTCACAGGCTTCCACCTCGCCTTGCGCAATGGTGGACCCCGTGATCGTGGTGTCGCGCACGCTGGCGACCTCCGTCCACGTCAAATTCCCCGAGAAGCTCCGGACCTCGAAGACGGTCTCGGCCACCTGCGGACCGAGACGGAGCGAGAACGGAGCGAGCGGGACGCGGACGCAAGGCCGGCCGCGACGCGTGGTGCGGTTGGGGAGACGAAGACACCTTCGTCTAGGCGGTGTCTTCGTCGGCGTGGCACCGTGAAACGGTGGGTGGTGGGCTTTTGTGGCTTGGCTTTGGCAGGTAGTTCTTAGAGGTATCTTCGGTGTGTTTGCTGACAAACTCGAGACCCTTCTGGCTGGAAACTGCCGAGTTCCATGGCGGGCAGTGTGCCGCCCAGAGTGCTTGACGGTCTGCTTACCCACCCCGGGGTTTGGGGAAGCACACCCAAAAACCGGAGGAGAGTCGATGGCTCGGGCCCTGCCTTGGCTCGCCGATTAGGATCCGTCGGGGGAAAAAAGTCCACGGCCGTCAAGAATGCTTCCTTGCTTGGGGGAAGCTCAAAGCCAAACCAGCAGTCGCTGCTTCTTGTTCCAAGACCCATTGACATATCGATTTGCTGGTCGATGGAGGACGTGAAGGCCAGTTCAGAGAGTTGTGATTCAAACTCCCCGCGATCGGTGTAAAATTTCGAGGCCACTGTGGCCAGATCAATCGATGGGAAGGACTCTGGAAAGGTATCAATGAGCTCCTGATCTGTCATTGAAGGTGCTGTACACTTGACGCTGCTTCCGTCGCTCGTGGACACCTCGCAAGGCTCTCCACACACCTCGGCACGTGTAGAACGTGTGGGTTGCGGCTGGCAATGATCGATCGCCTTGATGCTTGGTCATACCGGATTTCAAGATTATGTGCATTGGAATACGGATACCCCCAGCCGAATCACCAAGGTCAAAGGAAGCATAGACAACCAACTCATCGCGGGCAGCGAGGAATCCCCAGCCTTCAAAGGCGATTTAAGAAACTATAGTCTAAAATCCTTAGCAACACCACCGTTGATGATTGTTCTAAACTAAAAGGCGTTGAATTCTTAATCAATGGTGGTTCGAATTGTAGGGAGAAGATAAGAGAGGATTCAGCCTCACGGAGGGTGTTCGAGGCACTCCTGATACACACCGCGCACGAAAAAGGATGCGTCTCCCAGTCTCCCACCAGGAAACGAAGAACGTCAAGCCCTTCAGTTCCTACGAGTACTCTGAACCTTTTTGGAAAAGACTCGACATCGACATCTCTCCACAAAGCTTACAACCACTCGACTCTGGTCTCAAGATGAAGAGAAACACCATCAGCACCGGCTCTTCATCTACAGTAGTATAATGTAGTATATCATCTACTTCTACTCAATCTGCTCCTTCCACCCTGAATTCCTTTCATTCCGACCGGATCCACCCGAAGGATCACCGGTTCCACTCGAAGCCGAAGCCACGGTGACCCGCGTCTGCGAGGCCTCGAAGCCGAAGCCGGCGCCCTGGAGCGCCACGGTCACCCCTCCACCGTAGCCACTGTAGAGCGAGCCTTCCACACCTCGGGTCGTGTCGGCTTGGAGGCCGCTACGAACGTCACAAGAAGCTACACTCGAACTAACATGGTTACGTGGAGAAGGGCCCCTTGGAAGACCATGTTCCACTACAAAGAGGTGGTTTTCCACTTCCATGTTAGTTCTAGGGAGGGTACTAGGTGGAGGCCGTCGCCATTAGGTTGGAGGCCATCGCTAGAAGGTTGGAGAGCTGAAAGGAGATCCTGCCCCCGTAACTCAGAGACCTCCGTAACCCATCTCGGTCATGTCGGATCTGGGTTTCTGGAAGGATTGTAACCCCCGAATACCTCCTTGGAGCGTTCTTCGGGGCTGTCTTCGGTTGTCGCGGGCTTTCTGTCGGATCCGTGTGTTTCTTCTTCCAATTGTATGAAGCCCACCTGGAAGCTCAGTCCCAACCAGAAACAGGTTGTTCCAATATGTCTTTCTTGAGATCCTTGACTTTACATAGGAAGTGTCTGGGACAAGCAGTGACTTCCATCCATGTGCTTCTGCTTGTGACCGGGTTTCCAAGCAGAAAAACCCGTTGGCTTCCACCCCGGATCGTGCGGATTTAGCCAAACGCCTCCGTCGGTGATGTTCATGTTCTCCACCCAAAGCCAGACATCTCGGTGAGTGGTGCTCGAGGCTTCGCAGGTCCCACCGCCACTGGCGAAGTAGGAGGTCCAACCAGCTCCAACCGGGTCGGAGGATTGTCCGGTCAAACCAATGCCCACCGCAGCATCCGCATCCTCACCCTCCTCATGGCACCGCTGGCTAGGGCAATTGGCGCAAAAGCCCCAGCGAGCACGGTTGTTCGCGGCGCATTCCAGGTTGAAGCCTGGTTTCATCCTCGCGCTCTCAAGCTTTATGGATACCATGCAAACAACCCGTTTCTCGAGGACGTCCGAAAGTCCCTCTCAACGTTTCACCAAAACACCTTCATGCATCTAAAAGAATCACCATTCAGGACCGAATCACCATTCAGGGCCACCCACGCCAGTCAGGACCGAAACTGCGAGACGGAAAGACTTCACATCCAAGGATCATTGGACAGGTCCGATAAGACCCGGGTGTGGCCCCAAATGCTTGGACCATTCCAGCCTGATCAACGGACGTGTCCCTCACATAGCCTGCAGAGAAGAGAGCCAAAGCGCTGCTCCAAGGACTCTCAAAGCTGTGATAGATGCATTGCCCATGAGAACTTCCAACACAAGCACGAAGCCTTCGAAATGGCACATCCAAATAGGCCTGGTACTTGGCATTGTCGGGACGATCCTCGGGAGACTCCGGGTTCAGCAAGTCCGTGTTGGTCCACAGCTGCGAGTTGTAGCCCAGAACCCCTCCTGAAGTGTGGAGTCTTCGTGGAGTCTTCCGAAAACGTGCCGAACACGGCGGAAAGCCACGAGTAGCCGTTTGAACGCTAGAACAAACGGCCGAACCCTCCAACACACGGGACCCGTCTGTTCTGACCATCCGGCGCGTGGACACGGCAAGAGGTCTTCAGAATCGAAAGCACGAGTTTCAGATCGGCTCCTTGGGAGAGTTTCATCACCAAGATCCAAGGGTGCTCCGTGCGCGTTGCTGAGACATTGATGCCATTAGACTCCACAGAAGAGATGGTCAAGTCTACCCAAATGAGCACAGGAGCTGGATTCGACCAGCCATCAGTGTCCTGGGTGAAAAAAGCTGGGAACCTTAGAAAAAAGAAAGAGACAAGTTTTTCGGCCTGGATTGATTCTGAGTTCGTACGGGGATTTCACCGAACAAAAAAACAACAGCTCACCCCCCAAACACCACTGGTACCAGCAGAAACCAGGTTTCCGAGTACACGCGCACTTGCCATGCCCCGGAAGGAAGATCGGGCCGCTCGCACACGATTCGAGTATCCGTCCAGATGGAGGCCACACAGTGGAAGTTGGTGTTGGGATTGCTGGCGGTGCCGAGTGTCACCATCCCCGAGGAACCAAACAACGTCCCCAAGAGCTCCAGTTCGCGTCCCGTCTCCGTCAAGTTCTCAATCGTCGGAGACGCAGATGGCTCATTGTAGGTGTAGGAAAGAGTGGGCACCTCGGCGTACCTTTCAGCGAAACATCCCATTTCCGCCCTTCGTGGGACGAAGCACTAATTTTCGTGTGACGCGGGTTCATTGTTGGAAGCCGCACAAGCTAGTATATAGTTACGATCTTGCAACTGCCTTTTCCATAAAAAACAAGCCAGCCGGCTGAAATGTCAGAGTTGGAAAATCGGCACGGCCAAACACACGGGGCGCGAACAGAGCTTGCAGCCAGGTACTCTCCATGAGACAGAACAGAGCTTGGCACCGTGATGACGGAACCACCCGTATCTGGGCCACGGTACTGCAGTCGAACACCACTGGATCCAACGCCTTCGTAGAAGAGGAGGGTCAGCCGATGTGGCCCCGGGGATAGCTGGAGAGGTAAGCTTGTTCGAGTTTCGAAGCCATGAGCTCCGTCATTGTCAATGACCATGGCACCATTGAGATAAAGTTTGCTCCCGTCATCGGAGCCCAAAAAGAAGGTATAGCTACCGCTGCTGGTGACGGTCACATAGCCTGTCCACCTCACGGCAAAGTTGTCGACCACCGACATGCCGTTGTGCCATGCACCTTGGATGCCGCCAAGCACGCGTTCTACAAAGGCAGATCTCCATCAAGGCGGCAATCACATCTTCAAGAAACCTTGCAGAAAAGAGACTATATAAATGGATCTAAGATGATTGAATAATGTTAAATAGCCAGCTTCTTCAAAGTGACCTGTTTGGAGTCCCTCAGTGACCCTTTATAGGCCCATAGTCCATCAAAAGGGTCGCTTTGAAGAGCCAGGAGACGTACATTTTGTAGCCCCTGAGTGACATCTATTTTCAATTACCAACCACCCAAGATATAATCTGTCCTATCCAACAGCGGTCATGTCTGGGTGAAAGGTCCTTACCATGTCTCAAATTCAACCTGGCATAAACACTCAGGTAATGATGCTACTAGGGGCTCCTGGCCTTACTACTAAGGGCAAGAAGCTACTATATAGTAACAAAGGGCATCGCTACTAGGAGCAATCTTATCACCTCAAGGCCCCGAACCGGTGCCAAACGGCAGTTCTACCCTGCCGCCCCGGCCGCCACGGCCATCCCAGGCACTCGAGGTGGCTGGGTAGTCCACATTCGCCTCGATCCGGCGCAAATCTGGAACGCGCGAATCCAGGTTCGGCAAAGTCCTTCCTTGGGTGAAGAAGAAATACTCGGCCACCAAGCCCGCTTTGGTCGCGACCTCTTTGGGAAAACACCCAAGAACTCCCAGAACGCTTTGGTCTTTGACTTTGAGGTATATATCTTTATATATATATATATTATTTATATATATAATTGCCGGGCAGTCTTATTTCTTTTTAATGATAATGGCTTGCTGCATGTTGCCACCCGGAAGCGAAAAGTATTCCCTCAGTAAAAAGATCCCAAACAACCAACATTCTTGTCCACCCAGCACCACCCAGTATTGGATTGTTACAGTATTGGATGGAAAACACATGGTTAGGAGTTAGGGGTCTATAAGCCACCCTTCGGGTGGTGCTTGTCGAAAATTCCCGCTGATCCCGCTGGGTCACAGGGTCACTGAGCGATACACTTCTCACTCTTCTCACGGCACCTTCGCAAAAATGAAACAAACATATACAGTATAAAATAACATAGCATGACATAACATAACAGTAAATAGAGAGGGAAAAAAAACAAACGTGCAAAAAAAATGAAGCACGACTCGCACGACCATGAACCCAGTTCCGCCGACTGAACACAGTTCCGCCGACCTCGGCGGACATCACATGAACTTTGACCTCCAAAGTGCGGGTGGATTCATTGGCATTGGCCAATTCTGAGGGTGCTGCAGGGGTGTAGCACTGAACCTCATCATTGGAGGCACTGGCCACTTCACATGGTGTCCCGCCCACCGTGGCATAGTTCATGCCGAGGCTAGGGCCCAAGCCGGCACCGCGAATGGCCACCAAAGTGCCTCCATAGAACGAGCCACTGCTGGCCACGATGCTGGACAGCCTCAAGAGCTGTTCAAAGTAAAAGCCAGCGCCGGTGATCGGAGACGCCCCAACTGCATAGCCGCTACTCGTCAAGACATAGACGGGCGTCTTGGAGGCCTCAAAGGAGCAGAGTGGCACGGTGATGGTCCAATCGCCTCCGGATTGGGACACCACGGGGTTGGGACACTCGAAGGGTCCAAAAAAGATCTGCACTTGCTCCGGCTTGTCCATCATTGAAAGTGTGATCACCACATTGATGCCATCAGCGTATGAGCCGTTCCTGGGAGTCACCCGCTTCACCACCGGCGTGGCGGCATCGGTTAAATTCAATCCACAACCCTCCAGGGCTCGACACGTGGGCACCACGCCGTTCAGACTCAGAGCCAAAGTGAGGATCTCGGGAGGCCCAATTTCACTGCTGTCGCTGCTGTTGTCATACGCCAAGCTTCGACCCAAGCTGTGTCCATCGGAATCATCCTCCGCGCCGAAGTCCTCCACCTCTGTCCAGCCGGGCTCCTGGAGGAGCACGGAGCTCGGCTCCGAGCTCCGCTCGAACTCCTGCGGATAAGACGCTGGAGAGGTGTAGCAGGGTGGAGAGATGTAGAGGGAAAAAGAATTAAAAAGACATTTGGGACTTCGTCCTTCCCATACAAACCCATCTGAGATGACAGTTCAATCTGGTTTCCTGCAGGCAGGCTGACTACAGGCCTTTCAAGCCTTTCCATCTGTCCATTCCATCGGGACAGGAAAAAGACGCGGTTGTTGAAAAGCCAGCAAGTATGGAGCCCCAACGAGTGCCCAAGTGATCCTTCATGTTGAAAGATTGACAGGAGGTCTTGAACCCAAAGTAAGTACGGTATCTTACAGCGTCTGGGTCACAAAATGCGCAGCTTCTCCCTGTCTCCCCCCTTTGCCGTCACCGACATGGCCCGCGGGCTCTCGCGGCGCGTACGTCCCTTTCGGCATTTCTTTGCATGGCTGGTGCATGGTGGTGTGGTCTTCGCCTGGGAAGTCCACCCACGATCAGCTGGCTGTGCTGGCCTCACTGGCCAACGATTCCCTTGAGGCCGACGTCCGCGCGCCTCGCCGGCGCTTGCAGGAGCGCTTGCACGCGCGTCGACGCAGGCGTCGCAGCCAGCGAGGGGTCGGCAGAGGGATAGGAGGGCGAACTCGTCGAGATGCAGGTGCATCACGTGGATGTGTGCAAGGGCACGGGCAAAGCTCGCCATCCGAAGATGGGCATTGCCCGAGAGTAAGGGCCCGGTAATGCTCTTCCCACTGCTTCCAGAACCAATTGTGCTGAAGTTCTGTCACGTAAGAAATCAATTTTTCGGCTTGCCAGAGCACAATGGCAAGCCCAAAGTAAACAAGAAAGAAGCCGAACCGGGCGGTGGGTACCACCACGAGCACCACCAGCAAAGGCAACAACACGGACCGCTGAACGCCCCGCTGATAAAACCACCTCTTTCGGACGATGCCAAAGCGCAGCAAAACGTCAAAGGCAATTAGAAAAGCTGCCCCAAGTAGAACCACTGCGATGCCGCGAGCATCCGCCCTTTTCACCAGCTCTGTCGTCATCATCACAGATGAGGCTAGCCCTTGCCAAAGCAGTTGATCCGTATCCCACATGTGATGCACACTTTGGAACCACGACTGCTGCATGCGAATCTCTTCCTGAAGCCCTGCCATGTCCAAAAGCCACCTCACCAACTTGCCCACGCCCAAAAGCAAGCCCAAGCACCGGAAGAGCACTGTGAGCCGCATCACGTTGGCCAACAGAAGCGTCGTGCACTCCTTGGCGGCCGAGTAGTAGAAGTGGAACCAACGCACCTGGCGTCCACTCCAGTAGACCCACCATTCACCCAGATCCTGCCGCACGCCGCGCCGCGCGCGGCGGGAGACATGCAGGGAGAGAGGGCCGTCCTTGGGCGGGGGAAACGGGCATTCAAAAGTCTTGGGGGATGTGGCAAAGTCTTGGAAGCCATGCAAGAACAATCAAGATCATACAAGTACCATTCATGCATCAAAAAGCATCAAATAGTTTCAACCCGGTGTCGCGTCTTCTCACACCCACCTGTGAGGGTCGCACTCTGGGCAGGGTCTTTGCTGGTGCTTGTAGATTGTAGGAGACGAAGCGTGCACTTAGGGCGCTGACCCGCTGCGCCAGGCTGGCCAAGAAGCGCAGCAGTCGAGTCCTCGGCAAACGAGCCTCGAGGCTGCGGACCACGACCAGCAGCACGGCGTAGGCCACCGCGAAGGGTGGTACGATGAAGGTCCGGGCCATGTAGTGAATGAGCAAGGCATTGGGCAGGGTGCGGAGCAGCAACAGAAGGCTGTCCGAGTCAGTGAGCACCGTGCGCACCCAACTGTCCAGCAGCAATTTCCAGAAATTGTCCTCGGTGCTGCAGCTAGTCATTAAGGTGTCCTTGAAGTGATAGAAGAGAAGGGTATCCACCCAAGCCAAGCCGTCTTGAAGCGTTCGGATGCCTGGGCAAATGTCCGAGCGCCGCAAGTAATCCTTGTCCACATACTCGCGGAGGCCGCTGATCAACAAATACGCAGCCAATCCCACGAGAAGTTCATCGAGTAAAGGCGTTAAGATCCTCAGGCCTTTCGACTCATCTTTCACGATGTGCTCCAACGAATGCAATTCATTACAGCCACCGGGGTGGTGCCATCTCCCACTGCAGGACCAGCAAAAATAGGCCTCAAGGGTTCAAGCCACGGGCCAAAAGAGTGAAGGATAGAAAATCACCCAGGATCTTGAGGGATAGCTACATATTCATGCTCACCTCCCGTGGAAAAAAGGTTGCAATTCCCCGCAAGCTACAACCACGAACTCTGAACTCCTTTCCCACCTCCAAACTTGACCAAAACAGCAGGACCAGGCCACAATCCCCCAACAAGAACCTTGCAAAAGCCTGTAGCCTCTACGAGTACCAAACAATGAAACTGATCTTGGGCCTCGCAGTCCACGCAATAAAGATCAGCCTCTAAGCCAGCATTGTCTCCACACTTGTCACACCAAGCACCGTCGCTGTAGTAGTCGGCATCATCTCCAATAGCTTCGCCTTTCACCACCGAATAAAGAAGAGAGATACTCCACTCCTCGCCAGAATCTTCCCACTCATCGGAGTCATCCGATGACCACACACTTCCCATGAATCATGCGCCCGGCCGCACGCACGAAGGAAGGAAGCGAAGGATGCGAAGGATGCGAAGTGAAGATCTGTGGTCAAACCGTGGAGGACAAATGAAGTCAAGCCTATGATTCAACTGATTTTAGGAGGGATACACCAGATTCTGGTGGGGATGCATTCCTGTCATGTTGAGAAACAGCTTGGGATGCTTTGTACTTGGCTTGCGCTGACCTGGACGAATCTGCAGAATCCGACAAGCTCACGTCCCCAAGCCAAGCGCAGAGCTTGGAAGCAACTTCTGTCGCCAACCATTTGGCAAACCATGGAAGTGTATGTCTTCAGAGGGTTGTATACCTTTTTTGTCATGCATTCACACAAGAGGTGTGTCGGAGGAGGGAGACACCCCCATGACCCCTGCCAAAAAGGTAAAGATGAAAGTGGCTGAACTCATTGGTTGGGGGGCCCTCCCTATTCTGATGCACACCCAACATTGAAAGTTTGTTCATTACAGTTTTGCCTTGATCAGATTTGATGCCTGTCCTTGCCATGGAAGTGCTTTGTCCGCATGTGCATCAAGCGGAAGTCCTCCGCCTATCGCCGTCACACAAGTTGAGCTTTTCCAGCTCTTCAAGTGGTTTGCAGAAGTTGAGCTTTTGTAGGTCTTCAATCAAGTCGAATTGGTTTGCAAAAGCATCCTCTTACGGCCCCAGAAGGGACCCCACAAAGAAAGGGGCCCCAACAAAAGACTCCCAGCTTTCGAAGCGAAGAAACACCCAGCTTCCGACGCAGACGCCCGGCACGTTCCATCGCCCACCTCGTCACTGGCCACACCCCAGCGTGGAAGACCCTGGGGGCGTCACCGGGCTCGCGGTCCGCGATTCCGTAGTGGGCGGAGCCGGCTCCCGGCGACACCGGGACGGACGGAGTCGGTCCGAAGCGAACGTGTGGCAGTTCGCGAGTTTCGGACCGAAGGGTGTCAGCTTTTCAGCGTCCGCAGCCTTGGTGCTGAAACACAGCGTCTCTCTGGTCACGTTTGATGACCGAGCGAACCCGACAGCCAAGCCCGTCTCCGCATCCGTCACATCCTCCTCCTGCAAGCGCCTGGGAGCCACAAGGAGCGTGAAGAACGAGTTGGAGGGGACAGAACACCGAGCTGAAAAATGTGAAGTGCATTGCTACTAGTAACAAGGGCACTAGTAACAAGAAGCTACTAGTAGCAAAGGTGCATCGCTACGTTGTTGCTAGTAACAACATGCATCGCTACTCGTTAGCAGTTTCTTTCAGGGGCTCTTCAACACCGTTTACGCCGCAGCGTCCCTGTCTTCAACGGACGGTGTCCAATGGAGTGACGGTCCAAGTGACGTCCCAAGTGACGGAGAAAGATGGGTCGATCAGGACGTGTGCAGACCACCTTCATGTCGGGGTCACCAATGGAAGCCCCTACAATACTTAGGGATCTTCACTAAACACCCCTTTGAAGGTCCAGGTAGATCCTCATTGGTCCTCACAGCACATGGGACCATGCAGCTCTCCTCGCCGGCTCACCATCTTGTGTTTCAGGGCCTTAGGTTTTGGAGCGGAACCGCTTCACTGGAAATGTTCCACATGCAGTACTTCTGTGATACTGGACTTATCGAGGCTTTCGCCAAGAACTGGCGCATCCTCCGTCGTGTCGTCAATGTCATACACCACATCCACCATTGGTTTGCCGCCACCTCGCCAGCTAGATCCAGCTTCCGGAACCCAAAGTTCTCCAAGAAATGATCACAAATAGCAGTAGCAGCGCAGTTTTCACACCTTTTGCAAATGCTGCCGAAGAACATATGAATCTAAAAGCTTCTTCCTAGAAAACCAAACAACCAGAAACAATTGATGGTTGCTCCATGTTGCTCCACACATTATGGCACCATGGCACTTGAGGTCCTTCACAGAACAAGTGGCTGGGACATCCAATTTGTTTCTACTTGTTTGGCTTTCTAGGTTGACCTCCGAATCTACAAGTACTGATTCATCCATCAAAGTGATCCCTTTGACTTCTCCAAAAGTCCACCTCAAGAAGCCACCCCCCCCCACGGCAAGAAATCCTCTCCCGATCTCGGGCCCACACCTTCCAGTTCGGCGCGTCGAATCCACTCCAGCATCTCGCCCGTCCGCCCTGGCCCGTTCGGCGGGCGACGACCGCGGCGCGGACCGCGGCCCGTCGCGGACCGCGGGGGGCGCCTCCGGCGGTGTCCGAGGGCAGCGACCGGAGGCTGCCGGCGCGGGCCATCGCTTGGGCGAAGCAGCGCACCTGTCGGTGTCCGTCGGGCGTCTGGACGACCGGTCGAGGCCGGACAGAGAGCAACAGCGCTTCAACGTGAAGAAGATGGTGACTCACCACCCATGTCCAGATTCTCCAGAGGGGACCATACAGTTTGACTTGGCAAATCCTCAAGACGCTCGGCTCCATGGGCAAATTAAGTTAGAGCTTTGGCAAAAATGGTCTTTGGGATTTGAGCCAGGAATTGTGCAGGGCCATCACTTTGTATCACTTCATGTGCCTGGATCTCCCAGACCCAGCTGGATCTGAAGGCGCCCCGCCTTCGAATGGTCATCCGCTCCAGCATGGCAGCGAAGCTGAGGCTTCGACCTCAAACGAGTCGGAAGCCACCTCGAGTCGGTCGAGGCAGCTCGAGGCATCGAGGGGATGTTGGGGCCCTTTCGCTGGCCGACAAAAAACTCCCACCCCATCGCGCTTGTTTCAGGCCAATCCCACTTGTTCTTCCTCTTCTACCACTCTCTCCGCCACCGCCTCGTCTTCGCGGGTCTAGTCTTCGGAAGGACCCGCCGGACGCCCTGGGCCCGCCGGACGCCGTGGACGCCGTGGGCGGGCCGGAAGCGTCGCCGGACAGACGACGCATGAAGGTGTCGTCGCCATAGAGGGTCTCGGGCAACTTCTCGGGCTTCGCACCTCGGTTCGACCAGCTCGTCCGCCGGACAGGGGCCCCGGTGGACGAGGGCTGGAAGGCATAGGGGGACACCGGGTGTGGAAGAAGGGGATAACCCTATAGGAATTGTATTGTCCTATGATGTCCTATGCATGCTATACATGGGACATCTGTATGCTCAAAAAAAACTGAACAAATTGCAAAATGTCGTCCAGCTTCTGGGAGGCCCCCCATGATGATGGCCCAAGTGGCTCGATCACTAGAGTTCATTAGCTTGCTCATGCTTGCTCCCTCCTCCTTGCTCTGCAACGCAGCCTTCACAATATAATACGCTGGGCTCTCCTTCGCATCACTGGATTCGCCCTGCACAGCAGCCTTTTCTTGGCAGTTATATAATTGCAAAAAAAATCCAATTGGTCTACATGTTCGCCTCCCTTCTGCTTGGCAGAGGAGAAGTCCAAACAAAGACTGCCAAAGTTCGCGCCCTATACAAAGTCGGAGCTTAGCAGCAAAAACAAAAATGGGGCGGCACGCACTGCTTGCGTGGAGACTGCATTTAGCAGACTCTCCTCTCAACAACGCAGTTTCTGCCTGGAAGAATCATCATGCTGTGGCGGTAGACACAAACAAGAACCATCGAACTCTGGTGGCTTTCTGTGTGTGTGTGCCTTTGCATATATTTGCATTTTCTATTGTAATGTATCTTAAATCTACAGCAAGCAATGATAAACATAGATAAACATCGTCATAATGTGTGTTGCATTGAATGTCATTCTGTTTCGCAGCTCCTGTCATTGAGCCAGACAACGCGCGGCTCCGCGCCAGCTGTCTGCTCTGCTCCAAGCAGCTGTCTGCTCGTCCGCGCGGGAGCCTCCCGCGCGGCGAGCCGCGCAGCTCAGGTGACTCTTTTCGCCACACCTCGGTGATGCGGCACCATGACCTTCATGGACCTGTTCTTCCTTTTCTTTCTTCTTTGTTTGTAGCAGCGGCCACCCACCGATGACTAGCGACGACCACCGGTCGCCGCGGGGTTTGCCCCCGCCTTCGGGCCAATGGGGCAGTCGCACCAGAACGAAGCGCTCCGGTCGTCGGGAGCGCTGCTTCGCCTGGAAGGGTCGGGCGCCGGGGCCATCTGCGGTGATCAGGTGATAAGCCACTGGGATCAACGAGTGCGTGGCGATGGGGTGATGAACTTAGTTGACAGAGCTTGGAGATGCCCTAAAAGAGGGTTGGAATCTGGTGAGGAGAACATGTGTTTGGAAGCTTTTGGAGCAACTTCTCCAAGCTCCTTTCAGCCTTCAGTCTTCCATGTCTTTCATGCTCCAAGCGGCTCGGATGGCAGGCAGCTTCACACCTCAGGAGTGAGTGGCAGAGGAGTTCATTCGTTCTCAGTTCCCTTCGATTTGTGCAGAAGTGCAGAATGAAGAATTGACATCCCGGTGACTACCCGGGTGACGACCCGGCAGAACTGTCCACCGATTCGACCATGGACTCGTCAATTTCGAGGTCGTTCGGTCCAATTTCGAGGCGCCCTCGCTCATCTTGGGCACACTTCTCTGCGCCGGGGATCTGGACAGCATTTGATCCTCGGTCAGGTCACAAGAGGTCCACTGTCCCAACGGTTCGACCGCCCAGCCAACAGTACTACTATGTTTCCGAACAACTTCGTTGGGGATGGCGTGAGAACATCTGCGCAGGTCCGCTCCTTTTTATTGGGATTCCATGGCATTCCGTCCGAAATGCGCTCGACCACCTCCCCCCCACCCCATCACCCCGGAAGTCCGTTCGAACGGCCACTCTCTAAGAAGACGGACGACATGGCCTTTGATAGGAATCCTTCGCTAAAAATAACACAGCTCTATCGGTCTATAGGAGATCGAAAACCTTCGGGGCATTCCAACCGTGACCGACGCTGCGGTGGACCGACGCTAATTTACGGCGGAACCCCAACCCGGGCCCACACCGCTTGTCCAAAGCGAGGTTCCGAGCCCCAACAGGGGTCTGTATAGGCCTTATTAAAAAAGAAGAAAAGGACGTCCTCCAAAATGGTGTTGAAAAAATGCATGATGCATTACCTCGTGACTTTTGCTACAACTTCCAGTTACTGGTCATAGCTCAGCTATAGCCTCGTTCGTACCACAAGTCACCAAGTAGGCCTTTGCACCTCACTTGTCCCCCCCCCGAACCGCCACCCAGTCGCAATGGCCGTCGCCTGGGAGATGCGGCGAGCGACGCGGCGCGCCGTCGCCGGGGACTCCGAAGACGAGGGGTGCACTCCACCTGTTTCGTCTGAGTTAAAACAATGCATACTTTACCAGCGAAGACTGGTCGAATTGGTGGTGGAACACCCCAGCCCAACCCCACCGCGCGGAAAACCGGCGAAAACCAATGGCCGGTGCCGTGTCTCCGCGAACGGGACCGTCTCCGCATCGGACGCTCGTGGAGTCGTCTTTGCGCCTTGAGGTTGGCCATGGAATGTCCGCGCTTGGGATGATACCCCGCGACCGGGAGAGGATACTCGCCACGGCCCGTGGAGGCACTGCCCATGGAAGCGCAGGGCCCTCTTTTGCAGCCTAGGCGGAGTGGACTTGGTGCGCACAGCTGAGGAGATCAAACAGTGGCTCTGGTCTGTGGGGGTTTTGAATTGCTGTGATCCTCAACTCAACAAGAAAGAAGGCAAAAGCCAAATGATTCTGTCTCACGGATGACACTCTGACACTCTGTAATGGCTGACACTTTGGAAGCAAGAAGCCAGGCTTCTGCAGCACGTTGCCCAGCCCAGAGATCCCCAAGGTGTCAATGTGCTTGCTGTAGAAGTGCACCGGCGGCCCCTCGGCTGGTCCGGCACAAGACCCGTCGATTGCCCGGCGGTCCCCGCCACAGAATTCGGAGTGAAATCAAGCACCGCAGCTCAGCAGCGAAAGCTCAACCCTAACGGCTTGACATGCTGGGGCAGGCCTGCAGCGGTTGCATCTGTGGACCCTTGCCAGCAATGGAGGCACTGAACACATGCCTGGCCGAACAAGCACTGCACTCAGTGAGTCAAAAGTCCAAAAAGAAGTGTCTGTTCAGTACCTGACTTCGGGAACTTCCTGAATCCTTCACTGAGCAACTTACAGTCTTTCGACCTCCGAGGTTGCATTCAGTGAACACCATCAGTTCAGTACCCCACGCCTTCTCAAGGCTCTGTCGGAATCCGCTGGCACCAATGGCCGTATTTCAGGCAACGAGAGGAGCTGCGACATGGCGCCGGCTGAACCGTCAGCTCATGCGATCAGCTGAAACATCCAGGATAAATGACCTGAATTAATTGCATTATATATATATATATCATATAATATCATATCCCTAGAGCCTATTTGACCTCTGCTATGAGGGGAAAAGACCATCTTTTACATGGCAATTGATCCAAAGTAGAGCCTCACTCAGGTTCTAGGACCAATCGCAATGTTCTTCAGCATGCTTTGGATGTCTGCGACTTCTGTGCGACTTCTGTGCGCCTCTTCGCTCTTCAAAAAGTGGATGGCTTTGTGGGGCACAAGATCAGACTCGCGATCACCGCAAAAAACGTGCCCCAGTGAGAAGGACGTCTAACGAGGCAGCCGCCCAAAAAAGAAGGAGCAAATACAACAGCTCAACAGCGCCAGCTACATAAAGGCAAAACAGGGAGACGAGAAGCCAAGCGAAGGGAAGAAAAGAATCACGTGCAAACGCGTCACGGTCAAAGCACCAGGGCCATGCAGGCCAATGTGTGACCCCACATGGGCAGCCAAGTGTGTCTGATTCCTCCTACTATGGCCCCATGGCAAGGAACCAGAACCCGAACCCGGTCCAGTCCAGCTGTCTCCTTCGCAGACTTAGAAGCCCTGCCACCTTTGAGACGACAACTCAAGTGAGTCTCATTGCCATTCATCACCTGGGTCCACGAGCTGCGCAGCGTAGTCTTCTCGCGGGGTCCGGTTCTGGCGGGGCATTGAGCCCCCTTTTGAAGGGGCCGTTCTGTTTGTTTTGTGTTTCATCTAGTCTCACGAGATCAAACCTTGAACATATATTTACATTTATCTACATGTCATCCTCGCCACCATAAAGCATCCCCAGTTTACTGACTCCAGGCGTATTTCCAGACTCTAGAGAAGGAACTTCAGACCATCTTCACCAAACATGACATCTTCAGAGACCACACCCCATCCACCCAACCCGGTTCTCTTCCGCTCCGTGGGACGGAGTCGGAACCGGAGCCCTCTCCCACGGACACCGGAGGTGTGACCGACCATGCGGGGCCTCGCAGGGGCGGCTCGTGCCATCCTCGAGCTCAAAGTTGATCTCAGCCGACCGCGGACTCCGCGGACTCCGCGGAGGACTCCGCGGAGGACTCCGCGGAGGACTCCGGGCGGGAATTGGGGGTTGCTCGTTCTGCGTCTCAGGAGCGTGGGTTCGGTGGGCGTCGGTGGGGTTTGCGGTTCAGCGACACGCCAAGGGAAGACCGAGCGAATGAGGGAGCGAAGCTGGAAAACTGGTGGCGACTTCGTCGTGAATCCCAAAAACATCACCTCAGGAATGGCTGAAGAGCTTCGCACGAACTGCTGGTTCACAACAGAAACAGTTCTGGTTGTTAAATGGTTGTTCCACGTTGTTCCAGTATGGCTGTCCTCAGACCCTTTACATAGAAGGTGTCTGGGACTGGGGAAGCATCCATTTGGGACAGGGTTTTCGCTGGGATTTCGTCTCTCTTAGAGCGCTGCAAGGTGTTTGGCAGCGGACCAGGGGTGAAATCCAGCCCCAGTGAGGAACACCACCACGCCACCTGCCTGGCGAGTCGAAACGCGGCAAGTCATCACGCAGCAAGGGTGCCAAGAACTTCTGTCACATCTCAACAAATGCACCTTCTGATTGCAGCAAAAGACATCCAAAATCAAACTATACCAGCATAGACCCCAAACAGCTTCAAAACGTTTCGCTTAGACCAATATTAGTCATTATTAGTCAACAAACGATTTCTTGGTACGCCCTACCTTCACCCCAAGAGCAAGCTGCTTCATCAATGATTTTTTTGTCGGCATTGACATCGCTATTTGTTCGGCCACACTCCTCTCCAGTAAACCGGGCCACAGAGACCAGCCACAGAGTTCAGGGGCGCGGCCAAGACAACGACAAGAGGAGGACAAGACCCGGACACAGAGCCGGGCCACAGAGCCCAGCCACAGAGTTCAGGGGCGCGGCCAAGACAAGGACAAGAGGAGGGCAAGAGGAGGACAAGGCCCAGCCACGGAGCTCAGCCACAGAGGACAAGAGGAGGACAAGGCCTGGACACAGAGCCCAGCCACAGAGCCCAGCCACGCGGCCAGTGAGTGTGGCAGCTCTTTTTTTCTAAGATAGAACCCCAACAGTAAACTGTTTGGGAAAAAAGGAAAAAGGCAGCTCCTGCCGTACCAAGAGGCCTGCTCCCCCAGCCCCTCACCCTCCACACGAGGCCGCGCAGCTCTGCACCTTCGAGGCGATCGCGGGCAACACCTCGGTCACCTGGGCGTTCGGTTCCATCGAAGCGGGGAGCGCGGCTCGCAAGAAGCGGTCCCGGCGCAAGCGGACGATCCGGTGGAGTTGGGACTGGCATTGGAGAGCCACTGAGTAGCTCGGCCGAGGCTTGGTCATATTCCGGAGAGGATCTCTTGGTGACATGGCAAGCCTTTGCAGAAGGTGAGGTTTGGTTTTGCCATTCAATCCATTCATGTCTGGGGAGGGCTTTATGAAATCGAGTGTCGACATTGGGAGGGGTAGTAAGGCACGAACCCCGATCTCTCCGCCGGTAGAAAAGCTGCTGCGCACATTTGGCTGTGGGCCGTGGGTTACGGCAGACCCTGGCTTTTCGCACCCGAAGATGAGCAGAATAGACTGGATGGAGGTCAACCTACCTGGGCTTAGGGGCCTCGGGTTTTGACCTCAAATGCATCTTTCCACCTGCTTCCACCGTTACTGGTACGCCCTGGAAGAAGACCAGAGCTTCCAAAGGTCCGAACGCGTCTCTTGTTGGTTGTAGACCATCAGGGCCCAGCGGAGGATGGTTAGGTTGCAGGCCTTGTGGCCTTGTGAAAACATGGTGATCATGGTTGACCGACTGCTACTGGTCTAATGGGACAGGCCCCACACACCCTAGATCCACGGCTGTGTAAGTTCGGGAGCCACCCGAACTCGTGCCCCGGTCGGCTGGGTCGACGGGTCGATTTTCCGAAGCGAACCCAGGGGGTTTTATCATGCCTGCGAGGTCCTCCTCTTTTTCATGTACACATCCATACCTTGGGTCTATCCTAGTACATAAAAATAGTGATGTGATAAAAATAGTGATGTGTTAACAGCAACATCCTGCAACGTCCATACCAGTAACAGTGGATAAACATAGTGATTGGGACACAGATCCTGTTGCAGGATGTTACAGTTCTGATAGACCCAACGACCCAACCCATACCCTTCACTGCTTCTGACTGACTCACCCCTCGTCCCTCCACCTCGAAGCGCGACTCGAAGGTCACCGACTGCAGCACCGCCGCGAAGCCTTTGCCCGGGATCCAGGCCTCGCTCGAAGTGAGGTTCGGGCCCTGTTCACGTGGCCCTCCGACCGTTGGCAGGCAGAAACCCGCCAACGGTGAATTCGCTGAACCTCCTGAGTGCTTTTGCTTGAAACTCTTGGACTGACACTCCCAAAAAACAAAACCAAACTCGTCCTCCATCGAAGAGGCCCAGAGCTGGTGCCGATCTCCGGGCGCATCTCTCACCCGTACGGCGCGTTAAGCGCGCGTGACGACTGAGGCCCTGGACCAAAGGCACGGTGACCGCCTCCAGTGGCGGCGTGGGTGCTGCCTCGGACGGTGCCCAGCGTGTCGGGTACCGAACCTCAGCTACGACTGGACACCAGGCTGACACCCTACACACGTCAGCGTCGAACACATCACCAAACCTGAGGAGACGGTACGAAAACGGATCCCTTTCGGGGGCCGGCTTCTTCTTGGCCTCACATGTGCGCCTGTGGCCACGGGCTCGCTGGAGGAAGACGTGCAGGGACCAATCCTCCTCCGAGACCGCAATCCGTCGCAGGTGGTCTCCGCACGCGCACTCGCTCGCCAGCGACGAAGCGGGGCCGGGCCGAACTCACCACGGCCGGGGTCGACCCCTTTGCGTCGACGGGTGCACCAGTGGTCTCCGGTCTCCGTTACGAGGGCCGTCCTGGGACGTCACAGAGCCCATGCGCTCGCCAAACTGAACGATGGGAAGTGCCTGGGCGGTCCCAAGAGGCGCAAGACGACCGACGCCGAAATCACGGCCACAAAGCGTTGGTACAGAACCGGGACCACGGACGTCGACCTTTTGGACCAAGAGACCGTCTCGCCACTGGCAGAGGCCAGGCCACCTAGGAGTCGACGAATCGGTTCAGGTCTGTTGCTTGCTCTGCTTCTTTGCTTGCATGATCTGGTGAAGTTCTTGTGTGAAAATGAGCAAGAGATGCTCAAACAAATGCCACCAAGAATCTTCCGTTGATCAAAATGGTGGTGCTTAGGGCAGATGAGTAGAAGGATGGAGAAAGCATTTCCAACCTCAGGGCTCTTGCAATTTTGGGCCAAGCAGGCAAATGGAGGCTACGAAACAAACTCAATCTAGAAGATTTTAGAAGTCTTTGCATCGGCCTCATGGCCAAACAAACCAAAAATATGCCTGACATATAAGCAGAACTACTCATATTTCTGATACCGTGCCCGTCGTGATGCGTTGTCTCTAGGCATCACGCAAGGGTGTGTAGCTGGATGCATACGTGAAGGTTGCTCGTACCTGGGCATTGCACATGTGTCAAGATCTCATCCCAACAAAGCTGCTCTCTGTTGTTGAAACCTTCCCGTATTCATGGAAGTAGTGGGTCACGACAGATGCACGATCTGCTGGCTTTGTGAGAGTGATCTCAGCTGGCCTAGGCCCGGCCGAGATGAAGCCGGACCTTCGACGTCTCTTCGGACCTTCGTGTGAAGGTCGCAACTGTCAGAATCGGACCAATGCGGGGGCCCAACGGTCCACCACTGAAACTCCCCCATCCTGTTGCCCATTCCTCCTGTTGCGCTTGCTTGCGCATCTGAAACAGGAGGTGTTTCACGCTAGTGCACATGGAAAAAAAACCACGATCACCGCGCATTAAGTCTTGGACGTGGTTGAAGGCCAGTTGTTCTGATCGTCAGGATTAAAGCCTCAAATCAACTCAAAATGCACATCGGCTCTCAAAATGCCCGTCGGAGGCTCCTTGAGCAACCCGACCATCCATGGGCGGAGTAAGGCACACCAAGCTCCCACTGCTCATGACCTGAACAAGCACGACTGGCCCCTGGGTGTTGGTCTCCCTGTTCCTTTGTGGAGGGATTTTGGATCCTAGGGAATGAGGGAATAACCGTAGAAGAGAACCCCACGACAGATTCCTTAGGATTCATGCATCTCCGCCGGGCGTTTGGATGGCACTGATGGCACCCGGCTTTTGGATCTTTTTCAGCCACAGCAATTTTTGAAAAATATATAGACCCCAAAAATAGAAAAGTAGATCCCACTAGAAATGTATATTGGAATGTATTGGAAAACCATCTACTTGGGGATCACTATGACCTAAGACGACCTTTGCATTTCAACCCCACGCTCGCCTCAATCCTGCTGGCTGCAGGTTCTGTGCAGGCGACACCCGCGACAAGCACATTTGAACAGTTCCTCAGACCAAAATCAAGGGCATTCGAAGCAAGAGCACAGAGATTGATGGGAGATCTTGAAAAAATAATTGATCTCCTGATCTTGCCACCGAGATCTTAAAAAAAAGAAAGAAAGGATGTCAAGAGCACAGCTTCGACCAGACTTTCTCACACCCTTTGAGGCCGCGACAGCCCCCGCAGACCCACACCAAAGAGCGCCAAGACCTCGGCGGAACCGCGACCGGTGGCACGGAACGGCGCCTCGGTTCCAGTCAGTTCCGGGCGCTGCCACCAGCTAAAGAGCCCATGTCTGGAGTGACCTCAGAGCCAGCGAGCTGCGGCTACGAACTTCCACGAACCCACCGGACCACCACCAGGAGCAACGGAACCGCCGTGTTCAACACCGGAGAGGGGAACCCTCGGCCCGTTCGAAGGAGCGGGTCCGAGCCGGCCGATCTCGCTCGAGTCGCGAGGGTCGAGGAGCTCATGAGACGAGAAGCTCCACGGGTTCAACACATGGGCTTGAGGTTCACCCCCCCAAATATCGTCCAGAAAACTTCATCTTTCGAGGTTTGGGATTCTGATCGTCCACTGGGAGCTGATTTGCTTCATGTTCAAGCGGTGCAAAGACGTTTTAAAAGGCCAGGCACTGCGTCCACCACGGCATCCACGGTAATCAATGGAGCCTTCCAAGACCCAAAGGCCCACATCAGTGGAAAGCGGCTGAATTGCCAAAGTGCCACCTCTGCTGGGTGGGTTTCCAAAGCACAACATGTCGTAGATCAGCCTGAGATGGATCAGCTTGGCCCTGAGTGATGGACACCAGGTGCACATAGTACCTCGCGATCGACCGGTCAGCTCAGTATCATGAGCTCCCGTCAAGCGGGGGATGAGCCGCGGCGAGCGTCGGCGTGCCGCGCGGACGGCTGGACTCGCAAGTCACAGACTGAACTGTCCCATCTCAAAAGCCGTGGTGTTCTTGAGTCATCATAGTCCAGTTTCGACTCTGTTTGCCACCAACGTCAAAAAGAGAAAATTCGTGGAAATTCCATGTGTGTCTCCTTCACCACCCGTTGGGACCGGGGCGTCCGGGACCGCCCCTGGTTTCCTTACGTTTGGGCTGAACCGAAATGTTCGTCAGAAGGGCTACAGTAGGACGGTCCGAGGAAACAAGAACGGTAGTGCCAAAGAAGTGGTCCTTCTGGTGAAGAAGGCTTCCGTTGACCGTGGACCCGTTCCTAGGATACATATCATGTGGTCTTGTTCCCTCTTTCAACAAGACAACTGCAAACCCTTCACAAGTTACGAGGCTCACAATGGCTCACAGCTCCCCCAAATAGCCCTGGCTTCCTTGGGTCTCCGGCTCGCCCGCTGGAACATTTGCCAGCCTGGCATGCCGGCTGGGGATGCGTCCAAACCAGGATACCTTGGGTTGACCTACCTGAAAGGTCAACCGACCCAGGGTGCTTTCGGGGGCTCGTTTTACAGTCAGAGGGTGGAACCATCTTACAGTCGGTCTGACACCTAGCCCGAACCCCACCCGCCGACGGCTCCCGGCGAAAACCCGGCGGGCGTGGCATGCAAGTGATCGTGATGCCAGTGGCATGTGCCGAGACTTCTTGGAAGTCCTGGAAGGTTCCGGCCCGAGACGTCAAAGGGCCCAACGGGATGCATGCTTCGAGCATGGAAAGGGTGGGAAGCTGGTCGGGTGGACCGTTCAACGAAGAAAGGATGCTCACCACCATGATCGTTGCTCTTCGGAACATGATCATCATGATCGTCCAACAGGGAGCGCAGGTTGGGCCGTGAGGTTGCCCGAGCGGAAAGAGACCCGAGAAAAGTCTGTGGGGCTTTTGCGGCTTTTGCATCGAGGTCCGGAGTCTCTCGTTTTCAACATCTGCAAGGGATTCTGCCATGGAAGAAGAAGAAGAAGAAGAAGGAACAGAAACGCAAACAACACAAGAAACCCTACAATGACAGCGTGCATTGTGGCAGAGTGCAATTATCATGAAATGTTCTACTGTATCACACTTATACAGTGCGGCAAACAAATATATCTAGCAGCACTCATTCCTGTGCACTTCAACGCTACAGGGTGACTACCATCAATGCAAACCTCCTGGCCTATGGGCGCAACGGGTCACCGGCGACTTTGCTGTGGCAAGCAGTGCGTGCGTTTCCACGTGGCATTCTTACGGAGACAAAGGGCTACCTACGTCCACCGTCAGAGGGAGAGTATCAAGTATCTGGATCGATTAACATGTTGTGGCACAGCGAACGGCCTGTGCTGCACCATATCGCTTACACTTTTGTTAATATATCCTTTCTGGATGTGCATTGAAATTGCCTGTCCTGACAAAATCCAGCGCCATCGCCGAGCACAACTTGAAGGTCCTTGCAGAGCTGCCACCGAATCATCTATATATATATATACAGCCAAAGCCTGCTTGCTGTCAATGATCCTGTGTCCAATTTGCGTTGTTCGCATCATAGGCTGTGATGTTGCTTACCACCAAGGTCCTAAGCCGTCGTCACCAACACACTCCTCTCCTCGCTTGGTGGAACATGCGAAAAGATGTACATCCAAACCCAGACCATCCATGTATGGCATATTCACGTACATTGACCCTTGAAACCACCCCAATGTAGGGAACGTCAATGTGCCATGGACGGTCTGGGAAGAACTCTGAGCCCTGCACACCGTGCCATTCGCATCCACGACGGTGGGCGTGGCGCTGAGAAGAACGGGGACCATGCTGATGGAGTACTTGTAACCTGAGCCAAACAACCAGCCTTTCCCTTACAATCATGTGATTGTATGGGTTGTGGGTCAAAACCTGGAGCCCCAACACCATGTAGGTTGACCTTCCAGGTAGGTGCCAATACCACCCCCACCGAATTAGTTCTTTCTTTTCTTGCTTCCCACTTGGACTACAACCACAGCCATTCGTGCAAAGCGGATATTCGGTCTCACCTACATAGTGGTAGTCTCGAACATTGTAGAGTTTTTGTTGCATGCTTGTGTGATACTTACCCATACTCCCCGGTACCCACTGAAAGGTGCTGTGGGAAGCGTGGGAAGCGTCAAAGGCGTCAGAGTCCGCACGTCACGGACTCGGTAGGTCAACCGGTCGGTCAACCGGTCGGTGGTTTTGATCCACAGCCGTAAGGTTGTGGGTCAGAACCGGACCCTAGTTGACCACCGAAAATGAACAGAATATATAGATCTACCAGGATGTACCAGGGATGTGGCTCCCCACCAGGGTATAGGGCTCCAGGCATTGACTCACAACCCCGTGTGATTCATCATGTCCTTCACAGGTTTTCTGGGATGCTGACCTAAAACGTTGCTGCCGCCTATTCCACCAACGACTCCATTTGACACCACGCGGACGGGCTGAACATCTGCATCACTTGGATCTGGCACCTGAACAAAATAATTCTGAGCGTTCACAGCTACCAGAACTGGCAACAATGAAACTGTACTTGCTAAGCCAGCTTCCTACAAAGCCAGCCTCAAAGAGATCTGCAGGCACCTTAGTCTTTTTCATGTGAGCCATCCCGTTGAGGAGGAAGGACCCTTCCAAATGCTTCACAAGTGAACTTCAACAGAGCTGAGTCCTCGCTCAAACTATCCATGAAATCTATGAAAGCCCTGGTGGTGCGATCGCACTTCCCAGCCCTTAGCTGCCAGCCCGTTCCAGGAAGATGGCATTGGAATCCCCATCCTCCACCGGGTAGACCTCCATCGATCGTGTTCGGAACCGATGTGTACGCAGCCGCAGGAGACGCCCCGGTGCCTCCAGGGTGAAGCCGGTGCCCATCATCGTGTCTGGACAGCGAAGGCAAGACACCCCTACAAAGAACCCCCGAACGAGCCTGAGCGACCTCTGTTTTGATAGGATCTTTGAAAGATCCGATTTTGGGGGGTGGTTGGTGGTCCAAAAATGGAGGTTCAATGGGCTCCGAACCAAGGCGACGGAAGACCAAAAAGGGATGGTGAGAGGCATTCTTCGGTGTCTTCCCCGATTCCACCCTTTTTGTCTGACCCATTCCACCGTTCTCAGGTTTGGGTCTGCTTGCTTCCCCCCTCAGCTTCCACATCCTCTTGGGCCACCCAGTTTGCCGTCCGTGTTCGGGCGTCCGAACCCCACCGCCTCCGAACCCGGCCGCGCGCGCGGGTTCCAACGGTGCCCGCTCCGCTCCTGTGCCGTTGACTTCCAGCAAGGCCACGTCTCCCAGGGGCCGGCGGAAGCGCACGAGCACCTGGAACGCCTCGCCTGGCCGGGCCCGGTGCAGGGGGGCGGGAGGGCCGGGTGGAACCCGGGCGCGGTACCGTTGGCCCATCCATCTGGATGCCTCCAGCACCTTGGAAGCCGTGTTCGGTGGAGAGTGGAGTGGAGTCTTTGGACTAGATAAGAGAAGAAGTTCAAACCCCCGGACATGCTGGTGGACCCCTTGAAAAATGAACCAATTCCTTTATAAAACCCACCCGAGATGGGAGATGCACACCCATTCTGGAAGGTGGGTTTGATCTTTTAAACGTCTGCGTCATACGCAGCTGGTGGCTCCTGGCACCGCCGCGGAGCCACCTGCAAGGGGCCCCCGGCTCCAACTCCAATTGACCATCCGCATCGACGGTTCGCCTGGAAGCAAAGGAAGGAGAAGCATCGGTTCTGGGCCAAAGCGCTCCAGAACCCACTGACAATGAATCCCAGACACTCCATGGGACTGCCATATATGCCTACATTGGGGTGGTTTGAGGGGTCAATGTAGGTATATATTTGCATGGAGTGTCTGGGAATAGAATAGACTGCTACGGAGGTCAACCTACCAGAGTTTTGGAGCTCCCGCGTTTTGACCCACAGCCATTTGAGGATTTGGGCATTCTCTGGGCTGCCACATCCTAGCACCATATGGAGGGTGGGCTCCTGTCCCCCCTCCTATGAATGACAAAAAAGGCCCCCCCAGACTTGGTCAACAACGAATCCCTCCAAGACCGGATTCGTAGCACTGGGTCCCTACAGTCCAGGGAAGACCATCTGAAGGCACTGAAAGTAGACGGCAATTCTGGAGGAAAGGACCTACAGGCAGACTATTTCTCTTTGTATATATTCTATAGTACAGTAGTCTTGGACTCCTGGAGGGTCCTTTTCTTGGGAGCATCGTGCTACGCAGCCAGCCTGAGGCTGGAAATCTGCTCGGTCAAATAGGTCCAGCTGGTGGTCGATTGCCGCGCCTCAGACTGTAGCAAGTTGTCTCGCGTTTTGGTTTGAGTCTGGTTGACACCGGGAGCTACTTTCGAGGTGTTCAATCTTCAAGAGAAACTGCCCTTAGCGTGAAGAATCTTGGCCATTCCCTTCTCTCAACCATTTCCCTTGCGCACGCAGCATAACTTCCAAAAAAAATATTTGGCTCCCGGAGTGGGGCATGAAGCCCCGCCTCAATTGGAGCACTCCAAGTGCCCGTGTGGCCCACAATGAAGGTGCCAGACAAGGGCGCACTGGCCTCGCGCAGGCTTCGTACTCCACGTACTCGCGCAGGTGTTGGACTCGCGGAAGCCCGCGAGACTTCCCGCGCGAGACGGGTCTGACATGTCCGCGGAGACGCACGCGCTCCACCTGTTGCAGCAAACCAGCCGTTGCCGCACCCATTCCGGCACTGACGATCTCAATCCTCGGCACCGAGGCACCGAGCTGAGCAGTTCCGTTCGACCCGTTCTCCGTGCGCACCGGCACGACCCGTGACCTGGTGGCCATTGATCAATAGACTGGTTGATCAATAGAACCCCCACGGACTTGGGATTGTAGAACCTGTTTGTTCATGATCGAGTAGTTGATTCATCAACAGGTCTACAGACAGAATCCCTTTCCGACCATTTTCACTCACTGAGATCCCTGCGAAAGCCACTTGGTGGTGTCAACCTGCAGTGCCGGCATTGCCCAAAAACACCCCCGACTCTAAGAAAAAGGCACAACACCTTCCAGGTGTTGCGCTTCCCAACCCAGAACTACAATCAATGAAAAGTATCCTACCAGCAGTAGTCACAAAAGCGGTGCCTATTGGAGGATAGGGATGCCCATTATCCACTCACTTAGGGACTAAAAACCACCCCTTTGTGACTGCTGGTACCTCTGCGCCAACGAACGCATCAACGAACGCCACCCACCCGCCTCCAAAGGGCAATTGAAAGTGAGTGTGAAGCGGCGTGCAGTACCAGTCTCGGTGGTCTCAACGCTCACGCTTCGGCAAGCATGGAGCCTACCACACATCATGGACAAAATGTACCAGCACCCTCAAGGGGTGGTTAATGGACACCCCTTGGAGGGTCCTGGTATCTTTTTCGCATTGATTTACAACATCTCACAAGAAAAGAGCGAGCGCCATGCCAGGTGTGACACGACGTTACACGTCCTGCCTGTAAGGCTCCTCACCAGCTATGATGACCTCACAAGGCCACTCACCGGCTGTTGCAAAGCTGCGCCTGTCCTTCCGCGGCTCGCCCTTTCCATTCGTCTTCACGGCTCAAACGTGACTCGTCACCAGCTGAGCTCTGAGCATTGGCATCTTGAACACCGTCCCTGGCAGATTCGGCAGATTCTAAAGCACCGAAACATCTTTGCTGCGGCCAACTTGTTTGCCTAAGAAGTATATATGCAACAGCAAAGGTGTTTTCGCTGCGTGAACCTACGCACTCAAATGAACAACAGGGACAACGGTTTCTTTTGTTTTCCCCAAGTCGAAGGGCCTGACCACAAGGTGAACATCGGAGCATCTCCAACTGTTTCGAAATATCTCTGACCACCCTCCACCTTCAAAGACTCTCGGGGACTTTTTGTCGAGGCCTGATGGTTCCTGGATCCACGGCATTGGAGAAGGACATGCTAGCTTCCTGCGCAAAGCGTTAGCGCAGAGAACCAACAAACTTCTTCGTTCCATCTAGCGAGCACCGTCCTGGCCCCTTTGCGCAGTCATACCTGAGGCACCAAACATGAAGACACCAGACGCTGTCAAACGCATTTGAAGACAAGACATGTCAAAGACCACGCAACTCATCATAACGTTTGCAAAATGTCATCCAACTTAAGCTCCATAAGCACCACACGGATCCGGAAGCTACCCGGCTGCGTGACATCCGCGATCTCGATCTGAGGGATGCACAGAGGTTGGGGCAAGTGTTCACCCGGTTAAGAATCCTTGGACACCTTTCGCAGGTCAGACACCCTCCCAATCCCTTTCAGGTCCAAAGCGGCGGGGTTCTGGAGTCCAAGCGCTCCAACGTGTTGGAAAAAAACACCTCACCAAAACCGAACAGGGGGGCGCGGCACCCTGGGACCCAGAGGGGGGTCCCGAGATGGCCCGGGTCTCCGGACGTAATGCTTCTCTCGAAGGACTCCATCTGCCCGAAGACGAATGGCCTGAAGGCAATCCCCAGGCCGCCCCAGAGAGAGCCCCCCCGAAGCTCGGGGGGGCGAAGGTGCTCCGCCAGGCCGAGTCAACATCCCAGGACCTTCAGTTCGTGACCTCTTTGCAGTCTCTAAGTGACCTCTTTAGGGACTAAGTGACCTCATTTTAGGATCTCGAAAGGTCACTTTGAAGGTCCTGGTCGCTAAAGATCCGCATGAGAAAACAAAGTGGCCTGAACTTCCATGGAGGGGAACACCGCCGTCATATGTTGCACCTGCCAGGCAAAACGCGCGCGTGACAAGGCGCTCAGCCGCCCGGGGTAGGTCTGGAAATCGGTGGAGCACGTCGAACGGCTGTCAAATGCAGAGAGTCAAACATGTTGTCTGCGGAACTTGGCTGGTTTTATGGATGAAAAGCATGTCGTTGGAAGGTCCAGGTATGCATATATATATATATATATCATGGGACCAAGCCCAGCCTGGTTTGAGGACAGTGTGCTTCCCTCTGCCTTGAACGATTCGCTGAAGGCAGGGCGGAGTCGGACGGAAGAAAACACGAGCGGGGTTGGGTAAGTCCACGTGATTGGTGGTATGAGGATGATGTCCATCGAAGGGATGATATCTTGGGATGGGAATCTGAGGATGATTATCTATATCATTCACACGAGCGACTATGGCTGTGCATCCAAACCCCAGTAAAACGTCTCTAGCACGTCTTCGAAGACCCTTCTCGAGCTTTCTTGACCCACGCAAACCTCGAAAGCTTCCCAACCCGCCCCATCCCCGCAACACGCGCAGCGCAAGCGCTGGCGCTGCTTCAGCTCGTTCACTAAGCCCCCAGACCGTCACAGCCGAGTTGAGTCCAGCCACCTGTGAAACTCGCAGCTGAAACCCAAGCACTTCAGTCCGGGGCTTGGAAATGGGTTAGATATGGATAGATGGCAGGAACTTCTGAGCCAAAGAGGCTTGACCTGCGACCGGCCGACGACCTGCGACAACCTCAACAGCTTCTTTGGTCGTTTAGATCTGAAAATAGGGGCTCTAGAAGATCTAGAACCTTCTGTTCCAATCCCATCCAGCCTTGATGCCAGTCCGGAACCAATTCCATCCTGCCGCGGGACAGAAGCACTGCCAGACAGAGGCCCATCAGGAACCAGGCCCAAAATCGCCGCCCACTTCCCGCGTCGGGTGGCCCCCCAGGGCCTCCGTAGCCGATGTTCCTCAAGCGGAAGGGATATCGCCTCGGTCGAATCCGCAACTTAGAAACTACTGGGCTCCTGGCACCGCTACTAGGAGCATTCTTACTAATACCATCTGCAGACGCAAAGGGAATGCATGGCCGATGACTGTCTCGAAGCTCCGAACTGGGGACGAGGACAGGAGGGGTGTTCAACAGCGATCAGAGTACCCGAAACCACCAGGACACCCGGTGACTAAAAGAATGTTCTTTAGAAAACCGTGAAAAAAGAAGCTGGCAAGTGGAACGAGACCAAGATGGCAATGTGACATGGGGAGGCCCCCCCTGCTTCTTCTGCTTCTTCTTCTTCTTCGGCGATGTTCTGGTACGCCAAACACCAATATAATATATGACTTACGCTGATGGTTCTAGGAATCTACATGTGTGCGCATGCATCTTCAAAAAACACAAAAAGTCGCCCTAAAAGAAGGAAACAATACCAAAAACCCTGTTGGTTGGTAGTCTCTCTACCCATCTTCTTGCCGTGAGATGCCATCTTGATCCTATTTTTCTTTCGCACGCTACACGAGCATCTGGAAATGAAAAGCGCCTCCTCGTTTAACGAGGAGCAACCCTCATCTGGCTGCTTTGAAAAATGCACCAAATCACTCTGTGAAGAGTATTTGCAAAGTAGGTCAAGCAAACATCAGCAAGCAAACAGCTGACAACCAAATTGTCAAACCAGCCTAAGACAGGCACACCGGCACCAAACAGACCAACTATCTCAAATCGGGAGCTGCACTCGGATCCCTTTGAGGATGCAGGCTTGGGGGCCAACTATAGAGTGCAATCATCTGTGCCAAAATGCCAATTGGCTCTCGCCTCAAGCTCATCATCACTATCACCTGCTGCCGGGTGCTCTTGCAGCAGCGTATCCTTGGACGTGCAGCTTGGGCGCCGGACCTCTGAGCCTCTGAGCCGGAGGCGGAAAATCTCGCCGGCGGCCCAGCTCCCCCAAAAAAGACAACCCGAAATCTACCATGGCAAAGCATTCATATCGTGTTACGATGTTACGGAAGAAGGCCAAAGGCCTCCAACCTACTGGAGAAATGGCCTCCACTGTTTTTTGCGTCCGAATATTGCTCAATATATGGCCCACCTGCCACGCTGGGCTATCCCGGTTCTCGCAGCTGCGATGTGAGGAGCTCCCCCAAAAGGATGGTTGGGACGCAAACTCTGGGGGTTCAATTCGAGTGGAAGTACAACACAACCGTCCAGTACAATGGTCGCAGCTTGTATTCTTGCACAATCGAAAGGTGAAAGGTGCTGAGCAAGCTCAACGCCAAGTCCTTCGAGCACAGTTTCAACTGACTCAATTGTATAGGAATTTCCATACACTGTCTCAACTGTCATACAGAAGAGATCCTACCCCAAGCCTAGCACTGCAAAAAAGAAAAAGTTAGAAAGATCTGGCTTCGAAAATCCAAGGGGCTTGCAGCAACAGTACAGACTGCTTTACAGTGACTGCGCGTTTGCTTTGATTCCGTTCCTCACCAAAGTGATCCACCGCATGAAAAACTCACAAACACGTACATTGCTTCAAGCAAAAAACACTCATGCATCTGCCCTTGTGTGGAATTGCGCGCCTTACAGTGACTCACGAAACAACAAATGTGACAAAGCTAAACATAAAGGAGCTCCTCACGACATGTCTTTCTGAACCATCAAAAAATGATGTTTCAGTTCACCAAACCATGCAGTGAAGGCAAGACGCCAAGACTTCTTGTTCGTCTTTGACTCGAGCTTTGAATTCATTCATCCTCGCTGTGTTTGATCCAGAACCCTCGACTGCTTGCTAGCGTGCTTAACCGATTTGATCAGTGTCAGCTCTGGTTCACCGGTTGGCCCAGTCTTGCTGCTTCCCTCGTCCGAAACCCACTCAACCATATCCAACCAATCCCATTTCTCGCCTCTGGATGCTGTCCCAACACAAGGGGTTGACCCAAGAGGATTTCTGTCGGATGCTTCAGTCCTGTCTTGATGCTTCTGGCGGTTTTGCTTGCAAATGTTCAACCTCGCCAGGCCCAAGTTGAAGTCCCGCTCCACCTGCGTCCGGTGCGTTCCGGCCGAAAGCCATGGTGCAGTGCGTTCGACCCCTCGACCGAGGCGGTTCGACGTTCGGCCACCAATTGAAAGCTGAGACAGGGCCTTTGTCGGAGACCTCTTGGGTTCGGTGCTGGTATAGGTGACCTGTTCTTGGAAGTTGACCAAATTCCTCTACTTCGTAGGATCCAAATGGCTTCTAGGCTCCAAAGAAAAAGACACCGTGTCCAAGCAAAATTCTGAAATCCCGACTGAAAAGAATGCCAATGGATCAGTCCAGGCTCCGGTCCAGAATCTCTCCCCACTCCAAAACAACCAAACACCAAGGGTGGCTTCAGGAAACTCCAACCCAGCTTTTCACGCCCCAAAACTCCTGAGCTCCCGCTCCACCTTCACACTCCGCCAGTTCCTCCCACTTCCGTTCCTCCCAGTTCCTCCCAGTTCCTCCCAGTTCCTCCCAGTTCCTCCGCTTCGGACTCCGGCCTGGACGGAGCGGAAGCGCTGGCCTTCCCAGCGCGACAGGAAGTGCAACTCATCCACCTCGCCGCGGAGCCGGCGCGGAGCCGCGGGCGGGTGGGGTGGGGAGGCCCGCTAAAGCGTCGCTAAAGGCCGAGGGTGCACGATGGGTGGGGAGGGTGGTCCAGTTCCCGTACCTGGAAAGGGGAGTCTTTGGACACTTTCGGAGGTCTCCCTATCTATTCTTGATAGACACATTGTCCTTTCTTTTCGTCATGTTGAACCGCCGTGGCGCAGTGATGAAGCCACCACCATCCTTGTCCAAGGCATCCCACAACACTTGGTTGTCACCAGCGAACTCGAAGTCAGCTAGAAACTGGTCGAACTCCGGCCTGTAGCCTTGGCTGTTGCGTCGTGGCCGCTTGGACGATGTCCAGATCGGACGAAAGAACGAAAGACCCCCATTGATTGGTCACGGTTACAACGAAATCGTTTCTGAATACAACGAAAGAGTTTCTGAATGCAAAAAATGTTTCTGAATACGACGCAATAGTTTCTGAAGACTATAGTTTCTGAATACAATGCAGTTTCTGAATACGACTTTGTTCCCGGTGAGTGTTAGAGCGTCTCCCTCTTCCAACACCTAGAATTCGTCCTGGCATGTGGTGTCCATTTCGACTGGCATGTGCAGCATGAGGTCGTTCGGTGCTTGCAGACGTGATGCGGACTGCACTGCCGACCGTGCGGGTCACACGGAAGAGACGGTGTATGTGTGATGGAACAACGCTCCCACACCCGCGCGCGCGCGCATGAACATGAACATCCAGATGCTGCGGCGAAAGTTTGATCCAGATGCTGAAAAAGATCATGAGCCATCTGAATGAACCTCGACACCCCCTAAGATGTTGTGCCATCAACTGGTCAATTCAGCTGGAGAATGGCTGACCAATAGAGGGAGCGCCATGTTGTGGTTTCAAGAGGAGGCAGAGAAAGCAGCTCAAACGATCTCACTTGAAGGGAAAAAAGGCTGGCAAAGTTCCAAACAGGCAGTGATTTATTGCATTGATGATGGGACAACATGGAAATCGATGCCGTATTCAGTCGCAGTACAAAGGATTTACAAAGGACTACATTCCCTGAAATACTAATGGAAGTGGAACATGGCCCCTGGTCTTCCCTTCCACTACTCAAGACTCTTGAGTTCTGCACTTCCTGACCGTCCGAGTCAGGTTCCGCATGTTTCGGCCGCGAGGACAGAAACTGTCCGGATTCGTCACTTGCACCAAAGCCGGAAGTCCCACATCCATCGCCGCATCCCACATCCCAAATGTTCGCCCCAGGAGCATGCACCGGAGCCGCTCTTATTCATGCCGAAGCGAAAGGCTTCCGAGAGGCCACCAAACTCCGACCTGCAGATCCTCGCCACCCACCGGGCTCGGCTCGTTCGGTCATGAGACTCGGACCGAGATGAGGACGAAAGGACCGTGCCGAGGTGCGGGAGACGAAAGGACCGAGACGAACGGACGATGAGACTGGATCCCCCCCAGACATGGAGTGCTTCCACCTCTTCGTATGGAAGGTTGAAATAGCGAGAGTCTACAACACAAGCACGACGATGCATTGCTCCTCTCGAAGTCAAATCCCATCCCGTCCAAACCAGGACTTCTTGTGCCTCAAAATGATTCGCCCTTCCCCTCTGCCGCCGGACCGACATCACAGCCCAAGACTCTCCCGGAACTCCATCAAGACCCGATACGCGTGCGGATCCCAGTTGTCCAGCGTGATGAAGCCGCTGGATTTCACATCCAGGTGACGCCAGAGCCTGGGTGGCGCATCGTCCGGAGAAAGCAAGAAAAAGCCGTGGGTGGTGCACACGTCTTAGCAATTAATTAAAAACCTGTTATACATGGAGATCATATCAAAAAGCTGGTCAGTAGACGGAAAAAAGTAAGAAAAATTAGAAAAAACTGGACCCCAGCATCGGGAAACCCGTAGGTGTGCCCCTGGTTCCCCTTTCTCCCTGTGCCCGTTCGTCGCCCCATGCTCCGCAGCTCGCAGTGCTCGCCCTCGCGACGGTCGAGCCAGGGCGCGTGGACACGTTGACGAATCCCATGGACCGCGCAGCGTTGCAGAAGGGAACAAAGGACACACGGCCGTTGCCGCCAGGATTCAATAGAATTCTCCAGGCTCGACACATGTTGCCATACTTGCGCTTGCAAGCTGCTTTGAAGGTTTCAGCATACTGAACCCCATCTTCCACGGTGGCCAAGAGATTTTTCCTCCGTTCGTTGGAGACCAGCTTGATGCCATTGTGGGTGCTTGCATGCGCAGTGCCTCGCACAAAGGCCTTTGAGGCATGAACCGAACTCGATATCTCGGTACTTAAAAGCGGCAATTGCACGGAGACCGCGCTGAAGGCCAAGTCATTTTGCGCTAAGGTGGCAGAGCGCGATGCTTGCCAGAGACCAGACAACTTGGTTTGAGTCGGACCCCGTGAGAGCGATGCGCGGCGTCCCCGTTGTGTCCATGGCAAGGAGACCGACATTCGAACAAGAGTTCCATTCTTGAACTTCAATAGCTACAGTAAGCTGGGGCACAAGGACCAATGGCAATCAAGCCTCCCAACTGGATCATGCCTTGAATCTCTGTCTTTTCATCCATAGAAATGTTGCGCAGTTGGAAGATCCAGTTATGGGCTCCTCAACATGAACACCCCCTTCTGTTCACGGCAGAAGAACATGCACGACTGGGGTGTTTTGCTTCGAACCCTGCTGAGATGTTGACATCCCTGCTTGCAGGAAAAGGGGTTCGGAGACCTTCTTGGTGGGTCCTGACAAGGCTCGGCGTGGACATGTGCAACACCGTCGTCCTCTACAGTCTAAAGAGGCACTCAGTTGCCGTGGTTGGTGATAGCCTGCTCCTTAATGCTTGCGAGATGGCGGGGGGGCTGGGCACCTCGCTTTGGCTGCGGCTGTCTTCTAAGCTCTAAGCCTTTTCCTTTTTATTTCTTTTTGGTCTTCGGTACTGCAAAAACGAGCTCTCATGTAATAGCACTCCACGACATGCCCGACAAAAAAGGGCCCCACGAAAAAAGAGCTGTCGAGGCGTTCCTGGATCTTTTGCCATTTGAAGAGACGGACCCAGTCTTTTCGTCCCTTGCCACGTAAACAAGCAGAAGCAAAAGGCCTCTCATGCCCAGAACACTGGGATAGCTCTACACACGAGTCAAAAGCAAAAAAGAACCGTGCAAAGCACTGATGTGGGAGATAAAGGAAGTCTGTGGCGTGTCCTGATAAATCAGGTAGGCTTTGAAGGTCTTCACGATAGTACCTGCAGTCCCAGCTCTGGCGCAAAGAGGCACAGCTCCGCGGTGGCTCTGAGGACCAGGCCAGCAATGGGGGTTCGTATGAGCGTACTCCCCGCTGGTCACCTCGGAAGCCGTACTCACCATCGACTCTCCCGGCCCCACGCGGCCCCAGACCACTCTTCGGCGCCACGCGATGCGACCGCTGTGTCTCCGCGCCCAGGTGTCGTGGCTGGCCACGATCTGAAGCGTTTCATTGGGTGCACCTTGTGTGCTCCCGATCCTGGGCCGGCAAAACAAGAGAGAGAGAGAGAGTGTGTGTGAGTAGTGCAGTGCAGTGCGAACCTTCAGAACCTTGCCCACACCATCCATGGATGTATGGCATTTTTACATACATTGACATTGATGTATGTAGGTAAACATGCCAGTCCCGATGGTCTGGGTTCAGAACCTTCTGCAAGCTTGAGTCGAGCTCGCGAGATCCACACTGAGCTCGCCGCTCGATGGAGCTCTGGTCATCCCCTGAGTCGAACCGTCTGGAGCGCCGTGGACGTCAATCTCTGCGGGAGGCGCCGGATCTCTGGGCTACTCGGACCACAGATGTAGAACGAATAGCTGGCAGTCAACGGAGGCACCTGAGTCGCTTCGACCGATCGATTGTGAACCATCCAGCGGTGCAGCGACAGGCATCAAAGATCTACTGTGTACTGCTGAGTCTTCGGACGAAATAGCCGGTGAGTTCCCGCATCCGGTGGTCACCCTCAGCTTTAAATCATCTAAAAGACCATGTCATTCGCTGGTCGGCGTTCAGTGCATGCGGCACAATCCAATCCAGCTCTGCATTGCGAGTCAGGGTGAATCAAACCCAATCAAGATCAACAAAGATCCATTGTTTTTCCATTTCTGGTAGGCTGCACTAAACCATCAAAGATCCAACAAATCCCAAAAAGCACGGCTTTTGCATACCGCACTTGGATGGCTGTAAGCTCCGTACCACACTCTACAGATCTCTACAGGTTCGACTCCCAGCAAAGGGGGAGAAAAAACACGCATCATCGTTTCCCCCATTTAATTTCATGTGTACGCATGTTTTGATGAAACATGGTAATATTACTATCATCATCATCATCATCATCATCATCATCATCATCCTCATCATCATCATCATCATCATCATCATCATCATCATCGCCATCATCATTGCCATCATCATCATGATAATGTGATGTCCGTGTGTTGTGTGCTTGTTTTCATGTTAAAACTCATTGCCATCTCTGCCCCACCTCATCCTCATGGCGTCTGACGTTGAGACTCCGGACCAAGGTATCCATATCGCCGGGAAACTCCGAGTCCAAGGCATCCAAGCTGCCCTGCCGCCGGAGCTCACACCGACGCGACGCGGCGCTCCGCGCGGAGCTCCCACCGCGCCGCGCCCGCGGCGGAGGTCCGAAGCTCCGAGAGACGCGAGACGCGGTGAATCGATCTGCTTTGTCCCGCCTTGTAAAAGTTCTGGTACAACAACTCTCGAGCCTCCCAAGCGCCAAAATCCTCAACCCCAAAAAACACCGTGGTCAACAAGAAAGAGGCACGATGTTCCCAGGCTTGGTGCCTCTTCAGCAGGCACGGACGAAATGCCGTAGGACAACTGCCAAACAACTTGCAAGAGAATGGGCATGACGTCTGTCAAAACAATTGAACTCCCCCGGAAAAATGATCTTCAGAAGATTTCAAGAATTCTTCCGGCGCACTCGTCGCCGGCTGGAGTATCCGGCGTTCCTCAGCCTGGGCTGCCGCTTTCCTAGAGAGACCCTATCAATCAACCAAAAGAATCCACACGTGTCTCAACAACTTGGTTGTTCAACAGCTACTTCCAGCTGTCTCATGACTTCATGGCTTTCCCGCCCTCGACCGGAGGCTTAATTTTCACATTCCGGGCCCACATTCCGCCCTGTGGTTTCGCTAATCTCTCAAGTTCATCTCCAAAAAATGAAAATATATCTATATATATATACATATTCTCGATTCAGCTCGCGATGCCATCTAAGTCCCCAGCCCGCGCATGGAATGGCCTTTGCGAGCGGCACCCTGCCAGCTCCCCACTCGACACCTGTGCAGCCGTGAAAGCCCAGTAAAAGGACTCATTTTAACCCTATATGGTAGTGGTGGATGATGACTCCCAGGTGGGGTGATGACTCCCAGGTGAATGACTCTCATGGTGGTGACCTGGCGTGCGACCAGAACATGTTGGCTGCATGAACGCCGGTCGGATTATCCGAGATCCCAGCACGAGCTTGTTCAATGAAGCCTCAAGCACCTCAGAATCACGGAGCAGGACCTGTACAAGACAAAGCAAGCAAACAACAAAACAATCAAGCCTAGTGTCGACCTATGATGAATATATTCAATTAATATGAATAAGATTGAATAAAAACATGGGGGATGTGGAAGGTTTACCCCTTATTCATTCATCCGACCGTCCGGTGAATTTCAACCCTTTCGTCTCGACCCAAACCTCGACCGTCTTGACCACTCCATCGACCGTCTCGGCCGCGGAACTTCACAGGGTTGGCCGCCCACTGTGACGGCATTGGCGTACAACTCCACCTGCGAGTTGAACGGCCACGTGCGCGGACCACGTTGGGCGGAACAAAGCCGCCCAGGTGGAGGGCAAGGAGGGCATCCAATGGGGATTTCAACCATGTTCAACCAACAAACAGCTGCAAGAGTCTCAGCTTGGGGCAGCAAACGAAGTTCCATGAAGCGTCAGGTTGTTGCCACCTGAGGCGACACAGGTAAGAAATAGCTTGAACCCCATCAGAAATCCTTTCAAATTCCTCCACCCTTGTGACCTGTGATTCGCAAAAAAGGACATCGAAGCCACCCAAACGGACCAACGTCTAACACACTCCTTTCACGCAGTGACGACGGACGCAGTCACTCGCTCTGTCGGACAAACCCTTCGCGACGGGGCCGCGCCATACCATCCACCCTCCGTTGGCTCGATGGAGGTCACCTGCCGGTGCCAAACCACCACGGGCGGCGACCAGCGAAAACCGCCGCCGCCGGGACACCCGCCCGCCGCACCGGCGAGGACCACGGGGTCCCGGACGAACGGACGAACGGACGAGTCGGGTCGGCCGGCCTGGGGGTAAATCGTGTAGTGGTACAACTGTCCAGTCCTTGAGCTCTCGCAGAAGGAAAGCCCCGGTGCCCCTCTCGGTCGGATCCGAGAAGCGAAGCACCGGAGCAGGGGGGATCGCATGGAGATCTTCGGACATTGTGGTTCTCTTTTGGGATCCGTTCTTTTTGGTGGCTGAGAACTTGGAATCTAAGGCATGAAGCTAGATTTCGCCCTTTTCTAGGTCTCTGCAACTGAAGTCCTGCTATAGGTGAACGCTTTCACTGCTTGGTTTGATCCGACCTGACTTCCGATTCCTTTCAGGTTAGCTTTGGACATGGCGCAATTGACTATGACTATCACATCCTATTTTCCTTGCTGATCTTCACTGATCTTCCCCAAAACTGAGTAAGAACCGAGATGACACAACCACAGTAGCGATTCTTGAAGCTCTTGGTGTTCTGCACCACACCTGTAGATCCAGGTTAAAAGCTACGATCATCCGCCCGCCCGCCCGCCCGTGGCATTGCATGCCTGATCTAACACTTATGGTCCGGCAGCTTCACCAAACTGATGCAGCCCAGCTACTCCAGATCCATATTTCCACCCCACACCCTGCAAAGCTTTGAACCAGAGAGAACGAGGCTTACTGTACAGCTCCAGAGCTCAAAAAATATAGTGCTACGTTGCTTTTAGAAAGCACAGGCGCAGCGCCTCTTCAATTTTCCAATGGAATCATGCGTCACGGGTGGAACCTCGAGACGACGCTCGAGGGCGAACCGACGTCCGTCGCGGCGTGTTGGTCCAATCGATCCGCCCCGGTCGGTGGATCGCATGAACGACGATTCGCCAAGGGTGAAGCGATGGCAGCCATGCCATAGCCATACCGAGTGCCCGCCTGAGAGCACATGAAGTAAAAACACTCAGACTCTTCGTTCGGATTCAGAGGCGCCCGGAGTCCGGAAGGCCTGCTCTTCCGTGTATGGAAAGCACAAGGCATTGGGGCAGTCTCCATCTTCACGATCCAAGCCTTAGACTTCGCAGTGACCCCAACACGGCAGAGCCCTCTCGCGACCCCCCTTGCCCCCCTCCTGAGTTTCCCGGCTACCCACTGCAACGGTGACCTCGTCTAGTCACAGCACGTCCCGACGCGTGGCCACCCAGCCAGTGGTGGGCGCCACAAACGGTCGATCCCAATGTTGTGTTAGAACAAATGCGAGCCAAAGCGGAAGGAACAAGGGGACCCGGCTTGGTGGTTCTTTGACCAAAATATGAAGTAAACATAAGAGAAATGATCCTGGATCCCAGTGACCTTTTGATCCCCTGGTTTGAGGTCACTTAGGCGTGTAAAAGGTCACTTAGGGACTCCAAAAAGGTCACTGGGAAGGTCCTGGACCAACAATTTTTGCCAGGTTCGCTTCGGTGCCCCTTTTTTCCCCGCGACATGGGACCCACCATTTTCGGGCTCGGAGCAGGCCGGGGTTGGTTTTCGGCGGTACCAAAAGACACGGAAATGGCCACATCAAACGAAAAGAACCCTGGGAGTCCAGGACTTTTCTTGGGTGAATTTCCAGTCTCTTGGGTGGGGCCAAAAACCGTCCTTGGACTTCCAGAGCTCAAGCCTGTTCCTTCGGGTTTCGGCCGGCCGGGGGGCTGGAAGCATCTCGCTCGGAGCCCCTGCGAGACCGAGAAGGAAGTTCCGTGCGTCGCCCCGTGACCTGATCCTGATCATGATTTCCCCCGAAGTCGAGTCGACCATGTTTAAAAGATGAAAATGATATGGTTTTGTCGTGTAAAACCCTTATAGTAGAACAATGCTGGTTCGGGATGACCCGGCGATTAAAACAAGGGTGGTTCGACTTCTAGGGATTTTTGTTGAATTTCCAGTCTAACTCCCGACCTCTCAGTCTAACTCAGCTGAAGTACGTTGTAGTGGCCAGATGGTAGCAACTCATCATCCGGAAGTTGGCAGCGGACTTGCTTCAAAGAGCCTTGGTGGAACATCATGTGGATCCACCAGGATTCTTCGCCCAACAAGTCTTCCAAGTCTGGTGGAGAAAAATGTGTGTAATTTGATCCACCCAACCAGACAGCTTTGAGGCGCTTTGAAACCGACGATTCTTCGCTCCAAGACCCTCACCACGTCGCCGCGAGCTCAGGGGCATGGTCTGCACAAAAGAGGTCACGCACGGCGCACGGGCTGAAACCAATGGAAACCCGACCCGTTGGTCACCAAAAAGAAGAAGAAAGGACAGAAAAAGGTCTATAGTCGTGTCTTTTTGTTCAAACAAGTGATGGGGTGGCTATTGAAAATAAAAGATGCTGAACACCCCGAAGGCGTTTGAGGATCACATTTTCGTTGCTGGGCCGCGCTAGGCTAAGCCATGCCTCTTGGTTTGTAATGCATCGAGCACCACCAATGCGGATGTCAAACCTCAGAGTGATCAAACAGCTGGGGAGCGCCGTTTGCAAGACGCCCAAGACATCCGAGTTTCCCACTGTCCGGTCACACTGGCACCAGGATATACATCTCCTGATGGTGCAGCATCCGTCGTCCGCACCGCTGCGGAACATACTCCCGCACCGACGTACTCCGCGAGAGCGCGGGGGGGCAGCCTTGAAATGCCACGATGTCTCCTCCAGTACCTGAGTGCTCCCCCGGGTGCCTCCGCCCCCAACCTCCAAAGAAAGGCAGAAACCTCGCGGGAGAGAGGGGAGGGCCGAAACCCTTGGCCTTGGACACCTTGCTTCACCTGTCGGGGGTGCCCCAAAAGGAAACCACACCTGTCACGGCTGATCTCGTCGCTCGGACCCCCTGCCGGCCCATCCATCAGACCAGTAGAACAATGGTGTGTCCTCATGGCAGAGAGTGGCACATCGAAGTCAAACCTGCCCACTTGCATGAACGGTGCAGCTCTCAGGCTTGGACGTACCAGTGGTACTGAAACGCACTGCTTTTTGAAACATAGCCGGCCTGCACCGTCCCCACACCATGCTTCCTCCATGCTCCACGCGCCCGCTCTCCGGTCTCTTTCCACTGCCACTCACCCGACGGTCTCCGGTCTCCGGTCGACTGAGGGCTTCACCAAGCCCAGGCCGCCAAACATCTGTACACTGACAGTGAGTGACCTCGGGGGCTGACCCGGAAAGGCCCACTCCCGGAAAGGCCCAGGGCAATAAAACTGCAACTGGAACTTCCCCCTAAAACCAGCCCCCTGTGCAGTCCCAAAAGGAAGGAGTACTGGCGAAGTACTGGGGGTATGGGGGGTGGCAGAGCTGAGGCAGCGGCTCAGAGCTTTCAGCTACTACGTCATGTGGAGTTGTCTGACAAACCTTGCAGGCCGAAACCACACAGCGAACCCGTCGACCCCAAACAATGGACGCCGAGTCTTGGCGAAGCCAAGGCCCCGGCAATCTGTGTTGATGAAGTGTAATGCGCGTGGATGTTGCAAATTTTAGAGCCAACCTCACCAATCGATGGCACTCCCAAGACCCGACCATGTCACACCCTCTCACAAGACCAGCCAACATAGCAACCTGCCAACCTGATTCAACCGAAACCGGCGGGTGTCGGGGTTCGACCGGGCTCCCCACGTACACGACTTGTGAATCCCAAGGATTCGCCTTCGACGGAGGTTGAAAAACGGGGACGAAGCCGCACGAGCAGCTTCAGGATGGATTCTCCATCCATCGAACATGATTCTTCTAACCAGAGGAGCAGTTCTGCCTCCACAGGCATCATAAAGCCTGAACCTGAGATCACCAAGAAGGTTCCACCTGCGGCCAGAAACGCAATCTGAGGTGTTGATCATCTAGTTTATCACACAAAAACATACTAGGCACACTGTGTGTGTGTGTGTCGTCTCTAAATGAAAACAAGGCATCGTGCTCGTGCTCTTCCACGTGCCCGATACATGGGAGGCCTTCGGTCGATCCACGTGCCGGATAAATGCTTTGTATCTTGGCAGCATCGGAAATCACCTCGGACCAGGAAAAACGGCTCGGACCAGGGGCCTGCTGCTGCAAACCGCACTGCTAGCAGCACTGCTGCACATCGAAAAGGAGACACTCCCTGAAATCATGCTGATCTGAAAACCGGGCCATGCTGCATCCACATCACCAATGATTTCAGGGAGCGGATGGGCGTCCCTTCAGCAACATTCCTGGCGAAAAACCCTGGGCGCCCCTGCGAAGGCAGCGGAAAAGATAAGAACTACGGCTGGTAAAGCCAGCATTACCTCAGCCACCGAAAAGCGACACCCTTCATGTCAATGGTTTCTTGCAGAGTCAATGATGTCAAGGGTTTCTTCACTCAGGTGAAAAAAAGGGTTTGGGGATTGGAAACCTTTGGAGGTACGGTCTCCAAGAGCACCTCTAATGCACCAAGCCACAGCTCAAAGCAGTTCTCAGCGCAAAGCGCGGCGTCCGGAAACTTGTGTGTCCGGACCTCAAGGCACTGGAAGCTTCAGGAACAAGGTGGGACCTAAGGTAGACTCTTGATCAATTTTCACCCCAAAAAAACATCGATTGTAAAACCCCTTCAGGCCTGGGTGGACCTAATGTGCACTCTTGATCAATTTTCACCCCCAAACATGGATTGTAAAACCCCTTCAGGCCCGGGTGGACCTAATGTAGACTCTTGATCAATGTTCACTCCCAAAACATGGATTGTAAAACCTCTTCAGGCCTGGGTGGACCTAATGTAGACTCTT